GTCTTTCTTGCGCTCCCGCGTTTCTTCCGTATATCTTTGAAGTGATCTTCTTGCCCCCTTCTCGATTCAATATCACTCGGGCGAGTTTCGTTCCTGCTCGTCTCTGGTCGGAAAACCACTGCCTTGTATTCCCTCCCCTGCGATTCCTCCCGGCTTGTGTTGTGCTGTGCTGTGTGTTGTACTCAACCCTTCACGCATATACATGAATTCCCCTTTCTACCGGCTAGCGGTAGTATAATCCGACCAGTTGATGCACCACGATCCGAGACCACTGCAGGTTGATGAACCGAACACTACATACCTGTCCTAGTCCAACACACACCAGACATTCATCATTCCCGCGGTAGTCGACAGCCCCTCCACCATTGGGCGGAAGAAAGAGCACGCACAGGGCACACGCTCAATCTACTCTTGTTCCCTTCGACACCATCCACCGTTGTCCACTGCCTGGTTCCCTCGGCCTTCAGACTGTCGTACGAGCTTCCTCTCCTCCCGACCGAAACCGAAATTCCCAAGCTACATTTGAAAACGAGCCCCGGCTGTCTTGGCCTGACGTTTTTATATATTCATTTTCGCAGTGCACGACACAAGAGAAAAAGAAAACACCAAAAGGCAACACATACACACACACACATACAGCACACGTACGACACACACACATACATACACCCACTCGAGGACAAACTAAAACCTAAAATCCGAAAAAAAAAATATCCACCTGTCGACTTGCTTAGCGAACCAGCACACCTATTGGCACGTCGATGATTCGCCGCCAGTTGAAACCATCCCGATAACGGAGTCATTGCTCAAACTCGGCTCTCTGCTAAAACCCGCTAACAACTGCCCGCGCGACCCGCGAGTTTGTCGCATCACGGATCTGTTAGATACAGATCAAAGCACTTACACGATTATTACGACTTTGACGGCTTCCCTCTCCCCAAGAGCAAGTCATTGCTCTTTCTCCCAATTCCGCCTTTGACTCGATCGACACCCCTCTCCTTCCCATCAAGCACACTCCCATCGTCTACGACACACCCACTCGACCGCACGAGCGTCTGTTCGTTTCTGCCGTTGCTCCACTCTTCGTCCTTTTTGGAACAGCTTTTTTTTTATTTTGCACAGAGCTTCTTTCCAAGAGTTTTATGAAACTTGATCCCGAATTGACGAAGAACATCGACAACCAACAATTTCTGAAATGAAATCGTGACCATTCCTGAACCGAAATCCTCCCCTCCTCTTCGCCATCGTTTGCTCCTCTCTTCTTCTTCTTGCGGCTCTTCGACGATTGCCTGCCAACCGAGCCAAGGAAGCTTGTGACAATTCCCTTCTTCCTCACCCATCACAAGATTTGAGAAGAGTAAATGAACCAGGGTTCTTGGGCCTTGACGAAACTTGTCTCAAGTCCCTAAGATTTACCTCCCCCGGCTTCCTTTCCTACCCTTATTTTTTTTTCCTTGCTTCTTTTTCCCTTCCTTTTATCCAGCTTGCGTTCTTGCTAGCTTCGAACAACATGATTATCGACGGTGAGAAATACGCTTGCGAGGCCTGCGTTCGCGGCCATCGTGTGAGCAACTGCCAACACTCAGGTTAGTATTAGTGAGGAAATCCACGGCTGCACAGCTGTAAGCAGCAGGCATGCGGCGTCGGACACACACGACTGACACAGAACTTGTTCTGAAGACCGACCACTCCAGCACATTAACAAGAAGGGCCGGCCGGTATCTCAATGTGCGCATTGTAGAGCAATGCGCAAGTCCCGGTCTGCTCATGTCAAGTGTGACTGCGGAATCAAGCCTAGCAAGTGCATTCACTTGCAGCCGACGCTTGAGGGTCACTCTCGTAAGTAAATAATCCGGCATGCCCGAGGTCAAGCTGTGTGAGCCCCGAAGATGCCGGGATCTAACAGAACACTCTGGGTGATAGAAACGTGTTGCTGCAACCATGGTGGTGCTTGCTCTTGCTCACAAAAAGCATCTCCTTCGTCGGACGCATCAACCCCCCCTCAGCTAGCGACGAGCGACATCGCCCCAACCCGCCACCACACGAAAGCTACCTCACGAGTCCGACGATCGAGCCTTGTTACGTCGCCCACTTTCCCCGGCGTACAAAAGCCTGCGGCCCAACCTAGAGCAGCTCTAAAGAACAGGTCATCCGTATCTCTCGGGCGCCCTAGCTCCGTCGCAAGGAGGCGGAGGTCGTCTGGTGCCATGCAGAGCTTTACCGGCAGTCCTCAGCACGAAGCTTCGGGCGATACCACCCCCGACTCTGGCGAAGAATCCGGATCACCAATGCTCGGCGATATCCTCGGCGCTTCCATGGCTAGCCACCACCCTGCTCCTCTCGACATGTCCCGCATCCCAAGGTACCCACTCTATATGTCCACGGCAAACGCAGGGTTCGACCTCTTTAACGCGACTAGTTTCGCCGACAACGACACGCCGCTCCTGAGCGCTGGCCTGACGACGCCGTCGAACATGTGGGGCAACATGATAACGCCGACTTACAACACGATGAGCCACAACAACGTTGGCGCCTTCTTCGATTTCCCCACGGTCCCCGACCACGGCGAACAGTCTCTCGACCAGCTGCCCAACTTAATCGGAGCGACGTCGGGCGAAGTTTCTGAAGCCGACGAGGGGCATCCCGAAGACTTTTGTGCCGATCAACTATTCCAGAGCCTCGAGGGCTACGACACGAAAAGAGCGCAGGGACATCCTGAAATTCGGGACGACATGGGAGAAATTGGAGACCTCAATTTCAACTTTAACGACGAGTTTCTAGCGATGGGCTATGGCGATGTTAACTCGGTTGATAAGTCTACCGAGTATCGCCAATACTAACTACGCACGCTATGAGCGATACCGAGAGCATTCTTCCAGTATTTTTTTTTTTCTTAATTTCTAACAAAAGGTTTTCATCATGGGCCGGATCTAGTCATTTTTTTTCCTTATCTATATATATATATATTTTTTTAAATAAGCGAGGAGTTTCAAGAGAACGACTTATACGAACATGAGCGTTTGGGACGGCAAAGAAAAGAACGAACAAAAAAAAACCAAAAAAAGAAAGTCGTTGACATCATCAGTCCGTCGGGCATGGTTTGAGGGAAAGGGCAGGAACCAATAGGTCCAGAGAAGGACCTGAAGGGGAGAATCTTGAATCGTGGGGAGGCAAAAGTTTTTACCTTGTTTTATGATTCAGTTATATACCTTTTACCATTGGTCCTTTTTTTTTTTCTTCTTATTTTCTTTTCCTTCTTTTCGTTCTTCTTCTTTCCTCTGTTCTTGTGTGGATTTTCAAGCCAATCTCAACATCGGCAATGGCAGTGTCGGGACGCAGCTGGGAATCACAGAGAGACAAGGTTTTCGATTTCCTATCCAACAGACAGCACGGCGGACGGCACAGTGTCCCAGGGAAAACCATGGAAAATCGGTCAAGGGCGGAAAACGTTGCTTTATTACATTGTTGGAGGAAAACGTGGGTGGTTGTTTGTGATGCTCGGGGTTCGCATATTCAACAGCGACTTGGGTGGACTTCTACTTCTGCTGTTCGGTGGCATTGTTTTGTTTTCTCTTATATCCCCCGGATTCTTTTCTATTTCTTTCCCTGTCTATACGGGTCTCTTCCTTTTTCATATATTATACGCAAACATTTTATACTGGAGTTTCAGTATCGGGACGGACATGGACGGAGGACAAACGTGGTTTTCTAGCATTGACGGAGGGTTATTCTGGTGTTTTCCCTCCCTTTTTATTGGTATATTTATACAAAGGCACCCATCTTAAGCAGTTCATACGGAGGGGCTCCGTTTCTACCCCACGCGGTGGCTTTTTTCTATTTCCGTTGTGCTTGTTTTTGCGAGGCGCGAAAGGAAAGGAGCGGCGGGCATTTTAGGGATCTTTCTTTTTCGTCGGGACGGGAATTGGGCTCGAATCATTTTCGATGGAAATGAATGAAGATACGTCGAATATACTTACTACTGTTTATCTTGGCCAATACCGAGTGCAACACACTTTTTGAAAGCTTCTTGACGTCTCCATAACCAGCCGCTCCTTCCCTGGATCACAAGATTATCTCTTGACAGCTGAAGTGAGTCGAGGCCTTGACTTACATGTGATTAGAGTTTTTACGAGGGAAAACAAAACGTGGAAAACATGTGAAATTGACCATCCCGTTTCTCCCATGTTCTGAAGGAGTGCTTCCAAGCTTGCTTGTTTTTCCTCCCCTCTCTTACTTTCGTCTTCTATTTTCGATCTCCGCACAGTTTTTTTCTCCTGGTGAATGAATAATCTCCGGCCGGGCGGAAAAGTAGTAAACGGGAAAACGGAACGAGACAACAGGGTTGGAGTAATTACGTCGATGTCTTCGCACGAAGGGGGACCCAATTGGTCTTAAAAATGTCCGGCTACGACGTATACGGGCATCTTGTTAAGAGAAAAAGAACCGGGTATATCAGGGTTCTAATGATGTAAGATATATATTTCCGAGATTCAGATTCCTTGTTCACATTTCGACGTCCTAGAGACTTAAAAAAAGAAATGGCGAGGGTATTCTACACTTTCGTAACCGCAACAAAAGAGATAAACTAACAGGAACAAACATTGGGAAAGGCAGAAAGAGAGGAAAAAGAAATCTGGGGAACCCATTCAACTTAGTGGGGCGTGATGCAGCTAAAATTTGCGGGGATGGAGGTTGGAGAAGAAACTAAACGGGAGTCTTGACGACGTATGCATATCAGTAGAGGACGAAAGGAAACAGAGAAAAAAAAAAATAAAAAATAAAAGAAAAAGAAACAAATGCGCCAAGGTGAAAAGAGGAGGGAGATGTCGGACATGAGGAGCGTTGCTAATATGAAATGACGAATAGCCGGCCGATGAGGCCAAACCAAATAATGCTACAGGACGACGGAAGGGGAAAGAAAACGTTGTCGAAAGCCTTGTCCTGCGGAGATGAGAAGAAGAAAAACACAATGAAAAAGTAGAAGGGAGAGCACCCAACTCCTACGGATGCATCTCCCGCATAACAGACAGATACCCGACCCTCAGTATCGGCGCAGGGTTGAACCCCAAATATTGATACGGCCTCACAGCTGCCTCGAGGGACTGTGATCCACCACCAGCCCTCCCCTCCAAATCAGCCGCTGTCTCGTCATCCTTGGGCTCTTTGGTCCCAGACCTGGCCGTGGCCACGTCGGCGAGGCGCTGGAGACTTTCTCGGGCCGTCTTCTCAACCAAGGAGTATCCCAGCGGCGCCAACGCGAGGAGCGCTAGCTTGTCGTCGACTGTGGCCTTTATGGCGCCATTCCACGCTGAAGGGGCGATTTGGTGGTCCCGGATATCTCTGAGGAGGGTCAGCGCCTCTTCCTTTTTGGCCTTCACGGCCGTCAGTTCGAGGAGACATAGAGTAGTGAGGATGGCGAGGTGGTGGTTGAACGGGCTGATGAGGTCGCGGCTCTTGACGAGGAGGCCGACGGCCTTTTGACACGTTGAGAGGACCGCCGTCGCGGAGGCTTCGGTATCGACGAGGTAGGTTAGGAGCCGGCAGTGCCAGTAGGCGAGATGCACAACTGGGAACTTAACGGGGTCAACATGGTCTGGCAGTTCTTCCCTGTCCTCCTCGAGCCAGGTGTGTAGCAGTGTTGAAAGCTCTTGTTCGTTGGCGGTTGGAGAAGCTGGGGGGTCTTGCAAGTTGGAGCAGATAGTAGATGCCGGGCCAAGGATCCTTGTGAAACCTAATTGGAGCTAGTATTAGATTTTGCCCGTCTTCCCAATTACCTACACGCAAGAACTTGGAATCGACTTACGAAGTAGGAAATAGAACCCCTCTCCAAGGAGCTTCTTCAATCCAGGCGGCGAAATCATGTCCCTCTTGTGGATCATTACATGACTTCCCGTGCTAATAGCATGCCACCTATCGAGCACTACCAACACCCACCACGTCTTGAGATATAGGATCTCTTCCGCATCAGACCCCGGGGTAGAGTCGCTTGGAGGCCTATACCTGTATTGGTGGAACCTCCTCGCTAGTGCTCCACTCACAGCTCTTCCTATGACAGCTTCTTTAGGTGGGCCTCCAGCGTTGGGTGGGCGGTTGTCCGCCTCAATCACCATGAGGATCAGCGTTTGGATATAAATAGGATCCGTGACCCGACGCTGGCTTGGGGGAGGTATAGTTGAAGATAGCTCCCAGTCAACAAGCTTTTGATAGGCTCGGCCGACATCGACTGGCGAGACCTGCGCTGGGTCTGACGAAAACGATGAAACCGTCACGGTGAGCGACTCGGTGAAAGCCTCCTGAAGGAGGACAGGACACTGCGCTAACTGACCCTCCAATTGTTCCTTGTTATCGGGTAGGAAGGGCAAGTAAGGGTGGATCGCAGATATGTACCTTGAGCAATGTATGTTAGAATAAACCGGGGCTCGAAGTCTCAATCAAGACCACCAGAACTTACCCGTTAAAAATGTCGGGATGAATAGTGGGCCGCGGCCCAAATGCTGGGCCGGCATTGGATATGTCTCTAACCTGGATAGGAGCACTTGCCCCAACGAGCGGCGCGGGCTCGAACTCGGAATGAGGTAGTAGCTCACTTGGGGAGTAAGATGTTTGGTAGCGTTCAGGAATTGGCACTGAACTCGGCTGCGGATTCCTGGGCTCCGTACCCCATAGCATGGATCGAGAGGGAGCAGGTGTTTCTGCGGTTGCACTGCCCCCTGACATTGCCGAGAAGGAACGTTTTGTGCCGCGATCCTCGCTTGGACCTACGTCCATCATGATGTTAGAAATTGGTGTTTGTTGACTCAGGCGATGGTGTGCTGGGGGGGAGGGGGGGAGAAGAAATCGACTAACCTTGAACGAGCTGTTCGATGCTGCCAATGCGGTCGGCGAGCTCTTTAATGTACCTTCAGGGAACCGTCAGCGTATGAGAGAAGCGCGGGGGGATTACCTCTTCCGGGCGGGACTCCCTCCCAGGAATGTATGCGTCTTGAGGGGGATGATTAACACATACCCTTTGCTTGGTCCACGCTTCTGAGGAATGCGGCTAAAAAGGCACTCGAGGTTGGCCCTTCGACAACTCGAGCACGGCGCACCCCCGGCATCCGTCTGCGCATCGCATTTGACCTTCTTCCTCCGACATTCGTCACAAGCTCGGGAGACTTTCGATCGCTTGCGCGGCGGCGGTTCGGTCGACGCAAAGTGGGCCGTGGCGTGAGAGTGGTCGAGGGTCATGGGCATGGCAAGCGCCATCTGATCAGCGTGATGTTGAGGCTCGCCCACATAGTGCTGGACCTGGCCTGCCTCGTCTTGGTGTACTACCTCGTGAACTTGGTGGTGCTGGGCGTCCGGCTTGAGCTGGGGATGTGGTAGGAGATTACGGAGGGCCTGCTCGGGCGGCATCTGCTCTATAGAAATATCGCCGCTTGCGCTCGGAATGAGGGACGCTGCTCCGGCGAGATCCTGTCCTAACTGCGCAGCTATCTGAAGCTCTCGGATATTATGCGGCTCGATGTCTGGAGGAGGAGGCGGCGGTGGAGGCGGTTGGCCGTGCTCTCGCGGTGGAGAGGGCGGCCGATCGGGCCTGTGGTCGGTTTCTGGATCCATTTGATGGGTGATCTGGTGGCTATCGCGGGGATAGAACGGGTTCGAGCTATCCACGGACTCCGTAACTGGGGTAGGATATGCCTGCATGGCAACAGCCAGCCACCAGCGACCAGTGTAACTACCGTCTGGAATCAACTATGATCATGTGGGATGAAATTCAGCCTGCCACTGCTGGGCTACCGAACATGGGTTGCGTGTAGGAATCGTCGAGAGGAATGGGAAAATAGAATTATTCGTGACGGGGGTTCAGAATGTGGATTTCGCGCCGATTCGTATCCGCCGAGCTCGGTGTGACTCGGAGCAGCTAGTTCACACCCGCCGATGCACCTCGCAAAAGACAGCCACGACCAAATCTAGAGATTCGATAGATGGATTCCAATGTCTAATTTCCAATGTGTAATTCCGCGATATGGAGGACAAAACCCGAAGTCTAGTAAATGATGGCTTCCCATTTTGGCAGGTCAGCAACGTTTCCCTTCATAAGTACCACGCGTCCGAGAATCAACTTCGTCATCGCCGGTCCGCAGCGGCAGACTTGGGGAAACGACGACTAGAAGAATAGAATCCGCCTTCATGTTGGCAAACATGCGGTAGAAATAAGAGGCATTGTGTGCGGATGATATGGGGAGCGGCAACGTAGAGTGTCCGAAACCTTACCTAGTATTCCTCGACGCGACAGACGCGCATTGGGCTGGTTGGCTGGAATGGCTGGTGATTGTTCGGGGCGGAAAGGAAGAACCAGGAAGCCGAGGAAGCGTGGCAAGGTCACAGTAATAATGTCGGTTTTGGCGTGGGAAAAAAAAAAGGCCGGCTCCAAACGGTCGATTTATGCGGTAAATACTTGTACGAAGTACTTTCGTGGTTTGCGTGGTGAGCAAGGGGCACTTCTTGCCCGGATTTGTTGGTCGATGAGACGCTGATGTCGCGGAATAGCGTTCGGGAACCAGTGGGTGGGCGCTAAGACGTGCGCTATAATGACCGTGTTTGGTTGTATTCGGTGGGTGCTTGGGGCGGTCTAACTGCTGGTTGGCTACCTCACCAAGGTTCAAGGGAAGCTCAGGGAGCTTGGGCCACAACCTGCCCACCCCTCCAAAACACAAGGGTCTCCAGACCAGGAACGTTCTTTGAGACGACCCTAACAGGTATGGCGGTACTCAGGTACCGTTGAATGTACCTTTCCACGTACAGTGGCAGTCGAGTGACTTGGATGGAAGAAAAGGAATATTCGGGCTCGGAAGGTCCACGGCAGCGTCCACCTTCATCCGTCAGTCGTGAGGTCCTCGCTATGTTGTTGGCAACCTGACGTGTCTCCCCGGCATGTCGACGGCAATCGCACTCTCTAGAGTATTTTTCTTCTTCTTCTTTTCTCTCGATGCAATCTTCGGTTCGTTCTTCAAGTTCCGTTCCGCCACCTCGGATACCAGCTCCGCCTTGGTGGTCAGGTCTTCTCTGACTGGTGGACCTTCTGCCTTCCTTGGATGTCCAGGGTCCAGCTGACAGTCGCCCTTTGCTCGTCCTGTTTTGCATGAAATGGTCCTAAGTCGAGCTTCCGGCCAGTTGTCCCTTTTGGACCAAATGCGATGATGTACCTTACCCCTTCGTTGAAATCTATGGATGGAAATTCCCCTGACCGACCAAGGGTGGGTCCCAAGGTCTCGCCGTGTTGCTTTTGTGCGGAGTTCACTATGAAGCGACGACGCTTGACCTGGCCTCGTTTACTGCAACCTTGCCATTCAACTCGAGGGCGTATTGCAGTTATTTGGCGAGATGAAGAGGAGCGGAACAAAGTTGACTCTTTCCTTCGATGATCTAATTGTCTCACCGGTCCTTCTTGGCCTCGGTATCGGTTTGTGCATGTGGCTTGATCTAGCGTCTGCACATCGCAGGAGGGCGTGGAGAGGGAAGTGCAGCCGAGGCGATGAGTCCAATAGTGGAGGATGGATTTCGCTTCCGGAGTATCTAGCTCGCGATTGGGATGTAAGGAGGATATATATTGGAACACGCCTCCAGGGTCGAAAGGACAAATTTGTGAGCCTTCGGTATCAGTCCCCGCCAGGGTTACCAAGCTAAACGATACTGGTGCTTGTTGTATAAAGGGCTAGTTGTTTGTGACGAATCGGCAGCCTGCAGCCTTTGCTTTCTTTGCTACAAAACAATGGCACTGGGAAGAACCATGGAGAATGGTCGGGATATCAGTACGACACTGCCTGCCGCCCCCTCGATTTGTCGCGGATTATCTTTGTTTCCATGGACACATCGCAGTGGCCGAAAGGAAGATCCGATGACGGGAAGAGCGACACAGGCCAGGGAAGGCATGCCAAAACACCTGACAGGAGACCTGGGCTCTTCGGCCGGCGCGTGCCACCCCTTTGCCTGCAGGTTGCGGTCTCTCTTATTGCCGGTTGATTTGTTCCGCACCCGTCAGAGTCGAAGTTCACGGCCATACCATTTTAACCCTAGAATTTCTTGACGAGTGAGATGAAGGGGAGGTATAGTCACATTTAGATTGACTCCTGCCTAGATATAAACCTGCTGATGATTCCCCTCTCTCATCAGCAAGGGATGGCCTCTCAAAGCAGCGAAGCTCTTTTCTTCGGTCGATTCAAGGACATGAACCGTCTGTGGCATATTTTGCCGGCAAGCGCAGCCTGTATTGGAACGCCAGCATCTCTGTTTTCAGAATTTGGGCAACTCTATCACCAGTACCCAGTGAATAGTTTCTATGCTCTTTGAGTCGTACGTCGCTCTCATCCTCATACATGTCTACTCCCTGGTCTAGCCTAGGGCGTACTACTGTTGTAACACCATCCGCCACCGCCCAACCATCATATGTAAGAGATGAAAGTAGTACAGGGAGCGCTTTATTGGGAATCAAGTCGCCGGGGGGGGAATATCCCCGCCGTGTATCTTGGTCTCTGGGTCCCACCCGTGCTCGCCAGCATTGATATAACCTATCCCTAGGGAAGTCCTTGGGGCGTTGATCTATGGTTCGGGTGGGAGATCGAATGCTGGGACGGAAGTTAGGGTCGCCAACACTGCCATGCGACAAGAGATGAACAATGCCCAATGCATGAGAAGCATATCAAACAAACCCGGTCCGAATACACAGGCTAGATATCCGCTTCTTCAACGTAAACCAATAATAACCCCCCTTATTCTTCCTTGATTATCAACGAACATCTCCCTCCTCCCCTCTCTTGTCTCCCTCATTTACACTCTTGCCTGCGTCCATGGCCCGCAACTAGTTTTGGCCCTCTGGCCGAGGCCCTGCTGGCCCCGCTGGCCGGGCTTGGCTTGGCCCTTGCCCCCGTCTCCTCACGGCAGGAAACATCAGGCGGGGGATATTTTGGCTTCCTTTATAATCGCGGTTCGCTGAACGACCATTGCGGGGGACCTGCATATCACTGAAGTTGATCATCAGAGCGCCAGGTTAAGGTTCGGAACAAGACGATCCACTGTTCCACCCAGGTATGTAGCATCAGGCCTCGTCCAGTATACAAGTCTGAATCGAAGCGGTGAAAGCGGATGGGGAAGACGCTACGTTACCTAACTTTGGAGTCCCTCGGCCCACGACGTTTATGCCTCATGTCACTGCGACACATTTTTATGGGCGATTCTGTCCCAGCTATAGCTTCACAGGTTCGAATATTGCCAAGATCGAATATGGCTCGTTCTTCACACCAACGTACAACAATCGCAGGCCCCGTCCCCGCTCTCGGATCGTCACCAAGATCTACATGATACACTCTTCATTGTTACAACATTCGGAAACCCTTGGACGGTTTAAGCAAGAGAAGAATAATAAAAACGGGTCCCACTTGCGACCCCAATTTCCATACAGGCGGCACTCCTAACCGGATCGCAGTTCCGAAAAGGCTTGGGTTCACGGAGCCAGAATGTTTATTAGCCGTAACCAGGCCCTCTGGCCCTTGTCCCAAAAAGAACATGAGTGTACCCCGATTGTTACACTGCAACGCCAAATCAAGTCTTCCACCCAGCACCATCTTATTCTCGGAAAAAAAAGAAGAGATGAGATGAGATATCCTATCACCGATATAAGCCCGGTTTTATTGGTGATGGCAGGTATCGTGCAATGGGCCTCTATCGCTGCTGCCGTTCCCCACCTCCAGGAACCAGAACCACCGCTCCGTGGACTCCGGTGCAATCTGTCCCATGGTCCGCATCGCTAGGTAGGAGAATTTGTCCTACGACTGAACAACAAGAAGGTGGCTTGAGTTATGCGCATATGCATCGATTTGGTGCGCATTTAAATCGACCTCATAGCTGAGGCAATCTGTGTGCCAGTTGGCGCATCATTACATTCGAAGAAGCGGACTGTTTCCGGATCCGGTCCTGGCCTCCAGAGCACTTACACTGAGCAAATTGAATCTCAAATATGGGGAACATTTGCCCGTGGACGGCCCGATCGTCGGGACCGAGTGGAAAATACATATACACTCTTTACATACGTGTTTCCGCAAGGGTATTCCAGCTCCTACGTCAAGAAGTATAAACGGCTCGGTGCTGCTTGGGAACAGAGATTGACTGGGGGGAGGAGCTTTGCCGGTCCAGGGAAAAGCCAGGAGCAAATGACGTGCGGCATAGGCACGAACATGCAGATTGTGGCTGAAGTATATACCGGGAAATAATAAAGGTAACACTTACTGTTAGAACCCTCAAACAATTAAAGCAAATCGGATCGTCCAAGAGTTCAATGTTGTATAGTAGAACCCCTCCCCTCCATCTTGGCCGACACGCCCCCTCCCGATCCCCTTCCCCCTGGATGGCCACACACATACCCGGGCTTTGCCTCGACCGTCTTCAAACATCTTCTAGATGTCGCTGATAGCTGATGTAATATGCATGCCTTCTTTTTCTTTTTTCTCTTCTTTCTCCTTTTTCTTCGGCCCATCTTGCCTGTGCTCCGGATTTTGGGCCCTGTTTCAGTTGGAGGGTTCACTATGGATAGCTGCAGATCGATCCAAATCTGGCTTTTGCATGATAAAACTAGGGCGCTATGGGATGCTAACTGGGAGTGTAAAAGGGGGAAGTAGTTCTTTTCTCTAGAGAGAGGAAGGAGAAAAAAAAGAGATCGGTCATGACAACCCCGGCATATCGGGCTCTTTCTCCACGGCTCCTCCATCGGGTATTCTATGTCCCCAAAACCCCTTCCCATAGCTAACGAGTATCTCCTCTCCTTTCGAAATGCCCGCCGCACCCGCGCTGGAACTAGCAGCAGCGGAGTTGGCCTTACCCGTCGTCTTCCTAGCCGTCTTTTTCCTCTCCGGCAGAACAAAGACGGCCATGCAGCGCTCCTGGTGCCGCACGCTCCAAACCTCCCTGAACTCGGCGTTCGGGCGATCTCTTATCCCGCGATAGTCGTTGATGAACCGCGCCTCGTTGCCGCACCTCGATGCGTCGACGGCGATACCCGCGTCTCTGTCTAGCCATAGGTCATAGTCTGATTTCTTGGCTTCGATGTCAGACTCTGGGTGGATGTTGCCGAGGTAGAGAAGTATGAAGGAGCCTGGCTTGAGATGCTTAGTGGCGAATAAGCCGCTCTGCCCTCGTGCCGGGTGAGAAGGGTCAGATATTGGTGTGATCTTGATGTTGGAGTAGGGGGTTTGACTCGCTTCTGGGGGAATGATGGGGAGGTCCGGTTGGTTCGTTCGTGCGATTGCTTGCTGGTCCTTGGTTAAGAATTTGGACCGCCCCGGGCTTGTGAGGTAGGTCAAGTGAGGTGGCCACCCCTTGGGAACAGGAGCCATTTTCTTAGGCTCGAGGTGAGCTTCACGCCTGGTGGATTCTCGTGTAATAATAGACTGGATGGCCTTTCTTGTGCTGCCGTGGACTCTCGTAGAGAATAACTACGTATGGTACCTGAAATTTAGTAAAATGGCGTGTATTTAAAATATCCAGACTGAAGCCCTTTCATCCAAACATTTACCACCGTGGATCGGGTGAGGGCGCTTCATCCTATCTTCAAAGAGTTGAGATGCTGAAGCAGTATTGGGCTTTGTGGAAGCTACACAACACAGAACATGGCGGGGCACTGCAAGAATCAAACTTGGTGGGGTTGCCAGTTGACAGCGCTTGGTCTGGTTTTTATGCCCACACTTACCGCCTAAAAGTTTCTAAGATCCAAAAAAACTTGCTCTCACAACTTCGAATTCCTAGTCAGAAATCGTCCATTCTACCCACCTCGGAACACACCTCCATTTGGCGGGCAACGAAAACAGACAAAATGGCGCCAAAATTAAAATCTCGTGCCAAGCAATTCTCGGAGCTGGAGAATCGGCCGACGAAAGGTATCTGGTCATCGCCGCCCCCAGCCGCAGTTCCATATTGGAGTGGCCACTAATCAAAGTCCTTGTCACGCGCAGATTACGATCCGGAGGATACTCGAGACAAGAGCGATGGTGACGAGTCCGGCGATGACAGCGAGATTGAACGCGCCGCCACGGAGCACTATGCTACTGTCGGGTAGGCTTATGCCTCATGGCCCGGTGCAGGAGAGCGTAATGCTAACAGCGGTACTACAGAAAGAGCAAACTTCGACAAAAGGAGCCCCTCGCGCTAGGACCGCAGTACCGGGGAACCAGAGTATCCCGAAAAGCCCTTGAAGATAGCGACGACGATGACGAAGAGGGAGGCGAGTCAGAAGAGAGTGAGAACGAGGGCGACGAAGGCGATTCTGAATCAGACGACGAATACGACGATCCCGACAAAGTCGATATCGAGGCCGAAATGAAGCGATTAGGCGATGAAGATTTTGAGATTGATAGTGATGAGGCATTCGGCGAGTCGGACGAGGAGCGATTCAAGGACTATGCTTTCAGAGGCAGCTTGACGACGAAGGGGCGAAGGAAGCGGCCGATCGCCGCCGATTTTATGACGGATAGCGACCAGGAGGAAGAGGAAGAAGAGGAGGAGGAGGAAGAGGGAACGAGTAATGAAGACGATGATGACGGGGAGGACGGTGTTTCTGTTGGTTCTGAGGACTCCAATGTTGAGATGAATGGGGTTGATGGTGAAGACGTCAGTGACAGCAGCGAAGACTCGGACGGTGGAGCTCCCATTGGTTCGGAATCCGAAAGTGAAGGCGGGGACGAGGATGCCCCGAGACCAAAACCTGCCTCCGACAAGAAGGCAATCCTAGCAGCCATCTCAGACTCCGCGAGGCAAGACGCAGAAAAGGGCCAGGCCGTGCGCCAACAACGAAAGATTTTTGACGGCCTCCTAAATATCCGAGTCCGTTTACAAAAGGCGCTTGTCGCTGCCAACAGTTTCGGTAGCATCGGGGACGGTGCCGATGATGACGATGTTGCGCGGGAGGCATATGAGGCCGCCGAGGAGGCGGCACTAAAACTCTGGAGTACCATAGATGACCTTCACTCGGGCATCAAGGGCGTGTCAAAGGCCGGTGAGAAGAGGAAGCGCGAGGTTGATATGTCTACATCTACGGAGACGCTGTGGGGCTACATGGACGAGACCGAGAGAGCGGCACGGCAAAACAGGAGAAAGGTATTGGATAAATGGTCAGGAAAGATCGGAGCCACCACAGTCCCAGTCGGCAACAAGCTCAACTTAAACGCTATGCGCAACTCCATTTGCTCCGTCCTCGAGGAGCAGCTCCTAGATCCGGAACGCCTCATCAAGCGCACCAGGGTACCCCGCTCATGCGCTCCTCTTCAGGCCTCTAAGGGCGTCAAAGAGGACGTCGACATATACGACGATGCTGACTTCTACCAGCTTCTACTCAAGGAGCTTGTCGACCAAAGATCGGCGGACACGGCGATGAGCGGGCAGGCAAACGGCGGCGTCGTTACTGTGCAGTGGGCGGCGATGAAGGAAGCCAAGGCGAGCAAGGTCGTGGATAGGAAAGCGAGTCGGGGGAGGAAGATGCGGTTTACCGTGCATGAGAAGTTGCAAGGATTCATGGCGCCGGAGGATAGGCGGGGGTGGGAGCAGGAGGCGATTGATCGGTTCTTTGGTACGTTGTTTGGCCAGAAGATGCAGTTGAATGAGGAGGAAGAGGAGAGTGAGGAGGAGGATGAGATTAATGCCGAGGAAGCCGGTTTGAGACTATTTAGATCCTAGGGTTGTTGTGACTTCTGTATAGATATCAATCCATTTTGTGTTATGGGTACACTTCGCAGGCTTGTTTCCCCATGTCCTTATCACATTCAACTGTCCACTGCTGGAGGTTCGCATCCGACCATCACCACACTTATAAAGTCACTGCATCGCCGACCACAAAAACATCAAAACAAACGCCCCATGCACGCCCAAGTGAACCACCGGACCACCCAGCGTTTTCTCCCTCTCACTCCTACCCCTTCCCTCCGCCAACCTCATCCTCGCAATGGCCCTGTGGCAAGGCCATACATGCCAAAAGGCGAAAGCCAGCGCCGCCCATCGGCCGGTATCGTCCCATCCAATCCCCGACGGTCTGAAGACGAAGACGAGGGCCAGGAGCGCAGAGTGTAGGAGGGCTCCGCCGAGGAGGTGGCCGATGAGAGATGTTTCGCGGTCGGGATTGGGGAGTTGGGAGGCTGGTGATAGGATGAAAGTGAGGGCTGCGAGGGGCTCGATGAGGGCGTGGAGGAGGAAGGGGATTGTTTGGACGAGCATTTTTGAGCAGCGGATTGTTTATAGAATGAAGGAGTTATTGTGATGGATTGATATCGAATCAGTTAAATCAAATATAAGCAGAGTCCTCAACTTCAAGATTTTGCCAAGATTGAAGTCTGTTCTACACTAGAACTCTCACGCTGAGTCGGCCCACGTCTAAACTAACGGCGACGACAGCACTCCGCCTTCAGAGTAGGTAACTAACGGCCCGGCCGTCCTTGAGGTTCGGCGCGGCTGGGATCCTGGAGATATTATCTGTTCTCGCAGTATGAAGTGAGATCAGGAAAGGAGGATAATTGAATAATTGCTTGTCAGAGAGACCATTCTCATCCGTAATATCGAATATCGTAGTAAGAGAATATCAGGGCTCTGACAGGAAAGATTATATTCTCTGGCTTCCCATTGGTCAATTGGCCCAGCAGGAGGCGACCTGTTTTTGTTGAGGACTTTGACAAGAGAAGGTGCCTGCCTTGCTCTCGAAGATCTCGAGACGAGCAATTGATCCAATTGAACCAACAAATCCTCACTTATATTAATACACTACATTTGGTCCATTAAAATCTCTAGGCATAGCACAGTCTGATCCAGTGAGCCTTGGATCATAATCTATCGATCGATCCGCCCAGGCTCCTGTGTTCTCAGCCAGCCCAATGCCTGTTTGGACGTTGAGTATTTCAGAGTACCATCACTCAAGATTGGCCGATTCAACCGCCATCCCAACCCTCCAATCGTCCCTGCCCTGTCGTCCCCAAACCCATCCTCTTCGAAACGAGCGCGTTCGGACCAGCATCACTACCGCCAGTTACGCAACCGTTCCTGAAACGTCTTGGGAGATCTGAGTGCCTCTGCGCCCCTTCCCCTGGAGTCTTTGCTCGTCAATGTACTCACGTACTCACTCACTTGTAACCTCGTACACTTATCTTGTAACCAAATCACCGACCCCCCTCTTGCCTACCTAGGATGTAGCTCCGTCGCTCCCACCCCCTCCAGATTGTATAGTTCTTGCGTCCTCTCTGTAGGAGACCGAGGTGTTTCCTTTTCGACCGTACTTTCCTTCACCGTTCCGTGTTCCAGACCGGGCTGCAATTGGCCCGATCCGGGGTGTTCGTCCAGTGACATCACCCTCCCCTGCCCCTGCTCTCCTGCCTCAAATGTCCAGCTCCCCACAGTCTTTTACAATTGCAGTGAGGTTTCTCGTCCACCACGCTCCAACGCACATGAACCAACTCACCAATACCCTATCTGTATTATCCCCTGATTGTACTCTCGTGAGCCCAAACGAAAACAATCGCCTTAGGTGACTTCACAATACGCGAGCCATCGGGATCTTACTTGCGTCAACATTGATCGGTCATCGCTCAGTTCTCACCATCCTCAACAAGTGAGCCTTTGGTTCGCCGTAGCTTTGATACTCTCCTTCAACGCCAACTCTGGCCCATTCGCGGTGTCATCGCAGCTCAGAATATCTGGATAGAGAACGGCAGGAGGCGAGCAGTTTTCAATTGCACGATGGAGGCGACTAATACCTTCGGTGAGCTGGGGCTCTCAATCATTGGCCTCGGCACTCAGTATCCGCCCCATGCATTGAAGCCAGATTCGCTCAACGTGTTGAGCAAAAGGTTCTACCCAGAATCCCCGGCGTAAGTTGTTCCTGCCGCTATGATTAGCAGATATCCAGCTCATGTTTCCGGCCTCTCCCCGTCACATGCAAGCCTCTAGTCCTCCTGCTCAAGAATCCTGCTCATATGTGACTTTGCAGGATGAAAAAGGTGCTCTCTATCAATCAGTTCACTGGAATTGATGTTCGCTCTTCTATTGGTAACCCAGACCACCCTGCGGTGAACCAAGAGAAGGCGCCTTCGATAGATAAGCTTCATGAGATATACATGAGCGATGGCATACCCCTAGCTATCGCTGCAGCTCAAAAAGCTATAGAAGAAGCGAAAATCGACTTGAGGCAGATTACCCACATCGTATCCACGACATGCACGAATAGTGCCAATCCAGGTTTTGATCATTTTGTCGTAAAGGGCCTCGGAATCACTCACCCTGTGGAGAAGGTGCTGCTTCACGGTATCGGGTGCAGTGGTGGACTCGCAGCGTTGAGAACGGCTGCGAACCTTGCCCTCGGCCACACAGCGAGAGGCAAACCAGCAAGAATATTGTGCGTGGCTCTTGAGGTCAGCACGATCATGGTTCGCAGCGAACTAGACAGCATCAACGAGCTGCAAGAGACTCGGATCGGCGTCGCGCTCTTCTCTGACTGCGGGAGTGCGTTGGTGTTGAGCAACGGTATCGGTCAGCCTGCCGAGCCGGTGTACGACTTGTTGGGTTGGGACCACAGAATAATTCCAGACACGGAGTCGGATCTTGGATTCGATGTACACCCGAATGGTAAGCGACTCGGGAGGAGGTTGAGTTTGATGAGGTGGCTAGGCTAAAGTTTCTGGGGTTGCACAATTGGCTCTGACTAACGAATGAATAGGCTGGAAAGTGGTGCTCACACCTCGCGTGCCAAAGCTCACCGGCGAAGTGATCAAGCCCACATTTACAGACCTCTTAGAAATGCTGCCTTCCGTTCCAGAGGAGTACGCCTCCGCACCGGATTTTGATTGGGCTATGCATCCGGGAGGCGCGACGATCCTATCTGGGGCAGAGAAGGCAATGGGAATACAGCCCGAGCACATGCGTGCCAGCTACGACACGTACATCAACCATGGAAACTCGAGCTCAGCGACCATTTATAGCGTCATGAACAGGCTTCGGTCGAAGGAGATGGACGTGCTGGCGCCCGGTGGCCGCGTTCGTGAGTATGTAGTTGGATGTGCCTTCGGTCCCGGCATCTCTGTGGAGATGTGCATGTTGAAGAGAAATATGAAATCTGGCCAGGGTATTACCGGGTTGGAAACCCCTCCGGAGACGGAGAGTGAAGGTAGCCGGAGCGAAGGTGCACTGAGCGAAGCTGGAGATGAGCCGGAGGTCGATGCGCTGGGTGGGGATGTCGTTGATGCAGGTGTTCCGGTCGTTCCGGCGACGGCGCAGGGATCGGAACAGGGGCCGAAATGCGATGATGCAACTTCGGCTTTTATCGCCGAAGTGTTGGAGAATTTGGACCTGGATTAGAATCCCAGAGCGAGAGGGGCGTATCAACGAAATCCAGAGAGGCGGTTTGTGAGTGGCAACTCCAGACAGGGTTAACATGAGTTCCTTGGGGTGGTCTTGGGATGGCATCTGGAATGGTCCATCGGGTGAGGCATGGCATCACCATCGCGGTGCGGATAGAATTCATTAAGGCAGTATTTTCAGCACATATATAGCCCAGTTCATTCCCATTTATTATTATAAAATTGAAACGGTTTAAGTTTGCAAAAGTTATAACATGTTATGTTATTCGGTGATTTTATGACAATGATGATTCTAACAGCGAGACTGGAGCGAATTTAAGTTGGCTAACTAAGTAAGCACTTCAACAAATCAGATCTTCCTTGGTCTAGTGGTCAGGATACCTGCTTGTCATAGAACAATTCGCAGGTGGCCGGGGTTCGATTCCCCGAGGGAGAGCTCTTTTTTCCGTCTTGATTTCTTGATTCTCTTTTTTTGCCAACTAGACATATGACCTCCCAACACATTTGTCTCTTTTCACTTTCAGAGCTTCTTCTAATATTCGCTGGATCTATTTATTCTAGGAGCCTCCCCCCTTTTTTGTTTCCTAATACGTAGACGGAAAGTTACCCAATCTACCACCATCTACAACGAGGAAATTCCCATTACAGTAAGCCCCCGCCCTCGAGGCAAGGTAAAGAATTGTGCCTGCCATATCCTGTTCATCGCCAATGCGTTGCAGAGGAATCATTTCCTTAGGAACGACAGCATCTTCGAGGTTATTTCCATATCGTGCGACGATGGGAGCGGACATTTCACTTGGAAATACTGAATAGACCACAGTCAGCTGGAAGAACGGATGAGTTCTCGGAAAAGAAAACCTACAGCCGGGACATATACAGTTTGCCCTGGTATCGTGTTAGTCTGCTGAAGAATACTTAAAAGTGGCAGGGCAGAATGAGTAAAATAGTAGTAATAATACCTGATATTCCACTTCGGAAGCACAATAGAAAGCTGCTTCACTAACAAATTGACCGCCGCCTTCGACTGCCCATACGCATACCCACCCGGCGGCATCTTATTGAACGCACTAATCGAGCTCGTAACAACGACCTGCGAAGTCTGCTTCACGTTCCCCTTCTTATTCCCCTCGCTTAACAGCGGCAGGAATGCCATGGCCGTATACCACACAGACGCCACATTCACCTCAAAGGTACTCGCAAACTCAGCGAAACCCTTGGCAAAGTTGGCGCCCGCCCACTCCTCGAGAGAAGTGTCGTCCCCAGGGTGAGGGATCTGGGGGCCGGCGATACCGGCGTTGCAGACGAGGAGGTTAAGGTAGCCCGAGGACTCGGTGACCTGGCCGACGGCGGAGGCGAGACTCTCCTGGGAGGTGACGTCGCAGGGGAGTGGGTGGACGGTGGGGCCGAGGGAGGATGCTGCTGCGGAGAGGATTTCGGGACGGCGGCCGGAGATGAAGATTTTGCAGGCGCCGTTTTGGGCGAGGGCTTTGGCTATCATGTAGCCGATGCCTGGGGGAGGGAGGGGGAGTGAGTTGAATGCGATATATGGGAATGAAGAAGCGGGGGGGATTACCTGTTCCTCCGCCGGTGACGAGGGCGATGAGACCTTCTGCGGAGAAGAGGGTTTCGCGGTTGAGAGTTGAGTTGTTAGTCGTGCCCTCGGACATTGTTTCTCTTACTTGGTGGAGTTGGGGTCTTGGAAGTATAATTGAAATTCTTGATTCCGGGTGAATATCTACGAAGATGGAAAATGAACTGTAAAGAACTAACTCTACAAGATGCTACTCTATTTCCTAAGATCAACCAATCCCTTTAATACTTTCTGACGGGAAGTGATACAGATCGATCCGGCTTGCTTGGAAGGAGGGGTTCAGAATGACGAGCGAAGGGAACCGTCGAGGGGCGGACGTTGACTTGACCACAGTGCGTGTTCTTCACTCTCGTTACTGTAGGGCCATTTATGCCCCCCCAACTTTTTTTTTCTTTGTTGGTCGAAGCTCCACCTAAATTTTGAGCTTCAAGTCAATTCTTCACAGAGTAGTTGAAGCACAAATTAGCTCCACGCCTACCACGCAAAAATGGCGAAACGGAAAAGATCGTCCGACGAGACTCTCGAGGAGAAGCTCCCCCAATTCAAGACGGACTTGTTCCGTGCTCTCAAAAAGGTCAAAGGGTTCGAGCGGCAGAGGCTGAGCCGGCGACTTCACGAAAAGGGACTCGCCGAGGACAGGAAGGAGAAGTATGAGCTGGAGGTTGCCGTGCTCAAGGTTTGTACCCGTCTTCCCATGATTTAATTTATGCGCGAGGAAAGAGAGAAAGAAATCTTGAGCTGATCTGAACGTTTTATTTCAGTCCTTGGACCTGCATCAGACCGCCTACCACTACCTCTACGCCTCCCTCCTCAAAATCAAATCCATCGCGAACCACCCGGACCTACCCATGGAAGTGCGCCGGGGACTTGCGAAACCGGTCCTGGAAGAGAAAGAGAAGGCGGCGCTGCAGCATGTTACGAGCTGTTTGTTCAACAGGCTAGAGGTGAAGCAGGTTACGGAGAGGATAATTGGCGAGGCGTGCGAGACTTTGGGGCTGCCGATGCCGGAGAGGAAGAGGGCGAAGAAGAAGGGGGATAAGGATAAAGACGAGGAGCAGGAGGGGAAAGAATTTATTGAGAAGGCGGATGATACAGACAATGAGGAGGAAGAGGTCGCAAACACACGGGTGAGCGAAGCAAGGAACAGGAAGATGGAGAAGGCAGAGAAGACAGGGAAGGAGGAGAAGAGGCCCAGGAAGGAAAAGGAGCAGGCGGCCGATGATATCAGCATATCTGGCAGCGAGGACGAATACTCCGACACCGACGCCGAGGAGCGAGCGTTCGCCAAGTTCGACAGATTAGTCGGCGGTTCGTCCGACTCAGACGCCGACAGTGAGTCCGAATCAGACGGCGGCGTGACGCTACAAAAGGGGAGGAGAACTACGAGAACCATACGGGTGCGGGACATGTCCATCTCGCTATCCCCGGAATCAAGCGGCGTCTCGGGATCAGAAGCCGAGTCTGAACCTGAACTTGAGTCTGAATCTGAGTCCGAGTCCGAGTTCGAAGGATTTTCCGACCCCGAGCCTGAAGATACCCTGGCTGCCAAGCCAGCCACTACCACTACACCTTCGACGAAGCAGGCGAAGACGAAAGCCGCGAAACCTGCCGCCGCGCCTCCATCGCGCCCAACCGACTCCACATTCCTCCCCTCGCTAATGGGCGGCTACATCTCCGGATCAGAATCAGCATCCGACGTCGACGTCGCCCCGCGCAAGAACCGCCTCGGCCAAAAGCAGCGCCAAGCCATCTGGGAGAAGAAGTTCGGCGCCAAAGCCAAACACTTACAGCAGCCGCAGAAGCCGCAAGGGGGTAAGGGCAAGAATAAGAGGGATGACGGGTGGGATATGCGGAGGGGCGCTGTTGGGGAGGAGGACGAGAGGCAGAGGAAGCCGTGGAAGAAGGGGATTGAGAATCCGCTTGCGGCTTTGAGGAAGGGAGGGAGGGCTGGTGAGGAAGAGGCGAAGAGGAAACCTACGAAGAAGGATGACGAGGGGCCGTTGCATCCTAGTTGGGAGGCGCGGAAGAAGGCGAAGCAGGGGCAACCACAAAAGATTGTGATCGGGGCGAACTTAGCGAACAAGATCGTCTTTGATTAAAAAGAAAAAAGAAGACTTATGAACCTGTGTCTTCATGTACAGTGTATGGCTCTCTAGCAGTATATCTTTGTACCCTTATTCCCTTCTATACCCCCCTTTTCCATATCTCATCTAAACAAGATGAGGAAAAGTTCTCTAGAGAAGAAAGAAAGAACCAAGACAACTCTTAAACAAGAAATCATAGAATGGCCTTGGTATCAGACACGTTTATACATGCGTAATACGAACCTCAGGATATGCACATTCAAGAAAATGGAACGGAAGCCAAGAAACCGACCCATATAATAGGCACGCAGAACCAAGAAAAAAAAAAAAAAAGGGAGAAAAAAAAAAAAAGAATCAAAAAATCTCAAACTCCGAGCAAAGATCCCAATTCCTTTTCTACCCTATTCCCTCCTTGCCTTCCTCTCCTCTCCGCTCTCGCTTCTCTCCCCCTTACGCCTCGGGACCGTACTTCATGGCGCGGAAGAAGTCCATAACGCCGGTGAAGACGACAAGAAGGATACCTCCACCAGGTCCGAGTCGGAGGACCTTGGGGGCGAAACCCTTGTAGAGAGCGCCGATACCCTCCTCCCTGGCGACGGTGAAAAGCGCAGGCCAGGCCCAGTTGTACTTGGGGACCTGACCAGGAACCTTAACGGTGTTCTGGATGCGGGACTTGACGACGTCCATGGGGGTGTTGATCATGGTACCGACGGTACCACCGATGGCTCCGGAAATCAAGTCGTTCCTTATCTGGGAAGACTTGTCAGTGGCCTGGGGGAGGAGCTGCCTGACCTGGAAGATGCAGCCGAAGTAACCGGCGTTCCAGGTGATGTGCCTCCACATGGTGGACTCGAGACCGTTGTACAGGGCGAGAACACCCTCGTTCTGGACCGTCTTCCTAACGACGTCGATCATGCCGGTGTATTTTCCGGCGGAGGCCTTATCCTGAAGACGAATCTTGACGAGCTCGAAAGGGACGACGACGAAGGACTCGGTGGCACCGGCGCTGGCACCGGTAAGGATGGAGAGGGGCTGGTTCATCTTGTCGACTCCAAACATCTTGCGGTAGACCTTGCCCCACTCGTCGTTGGCGGCGAACTTGGTGGCACGCTTGGGGGCCTCCATCAGGATGGGGGCGGCGATACCGCGGTAGAGGCGCGAGAAGCTAAGAATGCCCAGCCATGATTAGAGAGCAACATCACCTATATGCAGTTTGAGTCGTCCAGGAGGTTGTGGGCCAAGAGAGGATCCTTCTCTCTCTCTCTCTCTCGCCATTGTAAGACGTTCGGGCGGAGTAGCAGGGTGCAACGTACCCCTCATTGCGAATAATCTTCTTGAAGCAGTCGACCATACCGGTGTATGCATCGGCGCCGGCGCCCGTGCCGGTCTGGAGCTGACTACGTAATGAGACATTATTAGCCTTGGCTTGGTTCAACTCCGGGGCGCTATATATCACGGAAAATAAAATAGCAAACAAGGCCAGGGTGGATACTTACACTCGGGTCTTGACAACATCGAGAGGGTACCTAGTTTGGAGATATCAAATGTGAGCACGCGAGCTTGGTCCGCGGGTGCCGGGGATGGGGTGGAGGGGTATCGGCGTCATCGCAACACGAATAGGGGACGTACATGACCAAAATCTAGCGAAGCAACATGGTTAGCAGGTCAATTGATGTGAAATAGATCTATGAGAGCTGTTTCCAGCACTTACTTCCGACACACCGGCGATGGCGCCTGGTTTGAAGAATTCCTGTCAGTCATCTCCGATATCGCCAAGGATTAATGTTCTGTTTGCGGGAGGTGAGATGCATACCGGCGGCGAACTGATAGGCGAAGGGAAGGGGCTTTTCGTTCGACATTCTGGCGGCGATGTTTGGAAAAAAATAGGAGCTCTACGACGTTCGGCGGGAGGAAGGGCGCAAGGAGGGAATGTGCGATAGATCTTGCGTGGTGCAAAGGGGAAATTGAGAGTGTGAGAGTGTGAGTCGAAGGGGGGAGGGAAGAAAAAATATCAAATGTCCTAGGAATAATTGCTTGCAATGAAAAAAAACCCTCTCTAGCTCGCTGGATCCATTGATGGATTGACGGGTGGTGTGGGCTGTACGAAGCAGAAACCAATGGCAACAGCACAAGACAGGGGTAAGTTGGAGACGCACGTACCAGCTACCCAGCTTCACCGCCCTAGGTCGCACCTTACCTGGCTAAAACCCACTGGAAGGAGCAGCAGGGTAGCACTGTGATGTACACTGCCCAGAAAGAGAAGCTCAATTTGGGCTAGTTTGATAGGTCGGCTCCGCTGCGGGTACACTGAGAGCGTGGGATTGTTTGCAGGGCCAGACCAGGACAACCAGCACGGCCCACAACTCCCACTCCCACTTCTCACTCCGCGGGGTTCTGTCCAGTGCGCCTTCTGCAGCAACCAAGCTCCCTACAGAATACTCCACTCGTGCTCCATTTTGATCGGAAAATCCGACCAATATTCTTGATCGATAATGTTCTTCTCTCAATCCAACGAGGCGGCTTGTCACGGCACAAGATGATGCGAGAGAGGCTGGAACCTCAACATTAATAATGAGCAGGTGATACACGTTTCTTCGTAGTACCTCGTACTCGCAGGCTCCCGAACTGAACTTTTCTCGAGGCTGTTCTAGGTGAAAAGTGTGAAAATGTGAAAATTCCAATTACCTCAGCAAACCCACAGAGGGGAGCTTCCGAAGATCATCTCCGAAATCCGGAGCCCACAATTGGTGGATCCCGGGACCAAGATAATCCAGAAAGGGAAACCGACAGCTCTATCCGACGACGGCAAATCGCTGTCCGATTCGGTATTTGATCCGCTGGATATCGGACGTCGGCGTCAAGGAATAAAGCTAGGACTATATTTCCTGGCTACCTACTACAGATATTGGCCTATTGCAAATAGCGACAAAACTGCCACCGCTTCGGCTTCGGCGAGGCAGACAAGGGCCCCTATCCGAGTCTCCTGTAACAAATGCTAGACGAATCCAACGTGTATCGAAAGCTTGATGTTCCTATTTTGGAAACCGCGCCACCACTTCCTACTGCGCGTCGCATAATGCCTAAGCAGTAATACTAAAGTCCTTGAGCTGGCACTGACCCCAGCTATAACGCAGTGAAGCAATTGTTCTAGAATAGATTTCTCGTCCCCTTCCCCGTAGTGACATTAATCCGGCTGCCGTCTTACCGTCGCCGACCAGCATGTGCTGATTAGCATGGCGACAAAAACGCACCACGGGACGATACCGAGGAGAACCGATGTCCCGTCTAGTCTAAGGAGCAGCCCTGTGGCCGCGCCCGCTCCCACGGCGCCGATTATCATCGCGTCTTGGTATTTCTCATGTCGGTGATGGTAATGATACGCTGTCAGACACCACACTGTTGCCGAAATAGCAGCCAGCAGTGCGCTCGGTGAACCAAGCACAGAATCAACATTCCTGCCCATCATTTGCATAGACTAGGTTTAATGTCCCTGGTCAACAGAATGCCTTCAGCTCTTCAAAACAAAGGTCGTCTTTGCGCACCACCGGGGAGAAGAAAACTGTAAACTTACAGTTGGCAAGCTTTCCAGGCTCTTGAAGTGACTTGCAGTTGTTGTCTCACGAAAATGAAGACACACGTGCATCGATCCTAGAGCCAGTGCTGTCCCAAAGCAAAGGAAAAGGGAGCCGGGCTCGTAGGGGTAGATATGTGATTCCAGTTTTTCAACCAAGCCCCTCGCTCTTGTGGATCGACCGTATGAGTGCCCAGTTCGATTCGTACCGATTTGGGCGTCTTTCTGAGGCTTGGCAGGCGTTACGTCGAAAAGTGAACTCACCTTCGCGCCATGAGGGTTTTTTAGTGCTTCTCTCGAGGAAGGACGCCATGAGTTGCCGAGGGGCCAAAAAGGAAGCCATTTCGTCTTGAATCTAATGGAAAAGCTTGTCAGAATGGGCCGAAATCAAGTTGAGAAAAGACGACTTGCCGCAGGCACCACCATCGGCATGCTGATTCACAGGTTGAGTCTTGATCTCCTCCAACCTCTGCCTGCAATATCAATCCTTCCCCTTTCTTGGAATCGGCCTGGTATAGAGCCGCACTCTCATGGAGCATTCCGTAGTTTATGAAGACTGCTGTCCCGAGCCTATGAGGGTTGTTGATGGACACTTATTCGCGGGTTGAATGAGATGAGGATAGATTTCGGCCTTCGATGTCGTCCGTGGTATCTATGAAGTGTGAGCGTCGCAAACTCGAGGTGTTTGGAAAGTGTGTGACGCGATGATGCCTTAGGGCCTGGGTCTCAATCTTCAACGGGAAATCAAGACACAAAAGGACAACGCCCACAGCCTGCCCTCACCTTGATGACGAGCGGGGAAGAGCAGAGCTTATTGGTGTTATCAAAAAAACAAGGGGCTGTGCTAAATTATTCTCGCCTCGTTTTCCTTTCCCCGGAATCTAGGGTCTTGGTCTTCTTGCCTCAAGTGGGAGGAGGATCCTTCGAGTTTCTCCCATATCATCACCAACTCGACTCCCAGGCCGGACCCGCACGAATTACATCCGAACGTTTAAATTCGTCTTGCATCGATTTCTTGTGTTAGCCATTTTGAATTTATCTCGGTTTCCAACGGAACTGTTCTCCTGGCATTCGCTAATCGCCGCGGTCGATCCGCAGGATGGACGACGTGAAGGTTCAACGACCCAAAACCAGACTTCTCAAATATGTCGAGCGCTGGAGAAAGCTGGAAGAAGAGTTAGAGCGGTTGATAAAGTTGACAGAAGAAGCAGCTGAGATTTCTCGCGAGTTGTAGGAAGAGTCCCTTCCCATCTCCGTCCGAGCGCTGGGGTAATGACTTGGCTATGATAGGCAAGCCGACTACGATGTCTTCTTTGATGGAAGCGATATGAACAACTTCCCTTACCTGAAGAGTCGCGAATGCTTCATTCTCAAGAAGCGAGGAAATCTAGAGAAGATGGAGAATGCGAAGCTTCTTAGGTTGCAGCAGGCAGTGGACCTCTTCTCTCTCGTCGAAGACTGCGACATCACTCAGAGCACTCCTGCCTCGTTCGGATTCGGCGGGAGGATCCCAGACTTCCCGCTGATCCTCCGTATGCATGCCGAGCTGCACGAAAGAATGCATGAGACCCGGCCCAACTCTTTCTCCTTTGGCGGCAGCCAGAGCCTGCTGGGAATATGGTTGTCCACTCTTGAGGAGGCCTACACTAAGGCCGATGGCGGGTATGCCAATGTTGACTGGACTAGCAAGAGTCTAGAAGATTTGATAGACGACGTAGCGACGGAACTTCTGACTTCAAAGATTGTAGATGATGCTTTCCGGGGAGACGATGCCCCCTGGGGAGACGACACTCCCCGGGAAGATGATACGCTAGAACTTGACATAGGAGACACGGCGCAGTGTCTCTGGCGTGCGACAGAGAGAGCTCCGCCTGACCAGACACTCTCGGCCTCGACTCACATGATTCTCGACAATTCGAATCATACACACAGATCGTTATTTACGGATAACGGCTCGTGCCCCAATCCGGCTACAGATACGGAAGCGCCGCTTCACGATTCTGTACCGCCATATGACTCGGATGATAGGCCTCACCTCGACGATTTGTGTCACCTCTACGTAAACGCGCCCTCACCTTACAATCCGCTACTACCATACCAGCCGTCTCGATCCCGGTTCAACCGACTCTATACCACCAAAAGAGCCAGGGGCTTCTTCCCACTCTCGCCCTCCTCTTCCTAGCCACTCCGCCATTAGTCCTAGCTCAAGGCGCCGCCCGTGACGTTATCCTGCACATCACGGCGGGCGTATCCTTCGCAACAAGCGCAGCTCTCCCGCCGCTCAGGTCTTTCGACGATTTGGCGCCGGCGTATTGGATCTCTCTGTACAGCGTCTGGGGTGCAGCCTTCTTGACGGGCTTCATGCTGGCCCTGCAGAGGCGAGACAACTGGTTGCAGCGGCAAGTTTTAGGCTGGATGGTCATATTCGGAGCAATCAACCTCCTCGGGTCGCTCGGCCAGAACGTACCCACGCAGCTCGATGCTGTTGCTGTGTGGGGTCCTCTGGCTCTGACTGTCAGCTTGTATGTGATTTCGGGACTCAGCGAGTTGGTGAGCCTTGACCGTGCAGCCCGGTTGATGGGAAACGCCTAGCGATCCGGCCATGGCCTGGATGGTAGGGGGTGAGGTATATGAGTCACAATTGGAGAGAGCACCGGTTGCTTTCATACGGACATCTCGGTCATATGTCGAAGGACGGTGTTTTTGTGTATAGCGGGTTTAATAATCTACGGCGAATGTGGAATTATATGGAAGGGGGAACATGCATTTGAAGAGTCTCACGGCAGACTTCTATATCAAGCAAAATCAAGGTCAAATAAAATTAAGGAAGTTTTTTTTTGGAAAAGAAAAAAAATAGAATAAGTAACGGAGAAGGGCCACAATGAGAGAGAATACATCAATAGCTCTCAGATAAGCCCTTGCTCCTTAAACCTCTTCCCCATGAGCGGCCTCAGTAATCTCATACGAGCAATGCTCAGCAACCCAACATTGATCCATCTTGCCTTGACTGTTTGTGGTCTGCTTACACAAACAACTAGCCGGATCCGTCATATAGTTGATGGCGGTTTCTGTAATCTGCGTCCTGCATGGAGGCGGCGGCCCTGCCAACTTTTTGGTGCCCTACTCGCAGCGAAGATTTGAAGTCCCACTTACATATCGAAACTGACGTCCACCTTTCAACTGTGTATGGACGAGATCTGGTTAGTCAGGGAGGAGCTCGATAAGTATTCGGGAAAGGGAATAGCGGTCTTCTGAACCTGTTGCTCGGGTCTGTGAAGCTGGACGGGAGCGGGGGGTGGACTTTCTTGGTTGCCTCAGCGGCATATCCTTTCACTCTTATACGGGGCTATATGGTGGGTGATGAGATCCGGATGGCTACTGGGCTCTCTGGCAATCGATGGAGCTGTCAAACACCAAGGTCTGACGACGGCCTGCCCGCCATGCATAGCTTGCCCAGTTTACAGGGAAAATAAATAGCCAAGGAACGAGCGGGCGCATCTCGCCGAGAGATCGAAGAGCATCAATTTTCGGGTACGCCTCCGCAATCGCCCATTTAAAAAGAGGTAGGGAATCCGCTTCCTGGTCAAGACCTCGCGGAACCAAGCTGTCGTTTCGCGCACTTGCACGCGTTCTCTGCATTGATGCAAAGGAAGTTTTGATCATGTTTTCCGGCCCAATCAGGACCCAAAGGCAAGAGATGGGATGAAGTTGCTTAATCCAAGGAATGCAGAGCAAGTCAGCTCTTGTCAACGTGCGCAGCTTTTATATCCGGGGGATCGGCTAATTGGTGACGTAGTTGGGTGAGAATGAGGGGGACTGCAGCTGCAGTTGCTTGTAACATCAAGCACTCGTTTTGTTGGAGGCTCTTGGCCATCCAAACCGTCTGAAGCTCCATGTTGACCCTTGGACACAAGCCGCGCAGAGAACGAAGATGAGATCAATTCATATCGACGGAATCACATGGTTTTCGTTCGTGAGGTTTTAGGGTCGAGATAGTGAATGTTTGTTTCATGTTCCAGCTGCTGTCTTGGAAAGTCCCTTTTTGAGGGCTTTGTCTTGTTGTCTTGATCGGAGCTTAACTGTTTAGAGACATGGGAATTACAATTCCGCCAGGATCATAGACGCTCAATATGAGGGTTGATGACGCTTGGTGATGTTCCCTTGAGTACGAGTACTGGATTAGTGGGGAAGGAACTACGCAGAGGCCCTGTGAACCTCTGAAGGAGCTCTGAACCCTCATGATAGCGCGAATTGGACCAATCAGAGCTGACTACAGGAGCTTGTGGCGAAAGGCGTGGACTCAGGGTCTGGGCTGTCTGGGTCTTTCGCGTAAATGGATGATTTAGATCGCACCTCGCTTCATTTTAGAGTCGTTTTCCGAGCTTATTTCCCACTTCTGTGTATCCTTATCGTCTTGCTGCGTTCTGTTCTCTTCCTCTCTCTACTTCCCCTCTCCATCCGCGGCCTCCCTGCCATATCGCTACAGCTTCCTTCACCCAGCAGACTTACCGACGCAACCTCGAACGATTACGACGACGACCGCGCACATATCCACAGAGTTAATTTAGTGCCCCTCGAATCGGCTCGCGCTACTCTTCAACACCCCATAAATCGCGCCCTCCCAACGTCCTGACACGCCCGCCCGACCCGACAGTATACCTACCTTATTCCCTCGCGCTCTCATCTTGCACCTTTAAACAGGCCGTGATCCTTAGAGACTCGCAGCGAGGTGCACAGAGAGTGCTTGGACAACGCTGAGCCCGGCTACACCACATGAGTCATCTACTCTGGAAATACTACTGGGATAACGATGTCGACAGATTTCGCCGTCTGTTGGCTCCTTCGGGCTTCAGTGCCCAGGCCGCAACAAAATCCTCGGCGGTGAATTTCTCTTCCTCTTCCGGACCTAACACTGGGGGACATGCTACCTCACCGCGTCCCGGCTCTAAGGCGCGCAAAGGCTCGGGCTACGGCCCCGGGTCGCAAGGGTCAAAAGGTGGTCCGTTTGGCACCGCCGGAACCCTGGGAAAGTCGGAGGTCAACAGTCGTGATCATGCCGGTCTGACCATCTTGCTTCGAGCCGCCTCGTCGCCGGCCCCCGATGCTGCTTCCTTCATCGAAGCCCTCCTGGACCACCCCGCTATAGATATCTACGCTCGAGACTACGAAAGCGGCTGGAATGCCCTGCACCGTGCTCTATACGCCGGAAACATAGCCATCGCTCGCCTCCTGCTCCAGGCCGAACAAAGAATACTTACTGAGACTCCGAGCGGGCCGGCCAACGGTCGAGTCGGGGAGCTGATCAAGACTAAGGATCGCGAAGGGAATAGTCCCTTCGACCTCTACAACTCCACTATTGCCACGAGAGATGAGCGCGCTCAAGCTTCACTGGGGGATGACTCTGACACAGAGTCCACATTCAGCGGCGAATCAAACATGTTGGTGTTTCTTTCGCCTTTGACTTCTCGAGATTGTAGAATGTGCTGATTTGTATGTGTGCACGCAGAGACGACGTTGCTCACGGCTTCGGTCACGGGCCCCACGGGATCCCCGGAGATGAGCTGTACACATTCGGGAGTAACAAAAACCAATCGCTAGGTGTTGGGGACGAGAGCGATAGACAGTTTCCCGAGAAACTTTATCTTAACCGGCCTGAGCAGCTTATCGAGTCTTTCTATCAAGACTATCTCTCGACGAAGGACGCGAGCACTGCGGACAGGTCCGAGAATGGTAAGCCGGGTGGGATCCCCACTCTTGTTCGAAGTAGACCTATGCACATCCGTGACGTTGCCCTCTCTAAATTCCACAGCGCCATCCTTACTGCTGACCCTGTCTCGAACCTCTATATCTGTGGAGTTGGCCGTGGAGGTCGTCTTGGTCTTGGCGACGAGAATACTCGGTTCCGGTTTGTACCTGTACTCGGTGCCCTTGCTGGAAAGCGTGTGACACAAATCGCGCTCGGCCAGAACCACACTCTTGCCGTCACCAGCCATGGCGAGCTGTGGTCATGGGGATCCAACTCGGTCTCTCAGCTTGGGTACACGTTGCCGACCCCCGTAAGGGCGGATGAGGAGCCCGTGAGTCTTACCCCGCGCCAGGTGTTCGGTGCGCTGAAGAAGGAGATTGTCGACGGGATCGCCGCTTCGCCAGTACACTCCGTCGCTCACACAAGCACATCCCTATACTGCTGGGGTCGCAACCTGGGCCAACTTGGTCTCATGGATGCCGATTCACGCTCTCTTGAAGTGCAGGCAACGCCGCGAAAGGTCGCAGCGTCTTTGATCTCTACGCCCATTCTTGCGGTCTCGGCCATCGAGAAGGCGACTACTGTTTTACTAGAAAGCAATGCCGTATATGTCTTCACTAGCTACGGCTACAGCCTCATCAAGTTTCCTGCCCCGGATATTTTTGCGAATACGCGGTTCGGCGCGCCTCGCGCCTTTACTACACCCAGGAATCTAAACAAGATAAAAGCCATTACGTCCGGTGGCGAGACGATTGCCGCCCTGAGCGCTCGAGGGGATCTGTTTTTGATGAACCTGAACCATCAAGTCGACACCATGTCGTCTACCTCGACGACCAACCCTGCCAAGATCAAGAAATGTGCAGTCTCCCAGGCGCAGTGCATCTGGAGCGCCCGGAAGGACGGCGTTACCTCCGTCAGCATTGGAGAGCATGGGTCCGTCATCATTTGCACGGAGTCCGGAGCGGTGTGGAGGCGGGTGAAGCGGGCCAAGGCCAAGGATGGCACCACACCTGGCACGGCTGATATAAAGAGGAAAGACTACAAATTTCAACGTGTGCCTGGCATTACCAATTCTATCGCCGTGCGGAGCTCCACTTTTGGCACGTTTGCGACGGTCAGGAGGGATTGCGTATCCGTTACGGAAGGGATTAAAGTTGGCGACCAGACACTCTGGGATGACCTCGCGGCGCTCTTCCCTCTGGCCAATTTTGAGCCGACACCGCCCCGCAATAAGGGGGATTTGAAGCTCTGGGACGACGAAAAGAAGAATAACAGGATTGGGCAGCTTGCCTACAACGTGCTGCGATCCCCGGATATTGAAAGTGACCTCGAGCTGCATTTGAGGATCCTATCCATCGATGATAGTTCGGGCTCCGATGCTGTCGTCAATACGTCTTCCGTACCCGAACTCAAGATTCCGGCCCACAGTTGGGTTTTTGCTGCCAGGAGCCCAGTTCTCCGCAAAGCTCTCGCGCAATTCAGGGAAGAAGGGGAGGCAGAAATCCCCGAGGTCCTGAAAATTTGCCGTGATAAAGATTCCAAAACCTTGATTACGTTTACTGGCTTGGATATTCTCTCGCTTCTGAACGTTGTCGTCTATGTCTACCGGGACGAGGTCATTCCCGTCTGGAACTATCTCCGCCAAGTTCCCCGCCTAGCCTCCCGCTACCGTCAAGTCAGGGTGGAATTGATGAAGCTAGCGACCCGGCTAAGCATGGCCAAGCTCGAGGCGGCTGCGCGAACACAGTCCAGAATCATCAAATCTCTGGACCGAGATTTTGCCCATGCCATTCATGATAGGGATTTCTTGGAAAGCGGCGATGTGGTCATTGACCTTGATGGGGCCGAGGTACCCGTTCACAGTCAGCTGATGTGCCAGCGCTGCCCGTTCTTCTATGGTCTCTTCCAAGGCCGGTCCCAAGGCCAGTGGCTTGCGGGCCGACTTGAAGACAGCGAAGGAGAGGAAGACAAAATCCGAGTTGACCTCAGCCACATAGATCCGCAGGCATTCCGCTACGTGTTGATGTACTTGTACGGGGATGTCGGGCTGGAGCTTTTTGATGACGCAGTATGCGTGAACATAGACGAGTTCTCCGAGCTCGTCATGGAGGTCATGAGCATTGCGAATGAACTGATGCTCGACCGCCTTTCGCAAATATGCCAGCAGGTCATCTCTAGATTCGTCAACACTCGAAATCTCTCTAATCTCCTAAACGAGATCAGCCCGTGCTCGGTCACCGAGTTCAAGATCGCCGGCCTCGAATATGCTTGTCTACACATGGAAGCGATGCTGGAGAACCATCTGCTTGACGACCTTGAAGATGATCTCATGGAGGAGCTCGATGCCACCGTGCGGGACAACCAGCTCGCTCGCGCTCCGATATCGCGGAGCGGGAGGTCGGAATTGTTGTTGCATGAGAAGTATCCCGAACTCGTTGAGGATATTGATGAGGAGCGGCGCCGACGGACGAGGGAGATGGCGTGGAAGGCTACGCATCGTGAGGATGAGAAGAAGTTGTCGGCCTCCTACCGGACAAAGTATGGAAGCTTCGACGACGGGCTGTCTGCGTCTCCTTCCGTTGACAAGTTGCGCCGGAAGGGTAAGGTGCCAGCAGCCTATGAGCCGAACAGCCCTAGTCTACGTCCCGATGCTTCACAGGGCGATATGATTTTCAGCATGGACGAGGACGATGCTCAACTGGGATGTCCACAGTCTCCAAGTCTGCGCCCAACGGACAAGAAGAATCTCCAGACGCCCGTATCTGGGCCCGGGGACAAGGACAAAGTTGGCTTCAGATCTCTTTCCCAGAGTCAAAGACGCCCACCGATTGAATCTACGAGTCCTGCTGGAATCCCACAACAACAACTCCAGCCTCCATCAACACCGTCGAAGCAAGAGATTTCCCAAGGGAATGGGAAGACTGCAGGGAGCCCCTGGGGAGCGGCGCCTCTATCGACGAGTAAGTTGGATCTCCGCACAATCATGTCGGAAACGTCCACCCCCGGTTCCAGGCCCTCTGGTATTGCCGCGGGCCTAGGTCTAGCGGCGCAGAAGGGCAAGGAAGCGGCGCAAAAGCCGACGCCTACGAAGCTATCCCAGAAGGAACGGAAGAAGCAGCAGCAGCTCGAGGCATCTCAACGAGCCGCGGCCGAGCTTGCCGCGCAGGAGCAGCCGAAGAAGGCCTGGGATACGCAAGGAGGTTCGGAGAAGTCGGCAGCGGCAGCACCGTGGAAGACGGTCGCTGCGTCGGCGTCCAAAACGTCTCTCAAGGATGTCATGTCAGCGGCATCGAGCGAGCAACTAGTCAAGGCGCCGACGGCACCTATGGGCGCGGGCGCTATGAAACCTCTTGTGGCGACGGAGGCGGCGGGGCACGCTATCTCCATCCCGCGCCGTACAGCATCGCCCGATACTCGGTTCTCGGGACAACCGCGGGCGACGGGCTCGTCATCTACGGCCTACAATGGCGGTGCGCCGGCTTCTTCGTCTACATCTTCGTCGCGGACGGCGCAGAAGCAACCGATGGCACCGTACTCGAAGTCGTACATTAAGCCGGCACCCAAGGCCGAGCCGACTTTCGGGATGACCCTCGAGGACATTATCGGACAGCAGCGTCGCGAGCAGGAGCTCGTCAAGGAAGCCGTGGCCAAGAGGCCGCTTCAGGAGATTCAGCAGGAGCAGGCGTTCCAAGAGTGGTGGGATCAGGAGAGCCGACGGACGCAGGAGGAGGAGGCGAGGAGGGTTGCGAGGGAAAGGGAGAAGGAGAAGGAGAAAGAGAAAGCTAGTAAGCGTGGTGGGAGGAGAGGTCGCGGTGGCAAGCCGAGAGGTGGTGGGAATGGGAGTGTTGGAGGTGGTGGCCCGTCTGGTAGCCAGCAGGGCGGTGCGGAGGCCAGCGGGGAGGGAGGCGCGCCGCGTAATGGCAATGGCAAGAGGAATAGGGGGAATGGCAATAGAGGGGTGAGAGGGAGGGGAGGGGCGCAGACGACTGCTTCGTGAAGCTCACTAACCAGTAGTGACGGGTTGGCTCTTGGCCGTTTTGGTTGTCATTGTTTCTTGTTTTACGTTTCTAGGTGGGAGGCATCAAAATCGGGTGTTTCTTTTACTTTTTTTCTCATTTCTTAAATTTTTTCACCCTTCTTTTATTTTTTCACCCTTCTTTTATTTTTTCACCCTTCTTTTAGACTACTTCTCACGGACACCCTGGCGTTGAGGTTGAGAGGCTCAAGTAGGGATTAGAACAGGCGGCAGGACCATTGGGTGGCTATCTTTCTTTAGAAGTATATTTTCTTCTCCCAGCGCACACACTAGCAAAAAGCCCCCCTATAATTGTACACTTTTGGACTCTTTCTTAGTTCTAAGCTTGCAAAACTCTACGAACCAACAGATAGCACGTCAACCTGCGGCCGAAATGGTTATCATGGGCGGTGAAGGAGGCCAACAGGGTGGGTTGTCAAGGTTGCGTTCCGCCCTGCGCCGGGCCACCTTGAGAGACCAATGCAGGGATAAATTGTAATGTCAAGCAATAACCAACAACCATCGCTTTCCTGTCTCGGTGCCTTGAACGCCACCTGAAAGAAAGAACCCATGAATGTTTTCCAGCGTTCGTCACTTGGGAGGCGAGTCATTTGTCTGTAAGGTACGAGGGGGATATCAATCCCATCTTGGCACAAGATTTCATTGCGCACAAATGGAAAGGGAAGGGAATGATTGAAAGGGCGGAGGCAGTTCGAGGTACCGTGGCTAGGTTGGATCACGAGGCTGGCCCGATTGGGAAGAGGATGGCGATTTGAGGAGGACGAATTGATCAACAGACACAGATGGTGAGCGGTTATAATCTAATCTCAGAGGTAAGGGAAGAGGAGGGATTTGGAGAGTTGAAGAGTGATCAATAGGTGGAGTGGATCGTTCTCCAACTGATGGCACATGGAAATAGGAGCACTAAACATAAGTACAAGATCTAAGTGGTAAAATACATCTTCCTTGTATGGTAAGCCCAGGGAAATTAAAGTACCCTACATCGTATTTCGCAGCTGTTGAAGATGGAGAATTGATCAAATACCGCTCCGGTATTACTTACATGAGGTTAATCGGTGCAGCTCGAAAATGGTACATGGCTCGGGTATTCATTCATTGACGTATTCGTATTTCCTGGTTTCTCTTGCTGTGCACAATCCATTTCGAGTCGCGTGAGAGTCTGGAAACGTTGAGATGATGGATGTGATGACTTCGTGACTTGGTAACTTCGTGACCTTCTCCTGCGTAAGTGCGAAACCGGCCCGCTAAGATTGATTTCATACTTTGCTCTCCCCAAGGGCGCTGCTGATGACGGTGATGACGGTAATGACGGTAAATGCTCTTATCAGACTGTGTACCTTCGTCCAAGTACTAGAAGTATCTTGATGCACTAATCCGCATCTCGCCAATACCGAGCGACTGATTAGGTGCTCAGGAGTGTAGCACTTACTACTCTGGCACTCGTCGACCTCGCATGTGGTCTGGTGTCACACCTGCATTTCTTTGTTAGTGTCACCGTTTACACACTTGTCACTGATAAATACTCCGTAGTAGCGATAGCGTCCCGCGGTATCCCGATCTCACCTTCTTTCGCCCTTCCTACCGCCCTTAGCCTTACTATTTTGTTTCTCAACGGCGTTGCGCAACACTAGACCCTTCCTCTGTCATTGTCAGTGACCCCGAGCCTTCGTTCCGAAGTGCCCGTCACAAAATACGTCACTTTCCGACCAAGGGATAGTAAGACCACGAAGTACTCCGTACTTCGCAGACACGACCGACAACCAGTATGTAGTTCCATCAGGTCAGGCTTCGGTCAAGAGCTACTCCGTACATGTACCATCGAGACTTCGACTGCCGTCCAACATCTCGCGCATAAATTTCCCATCTGCAGTGCCATCTCGGTTGCCTCCATCCTTCGCCGTTTTGCTCCGGAATGGGCCTTCGATTTTGTGGCGGATGGGTTCTGCTTTAAAGTGCGCCGCCACAGACACACGAAACCTGTGTCGAGACTGTGTGCATGACATAACTGCCAGGTCACGACCAGCAGGTCATTGACCAATTGATCGGTGATACTGAGGTATTATTTTCGTACCTCGCACTGATTCGATCAATTGATCAAGTTGAGCACTGCATTGTATGCACCTCGACTCCAGTCTTGACCTGTGCTGTCAGCCTCAACTACTTGGCCCCTGTATTCCCTGGACTGGCACGGAGTACACTCCTCACTGCACACTAATGATACTCGCTGCACCTCTGAGACTGGACACACCGCACTGTATCCAGCATTGCGAAGTGTACGTTCTACTCACCCAACCTACAAAGTACGAAGTACCTCTTCCAAGTACAAATCGAACCAAACGGGAGCGTCCCCAACACACAGCACAGATCTCTCTGATCCTTACTGACGAACCAGAGACGGCGAAAACGGCGAACCACACCTTCTGACCAGGCCTCCGCCAGTACTTCGACTTGTACCTCGTACTTCCCCCAACTTTGTCCAACTCGGGTCCAGATCCATTTGATCAATATTGATTTGATCTGCCTTATCCAGTGATCCACCCCAACCCAGGTCAGAGCACCAAGCAACACAGGGTCCGACTCCCGACTTTGGCCTGGCCTGTAAGCCATTCTGCCGTCTACCTTCCGCTGTCCGCCATTCACCACTCACCACTCACCACTCTCCATCCGCATCCATTTGATCAGCTCCATCTGGTTGCCTGCCCCGAATGCTAGGACCAGAAACCATTAGGCGACATCCAAACCGTTCATCGCCTCCTACCTTCCCTGCAACTTTATCGACTTTCGCACCAAGTCCCCGTCCCATTCACGAGCAATCAGCCAAGCTCGGACTCTCCACACGACTTCACTCGTAGAACATACGCGGTCGATTCTTAGACGATATAGAATAGTCTTTTACCCGTCTCTTCATTTGGCCCACCTCACCTCTCACTCCTGACTGAATCCTGTGGTTATTTGTGAGAATGGACGAACAGGTTGGGCGGTATAGCGACGAAATCGCCCTTGACGCTTAAGAGCCTTGCTCTCTCCATAGGAGAGTGACTCCCCGTCTCGCCTATTCGACAACCATCTCTCACCACCCTTTCGTCTCTATCGCGGCTGAACACCTTTATCTCCGGCTCTTCTACTATCTCCCTCCCTCTCTCCACCACTTCGCTGGGCGCCTCTATCTATCACTACCCGCCCGACCGCCCCTATTCACAGTCCTACTACTACGTCCTACTATATCATCACCCTCCATCTCTCAACCAAGATGCATCAACATCCCCGTGCACCCCCTCGGGGTGCCTCCCCTGCCTCTTCAGCCCAGACGAACCCGATGAGGACGAACAACCCCAGGGACAGTGGGAATCCTGCTTCCCAAGCGAGGCCAGGTTCCTCCGCCTCTGGCCATTCTCGGCGAGATTCCATCGGACACCCCATCCCGACAGATACGGCATCTTCTCGGCCACCTCAGGAGTCGGTCAAGAAGCTCGATCAGATCCTACAGGTATGTGGTGGCTATTCCATTGGATCTCCAACCGGCTCTCACCGGCCCGCAACCCGACCCGTGTTTTCTTAACTGTGTGCGCTAATCAATCTCTCATGCTCTCTTCCTGTAGAACTTCTACCTAAAAGCTTCCGCGTTAATTCTCGAGTCTCGAATGAGTCTACATTATACTGGAAGCTCCAAGATGAGCAAATGGGTAAGCCAGTGCCCTTTCTTTCTCTCATCGCCACCATCAGAATACAAGGACCGGATCTCTAACTGGCGTTCCTTGTTCTATAGTTCCAAATAGAAACCCGTGATTTTGACGACTTCCGAGACGAGCTCCGTATGTGGAAGACATGCGGCAGTTTCGATAATCGACCGCCTCCCCTCATAATAGAGGTCTATCTTGATACCTCCGAGCTCGCTACCAGCCAGAGCCTAGTAATTCTCGACGAGCAAGGAAAGAGATGGGACGTCGCCGAAGCTCTAGCAACTTCGGCTTCATCGAGTTCCGACAACGCGACCAGCGAAACTCGTCGACCTACAGAGGTCATACTAGAAAGATGGCGTATCGACCTGAAGACAACCGCCTACGATAACGACGACTTTGCCCCGATCCTCCCTACTATCTACAAGAAGGCCATCGTGTTTTTCCGCAGCCTGTATGTCGAGACTAGGATATCGCCTTGCTTCCACTTCTCCCAGCACGATAAGCAAAAGGACATGTACCCGACGCTACGACCAAAGTGCCGCATAAAAACGAGCGAGTCGGGACCCAACGTACCAGATCGGTTGAGACATCCACTCTACAACACGAATAAGCCGGTATTCGAGGAGTACGTATTTGGCGATCTGGAGTTGCCAGTTGGACGGCTCTACGCGTCCATTGCCTATCGCAAGGATCTCAACTTCCGGGTGGATGACTCTGAAAAGCTCTTGAGTTCTAGGTTCATGGGTGCGGATGAGAGCCTCTTTAAACCGTCCTTGCCCCAATCTCTCGGTAGCAGGCAACATGACGCCTTTAGGGAAATAGGCACCCAAGGAGGAGCCGGCAAGATGTCTACCGTGCCCGCCCAAACGTATGGTAGTCTGTCGACGTTCCACGGAGAAGGACCCCTTGGTACGAGTCCTATATCGGCCCTGAACGCGGTTCGCATGCCGGGGTCCGACACGAGCTCCCCACCGCAGTCCGTACCCGCCGATGCCGAGCCAGAACCTCCGCATTCTGTTCCATCGGGGTTTGGGGGCGGAAACCGGTTTTCGGCGGCGGGACAAGTTGGGGGACACAATCCTCGGCGGCCGTCAATTTCGTTCCAAGCCGGAAAACATCCCTTCAAAGCGGGATCTCTCTCTGCTTCTCCAGTACCGCGGACACAGGACGGGGAAACCCCGGGTTCACCCCAGTCTCTTTCTCGAGTCGCCGGTCTCTCTGCCCTAACGCAACCTAGGAACCGAAGCTCTCTGACAGCGGGAATGCCGGCATCATTGCGCGGCCCCGCTCCTGTCAATACCAATATCACTCACGTTCCTAGCCCTGGTCTGCCCGATGCCATGGCAAGCTCTCCCCGGCCTTCATCCACGAGCCGTTACAGCAGCAGCTTCACGCACCGTCGTGGAAAACTGTCATTCAGCGGCCCCAACAAGCCTCTTGACGACGACCAGCTTAGTAGCGGACGGCAGAGCGTGTCATCATCCGTCATTCAACCAGGTTCGGGCCTGCTTGCAGAGACAGGCGCAGCGGCGAGCTCAGGGTCGTTCCAGACCGATGACGACCAAATTTCCGAGTTCCTAAAGGTGTTGGAGAACAAAAAGAACCTCATGAGCTTCGAGTCGTCCAAGCGGGCGGAGTCGGCAACGAACCGTACGGTTGCGCAACTGTCGAGGTTCCACATGATGAAGGAGGCCAACCACCAACTAACCGAGTCCATGACGTCGTCGTCCATCCAAATGCAGAGGTCATCTAGCACATCTAGCAGACAGCTTACGAGCGTCCCTGGCATGGTGGCACCAGCGTCGGTTTCTAGCTCGGATTCGCCTGGGAAGCCGCTTTCGCCCCACACGCCCCATACGCCGGCGATTCCATCCCGACTCAGCGAGAACTCGATTATTAACTATTCGCGGGATCAGCGAGGAGTCGAAGAGGCGTCGGGCCCCTCGAGAACCGGCGTTCCCGCTGACCACCCATCGCGCGAGTCCACCATCACCCAGGAGCGAGTGGCAGCCATCGACATTCCGCTCTCGCCGAGGGTTAGACCTCACCCGCGGCGAGCAAGCTCCGTTGCGCAGGAACCGAGAGCTGTCTCTACGGATGACGACGACGCCGATCTGCCATTTGCCCATCGCAGCATCAGCCTAGGCGCCGACCGAGAGGCCCCGACGATGAGCATGCTTCGGGGCATGCAGGCTGGCGAGGGCGAAGATGAATCGCGAGCTTCTTCTTCACGCGGTATCAGCGTGCAGGAGGATGCCGCTGTTGCCGGGCAGTCAGAAATGATGTCGCCAAGCTCGGGCGATGGGAAGTCGCCGTGCAGCATCCTTCGGCCGTCGTCGAGCTCGCCTTATCGCCGAACACGATATCGGGGCATGTCCAATGCTACTGCGGCGGGACGTGGACAGACGCCGCCGCAGTCGAGCCGCGGGGTTGCTGGTAATCGACAGGGCTGTCCCGAGAATGACGATGAGGAGCCGCTGGTCTTTATGATGTCGGAGATGGACGCCCATTCGAGGCGCAGTCTTGAGGAGCGCCGCGGCGGTGGGAATGTCGGACCGGGACCTGGTGTTGATCGAAATCCTGCTCGCCGGGGATGGTAATCGGTTGGGCACCAGGGGTATACCCAGTCGGTTCGACCAGAAGTGGTGAGGGGATCCGCCTCGTGAGTGTATCTGAAGAGGAATAACACATAATGGGTACATTACAAACAAGAATCAAACAACGATTCGCGGTGGCCTGGTGTCGAGAGGAACGACACGTCAGCGGGTGCCGATTGCGTGGGCTCATCCGGTGCTCGTATTTCCCTGCCACAAGAACAACGGCATTGGTTTTACCCTTCTCGGCGAAGACGGACATTGCAACAAAACGACAATAGGTGCTATGACACCTTATTTACGCTGATACAGAAAGCAGCAACAAATGGTTCAAAAATATATAAAAGGAAAAAAAAAAAAAGAAAAGATTACCATCGGAGAATGGGTTAAAACGAGGCCGGGAAATCGGGGAAATTTTAACATTGGTTTAGACTGGCATGCTTCTCTCCCTTGGCAGCTTGGGGAGATCTCTTACATTTTGAAGGACCCGAAGTCCTCATAACTAGGGGCAGTGTGGAAAGGAGTTGATCCATTTGATTTTCGTTCATGGTCATGGATTCTTTTCCCTTTCTTTTTGCTCTTCACGTTTTTTTCTCTTTCCAGTATATTGGGACATGAAGGGCATTAACGAAAGGTTGACACATTTCTCTGTAGGAGAGAGGTTTTATTCTTTATTCTGTTGTTTGGTGTGAAGGTGTTATTTGGTGGGGGGACTTATCTGGCGATGATATAGGACCGGAGAATGGGATCTTCTTTGCATATATATTGATATATCATTATTGCTTTGATTTATACTAGATTGCATGGCCCGAGTTTGGCTGTTCTTCAAGTTTGAGACCCCAGAGTGCCCAGAGTGCCCAGAGTGCCCAGAGTGCTCAGAGGAGGGAACCTCTGGGACTCGGAAAGTTGTGTTATAGCCTGGGTGACTGGAAATCGGCCTCGATCCGGAAGACGAGTATCAAGTATGACTATAGGGTTTGCGTTCATCCTCTTGTGTTTTTGTGACAGGTCCTGTGCTCCGATTCTGTGGTTTGCTTCCTTCAAGACTCCGAGCAGTTGGGCTGAGGACATTGAGGGTGCATTGGTAAAGTACACGGCACCGCCACATTCTTAAGTGGTTTAGCCACACATTGGCTGTGGGCTGGTGGCAAGGCCAATTTCTGAATTTCTGGAGCAGTTCAGGTCACAACACAGTGTGACAAGCCGAGTCTACAGGGGTGTAATTAGTGGCTGTGGGTACCAGAATCACTTAACTGGTTGCTGGGGAACCGGACTGATGCTGTTGCAATCGCTGTCACAATCAATTGATTCGATCTCGAAGTCGACTAGAGCTTCATGTTAGGAAGTGTTCACCACAACTCACAATTGGGCTCCAAGCATGCACAAATTCCACCATTTTTCTTTCTTTCCTCCTCCTCAGATGAATACGTGGTCCGAGACTGGAGCCTAGTCTGTTGATATTGATTTCATCATTGATATTTTTGTCTTGTCAACAGCAAACGCAACGGAAACAAATCCCCCCTTTGACCCCGCCATCCTATGAAGTTTGTACCAACCCAACAAACACACTCACCTCCACACTCCTCGATTTATTTGTTCGCGTTCTACTTTCCATGACCTTGACACGCTCATGGGTCCTCGTTAAGCACTCGCACACACCAAAAAGACTAATTTCCCGGCCATCCTAAGCAGGAAACCCGGCGAACGGTTTGCCTATCGTCACCGAGACACGCTGTCTTCAAACGACGAGCCTCGATTCATAAAGTCACCCAAGAAGAAGAAGAAGCCACCGTCCAGGATGGTGCGAGAACAAGCGCCTCCAAAGGTGCCCCTACGGCCTATCACGGCAAACGAAGAAGCCGTAAGACCATCCTCCCAGGCTGGGAAGCCCCAGAGCACCCCGACAAAGCCTTACGCCTCCGCCGCATCATCCCTACCTTTCGACGAAGATTGGTTCGAGGACGGGAGGTCACCTGCACACAGCCAGAGCCAAAACGACGCTCTACTGGATAGATTTAATGCCCTGAGTCTCGGCGGCTCACAGTCCAAATCCCAGGATGGACTGGCAACCGCCGACTCCTCCATCGTCGAGATCCTCCCGCCCCCGAGCCGCGGTAACCTCCTCTCCTCATCGGGGGCCAGCTCCAGCCAGAGTTCCATGGGGTCCTTCCGTCCGGCGTCTTCCCAGAGCCTCTTTGGTTCGTCATCGTCGTCACAGAACGGCAAGGCCAAGTCGAACGCTTTCCGCCGCCCAATGTCGTCGGCGCAGCAGAAGGCGTACAATAGCGTCTTTATCAAACAGACTAGGCGCCCTGAGCATCACCGAGACAACCAGTACCGCGTCGCTGCACCGACGGCAGCCCCGCTTGCTGATATCCCGGCACCGGCGCCCAAGACGTTTAGTTCGATCGACGACTTTTTGGTGGCGCAACCGTTTCGGCAGCATGAGCCCGAGACGGAGTTCTATACGGACCCGAAGAAGGCGGCTTCGGATTTGAAGGCCTTGCTAGAGGGCGGCATGGAAGAGGATGCTGAGGGGGATAAAGACGGTATAGATGGCGAAGAGAAGAAGCGGAAAGATGGAACACTTGAGGGGCTTAATGTTAAGCTGTTGCCTCACCAGGTTGAGGGGGTTGAGTGGATGAAGGGTCGCGAACTTGGCCCTGTTAAGCGGGGCAAGGTGCCCCGGGGAGGCATCCTTGCCGATGATATGGGTCTGGGAAAGACTCTACAGAGTATCTCGCTTATCCTGAGCAACCAGAGGCCCGACAAGGAAGACAAGGCCTGGAAGAAGTCGTATGCTGGTGTCGAGAAGACTACGCTCGTCGTGGCTCCTCTTGCCCTCATCCGCCAGTGGGAAGCGGAGATCAAGGAGAAGGTGGCTAAGACCCACAAACTCAAGGTTTACGTCCACCACGGCCCACAAAGGACAAAGTCATTCAAGGAACTCGCCCTCTACGATGTTGTTGTCACCACTTATCAGACGCTTGTTTCGGAGCACGGACACTCGGCCAGCGCTCCAGACGGACCCAAAGCCGGCTGCTTTGGTCTCCACTGGTGGCGCGTGATTCTCGACGAGGCGCACTCGATTAAGAACAGGAATGCCAAGGCGACCAAGGCATGCTGTGCCCTGCGAACCATTTTCCGGTGGTGTTTGACTGGTACGCCTATGCAGAATAACCTCGACGAGCTGCAGTCTCTCGTCCATTTCCTTCGCATCCAGCCCTACGATGACCTGAGGGAGTGGAGGGAACACATCGACAAGCCTATGAAGAACGGAAAGGGCCACCTCGCTATTCGCCGGCTGCACAGTTTGCTGCGCTGCTTCATGAAGCGCCGCACGAAGGACATTCTCAAGGAGGACGGTGCGTTGAATCCCGGCGGCAAGCCATTGGAGCCCGGCGAGAAGTCCGCTACGGGGTTCAAGGTCACGGAGCGCAAGGTCGTCGACGTCAGCGTCGAGTTCTCGCCCGCGGAGAAACGGTTTTACGGGCGGCTCCAGGCTCGCGCCGATAAGAGTCTCGAGAGGATGTTGAAGGGGAAAGTCAACTATGCTAATGCGCTCGTGTTGCTGCTGCGACTCCGACAAACATGCAACCACCCGAAGCTGGTGGAAGGGAAGCTCGAGAGGGATGGGGACGTGCTCTCCGGCTCCGGGGGCAATGCCCGGAAGGAAGTGGGGCAGACGGCCATAGACGACTTGGCGGATTTGTTCGCTTCGGCTAGCATCCGGACGAAGTCGTGCTTGATATGCGGTTGTGAGTTGGGGTTGGCAGAGTCGAAAGCCGGACGGGATCATTGTCAGGATTGCGATGCTGACCTCGTGTACTTTAACAATGGCGGAGACGATACTAGGAAGAGGGGGAAGAAGGATAAGAAAAAGAAGAAGAAGAAGAAGACCAACAAGGACTCGAGCGATCAAGAGGCACATGATGAGGCTTCTTCGCCTCAACAACGAAATGCAGAGGCCGCAGGCAAGAGGTCCAGAAGGCCGGCCGCGCGAAAAGTCATTATGGACAGTGACGACGAAGAGGAGGAAGGCAGCTGGCTTGTCCCCGAGGATCAGCGTGGCGAGCTGAAACTGGGGAAGGCCGGTGGGGAGGAAGACGAGAATGCCGAGGGTGGAGGTGACTGGATAGGTTCCGAGGACTCGTTCCACAAGTCTGAAGCCGAGGACGACGGAAGTCAGCTGGACAGTTTCATCGTCCATGATGACAAGGTCCCCAAGGATGACAGTGCGGTCCTCGCGGCATACAGGACTGACGATGACGATGACGACGCCTTCCCCTCTGTGCAGGCTCTATGCTCCCAACCTTCTCAGCCGCAAGTTGTCGATGCAGATGCTACGGCTTCCTCAATCGAGGACTCTGATGACTCTGGTGACTCTGAGGGAGAGTCCTCCTCGTCCGAGGAAGACGAAGAAGACAGTGGTGTTGACGAGGGTGACATCGAAAGCGACAGCGACGATGATGGCCTCGCCGTCTTCCGCCTCAAGAAGAAGAGCGGCAGCCAAGTCCTCGCGTCCGCCAAGATCCGCCGCCTGATCAAGATCCTGCACAAGGAGGTGCACGAGCACAAGTTCATCGTCTTCTCCCAGTTCACGTCCATGCTGGACCTCGTCGAGCCCTTCTTCGAGAAGGAAGGGTTCAAGTACACGCGCTACGACGGGAGCATGAAGAACGACGAGCGCGAGGAGAGCCTCCACAGGCTGAGGAACGATAAGAATACGCGCATTCTGCTGTGTAGTTTGAAGTGCGGGTCTTTGGGGTTGAATTTGACGGCGGCTACGAGGGTGGTTATTCTTGAGCCTTTTTGGAATCCGGTAAGCTCTATTCTACATTTTCCCTCGTTCTCTCTTTTCCCCCTTTTCTTTTTTCTTCTAGCGCCAAGAATTGAAACTGACAGCTTTCATGTAGTTCATCGAGGAACAAGCCATCGATCGCGTCCACCGACTCACCCAAAAGATTGACGTCATCGTCTACAAGCTCACCGTCGGCGGCACCGTCGAAGAGCGCATCCAGCAACTACAGCAGAAGAAGCGGCTCCTCGCAGAGCAGGCCATCGAGGGCGGCATGAAGAAGGACGCCTTCAAGCTCGGCATCAAAGAGATGCTCGATCTGTTCAAGCACGAGGGCAGCATCGACTACGTTGGGGCTTACGAGAAGGGCTCAGACACTGAGAGTGAGAGGAGTGGGGGCCTGCTGGCGTCGTCGTCGCAGAGGTCTGGGGATGGGAGGGCACCGGTGAGGAGGGAGGAGAGTGCTGTTTTTGGACGGCGGTGGTAAGAGGCTGTTGGTGAGAAGAAGAGGTTGGGAATGCTGTCATGACTTGATTGTTGGAACTTGCATGGGGGATCATTTGTTCTTTTGGGTCGTTTAGTTTTTGTAAATGCAGCATTGGGAAATACAGATACAGGTCTGGGTAATAGAGCCATGGGTGATGACCTACTTTCTTAATGTTTGATCTCTCTTCTCTTCTCCCTCTCTCTTTCCCTCCCTGATGTGGTACAAGTACCTTTGTATTTCTCAGATGGCCCAAGCTCCTTCCTTGCCTGAGCTTGGCACACACGCACCTTCCACCGACGGTGACGTCGCGAAAGAGCCTCCTTCCGTTGTTTCAAAGCTTTGTTTGTTTGTCTCCACGACATTGACTCCTCAACTTTGCTACTTCGCTCTCTTCTCAATTGCTCATCCACCGACTTCAATTGCCCTCGCGACAGCAGGCTGTTGCCATTTCCAAACGCTCTGAATCAAACATCTCTCATTTTCACTAACAATTAGCCACCGAACTATCGATCAGAAGCAGAAAAAGTAATCAAGATGGCGCCCTTACTCCCTCGCATGCAAGTCTTCGAAATCGACGACCAGCCATGGTACGTACGCTCCCACAACCTACCTATCTCCCTCAACCTCCCAAAAGCTAACCTCAAAACAGGTTCCCCTCCTTCCTCCGCGCCCATATCCAAAACGCCCTCTCTCTCGTCTGGACATTGCCGCCCCTCCCCTTCACCACCTCCCCTGCCACCCACGCCGCGAACATCCTCCAACGCCACCTCCCCTCCTACCACACCCACACCTACATCGACTTCTGCGCCGGCGGCGGCGGCCCCACGCCCGCCATCGAACGCATCATCAACGACGGGCTCCGCAGACGCGGCGAGAAGGACGTCCGCTTCGTCATGACGGACATACACCCCAACGTGGACAGCTGGAGGCGGTGGAGTGCCGGAAGGAGCGCTTTGAGTTTTGAGGAGGAGAGCGTGGATGCTAGGGACGGCGGGGCGGTGGTGAGCAGGTGGAAGGAGGGGGATGGGGGGAGGATTTGTAGGTTGTTTAATTTGGCGTTTCATCATTTTGATGGGGGGTTGGCGGGGGATATTTTGAGGGATACGGTGAGGACGAGCCATGCTTTTGCGTAAGTTTTCTTTTCTTCTTGTGTCCCTTTCTTTTGCTTCTGGAGGCGAGGGACTGATGAAAACAGCATATTTGAACTCCAAGATCGGCATCTTCTCTCCTTCTTGCCCATCCTACTCCTCTTCCCCGCCACATTTCTCTTCGCTCCCTTTTACGCCCTCAAGCACCGTTCGCTCTCAGCGCTCATTTTCACCTACCTCTTCCCCGTCATCCCTTTCGTCCTCGTCTTCGACGGGTGGATGTCCGCGGTGAGGACTCGCACGCCGGAAGAGGTGGAGGCTATGTTGAGGGAGAGCGCGGGGCCTGATGCGGCGGAGTGGCGGGTAAAGAGTGGGAGGGAGGTGCATCTTTGGCCTTGTGGGTATGTCAATTGGATCGTGTGTTACAAGGAGTAGTGTTAGTAGGGACGCGTCCGCAGCAAAGAGAAGCGGTAAGCGTGGAAGCGGTTTTTGCTTTTGAGATGGGTGTGGTACGGTACGATCGGTATATATATCACTTTAAAGGCAGGACGATAGAAGAATTGTTAGACACCCTTGGGGGAAAATGCAATTTCAGTAGAGGCTTCCGTTTGCTCCCCCCGATGGGCAAGGAAATGGCGTCGTCCTAAGCTAAGAGAGAAAAACAACCGCAGTTCGTAATGCAATGATGTTCCTTGATTTCCATCCTTGCGGAAAACAGAAAGATTTGTCGTTCTCGTTTCACAGCACGTAAAAAGCAACCGAAGCAATTAGCAAGGCAAGCAAAGGCAGAGAGAATTGAGACTGAAAAAAAGAGAAATAAGTTATTATATAAAAAACGTAAAAGCATTTGCAACGTCCTTCGAGCGGGCCAGATATCGGCGCGGCTCTCAATGTATCCGATTCCTCTGTGAAAGTCCTTGAAAAAAAAAGAAAGCCGCATGAGATAAATAAAAGACATGAAGATAATAAAAAAGGAAAATGAAAAAAACAAAGGCGCCTGCAACAATGTTGAATTCTTTTTTACTTTTCCACACCACACCGAAAAACTTCATGTTGCACCCGAAGTTTCCTCAACAGCAGCACATCATCCCATCATCATAGACATTTACACACGGAGAGAGAGAAAACTGTTTAAACGACGGGGCCAGCGTTGATGGCCTCCTCGGTCGCCTCGCTCTCGTACTTCTTGAAGTTCTCCTTGAAGAGCTTGCCGAGCTTGGTAACCTCGTCGGTGAACTTGTCCGCGCCGGCCTCCCAAGCGGTCTTGGGGTTGAGGAGCTCGGAGGGAACGCCGGGGCAGGACTTGGGGACCTGGAGGTTGAAGACGTCGTAGGTCTCGAACTCGACCTTGGCGAGCTCGCCGGAGTGGATGGCGTCGAGGATGGCGCGGGTGTACTTGAGGGGGCAGCGCTTGCCGCCCTGGGTGTAGCCGGCACCGACCCAGCCGGTGTTGAGGAGCCAGGCGTTGGCGTTGTGCTGCTCGATCTTGTCGGCGAGCATGCGGGCGTAGCGCATGGGGTGGAGGGCGAGGAAGGGCTGGCCGAAGCAGGCGGAGAAGGTGGCCTCGGGCTCGGTGACACCGTCCTCGGTACCGGCCATCTTGGAGGTGTAGCCGGAGATGAAGTGGAACATGGTCTGGCCACGGTCGAGCTTGGAGATGGCGGGAAGGACACCGCGGGCGTCGCAGGTGAGGAGGACGATGTTGGTGGGGTGCTTCTCGGTGACGCAGGGAATCTTGGCGTTGGGGATGAACTCGATGGGGTAGGCACACCTCGTATTCTCGGTGAGGGTGGCATCATCGTAGTCTACTACCCTGGTCTCGGGGTCGAAAACGACGTTCTCAAGAACGGAACCGAAGCGGATAGCGTTGAAAATATCGGGCTCCTTCTCGCCCGAGAGGCCAATGCACTTGGCGTAGCAGCCGCCCTCAATGTTGAAGACGCCAGTGTCGCTCCAGCAGTGCTCATCATCACCGATGAGGTAACGGCTGGGGTCGGCGGAAAGGGTGGTCTTGCCGGTGCCGGAGAGACCGAAGAAGAGAGTGACCTCTCCGTCCTTGCCCTCGTTGGCGGAGGAGTGGAGGGTGAGGACGTTGTGCTTGATGGGCATTTCGTAGAAGAGAACGGTGAAGACACCCTTCTTCATCTCACCAGCGTACTCGGTACCGAGGATGACCATTTCCTTCTCGGCGAAGTTGATGGCCACGGAGGTGCCGGAGGTCATGCCCTCGGTGAATCGGTTGGCGGGGAACTTGCCAGCATTGTAGATGATGTAGTCGGGGGTGAAGTGCTGAAGCTCCTCGCGCGTGGGCCTGATGAGCATGTTCCTCATGAAGAGGGCGTGGTAGGCGCGAGCGCAGACAACGCGCACTCGGATCCTGTACTTCTCGTCCCATCCCGCAAAACCGTCAATGACGTAGATTCGGTTTCGGGTGTTGAGGTAGTCAACGGCACGCTCGCGGTTGATTTTCCAGACCTGCCGGAATCACCATGTTAGTCTCTAATTGCTTTACTGCGCACAGTTTTTGTGTTGGCTGCAATTGAGGCCTCTGCACTGTGGGGTTCTTGGGACTTGTTCTTGGCAAACCGGCCCGACCGAGCCTGACCGAAGTCGCTCTCGGTCGAGATTGCCTGGTGCAAATTTGGTTCACGGAAGAGGGGGAAATGCAGGGTCCTGCCAGGTGCCAATGGCGGGTGTCCCGGGCAGTCTTCGGCTAACACTTGCTCACTGGTCGGATAACTGTACCCGAACTTTTGAATTCTGCCCCACCGCCTCGGCTATTGGAATTTCACAGCGACAAGCAGCAGCCACTGCCCCGCCCCCTCGCTAAGTTGCTAGGGGGTTATGACGACAACCAAGATCAGGATGTTTGGGGGAAACGGGGAAGAGGGGAAAGGGTGGGAAAAGTGAATTCCAAGGGATATCAATGGAATTATCGTGTCGCGGATGTTTGCATAATTCGGGAAAGATTGTGCTGAAAGCCAAGGGTTTGAGGGGTGAAAGTCTTTCTCCGTGTAGCATGTGCAATGACGCAGCAGAGCCGACGTCAAGCGAGGAGTGTGTGGAAGTTGCAGCTTGTCATGATATCCGACGACAGCCATTTTCGCTTTGTTTCTTCTGGGCTTCCTCTTTCGGGTGCGGCAGGATCGATTGGAAAGATTGGAAAGAAAAAATTACTTACATCAGGGGTCATGGGCTTGTTTACGGGTCCCCACCAGATCTCGTTCTCGGTCTCAGGCTCCTTGACAATTCGCTTGTCTAGGGGTGACCTGCCGGTCTTCGCGCCGGAGTAGGCAGTGAGGGCGCCAGAGGATGTGATGGCGGTACCAGTCTCGTAGACGAGGGCATCTTCGTAGAGGGCAGCAACGGAGGGGTTCTCAATCTATAAGGATCGCCATATATTAGCATTGTGGTTGCGGGGTTGAGATTGGTGTGTTTGTTAGCTGCTGGAAACTTACAATCGCAACTCGGGAGTAGTCGATGTGTGCCTTCTCGTAGAGGGTCTCCTCTATAATGCTGTGTTAGTCTTCGCAGTTCGGGCTGAATGTTGCACTGTCCTGGATTACAGGAAAGGACCGTACCAATTTCCGTGACCTCGTGCTCGCCGTGGTCCTTCTCGAAGTGGGGTCTATGGGAGAATTCGTGTTAGTGGCGTGCGAGCTTTCCAAGGGGGAATTGGCCGCAAGGCCGTGGAGGTTCGGGAAATATTGACTTACTGGACACCCGCGGGGTGAAGGGGAGTCTTATTTACGTTCAAGTTGGGAATCACTGTTGATGGGCGACGAAGCCTGGTCAGCATAGTTGCGGTTTGGGGGGGAATTTCGAGGAGTTGGCAAAGTTGAAGGGTGGTTTGGTTTGGGAAGTCTAACTTGTGAAGGTGTGGGAGCTCAAACTGGCTCGGTTTTGGCGGAGGTAAGGGGGGGTTTATGAAGCTATCGTGAAAGAGGCGAAAAAAAGTAGATGGGCAAAAACTAACTTTTGTGAAGATCGTGTTGATGACCTGATGATAGAATCTGTGCTCTTGGTCCTTTAACTGTTGGATCAGAGTAGGGAGAGACGCTTCTTCGACTGGGAAACATGTTCCTTTATATGAAGGTTTTCCCAATTCCTTGTTGACGACAAGACCTTGGTACTATTCGGCTCGGGAATCCCCTAGAGTTGCTGATAGGCGATGAATCAACCTAAAAATCCGGGGGGCGTGTGTCTAGCGGCTGCTGGCTCTGGCTCTTTTCGGGAAAGGACCTTTTTGCGCTGATTGAGGCGTAGTACTGCCTAGCGTCCTGGGTAGATGAGCAGAAAGATGAGCGATAGTGGATGTCGTGTGTGAGCGTGACGGTCGTATCTGGTACGCAAGGGTACGAGCACGTAAAGGAGTAGCAGTAGAGTGGCTCTTGATTGCGCCTTTCGCACTTGTGATTGGTTGTTTTTGCTTCCTAACTTGTCCGGTCAGAAGCGGGGAGGGGTGCAAATTGTGTGAATGTACTTCGTACACGTCAAACAACCCGGCGATGAATTGTGGCGTATGTTACTTTGACGATGTTTGTCTGTCGTTGTATTTCTTCGGTACGAAGTAGTGTACAACAGTTTTTAGTTTCTCCACTTGGTGCCAAGCAGGGTGAAAGCTTCTCTCGAGGTACGTGAGAGTTATTGTCGACTTGAGGATATATCCGAATAGAAATCGGGAGTCGAAACGGGTAGAGTAAGGACGAGATATGGGGAGTTAGGTGAGGGCTTGTAAGTGCTATGGTGAATTGGGGGGGGGGGGGGGGGGGAATCTTGGACGTTGATTGATGGGGGGCGTGTGTGTTTGAGAATAGCTGTGGCTGTTCCCGTTGTTGCAATGGGTCTAGATTCAATCGTTGTCTGGTATCAGAGAAAATCGGCTATTTCGACTGCCTGGGGCAAAGTCCGTTCGGTATCGATAACGATACGCAGCTTTGAGCTTTAGGGATCAATAGATTGGAGCTGATCGTGCCGAGAAAAAAGAGGCAAAAAAATGTGGACAGAATCAAAAGACTGATTGGGCCTTGTTTCTTTTGGATTCCGTTAGTTGCGTCCTGGAGTAAACTGTGAATGCTTTGGGTTTAGAGAATGGGTCTTGGTGTCATGGCAATGGGTCCTCCAGGAGGTCGAGACCGAGGATATAAAAGACTGGATTCTCGCCAAGAGGTACGTTGACGCCGGTATTACGACGTATTGGGAGGGAATGGGAGCCGCCGGTGGAGCGCGATCCCGAGCTTGGCCCTTTCCGGATGGGAAGAGCTTGTGCGACCAGATCGAGCCACATGGGGCGGGCAATCACGATATTATCCCGGAGCGCACCGGTACATGATCAAGGCAGCGCAACAAACCGACCTGACCTCCAGTGACTCCTCACATTTGCGCGCAATTGCGTCGCCAGGTGGCCCGGATTCCTTGGATTCCCTGGACACTCCGTTATGTCTCAGGTTGAAAGTCGTATAGCAATCTATCGGTGAGGGTCGCCATGGAGTGTCAATGGCTTTTTGATCGCGTGCATTCTGGAATTTCAGGCTCTCGACGACCCCCACTGACCTGAGCATTCCGTCATTTCATCAGATGGGGAATGATCTTCCCAGGAGAAACTCTATATTGGGGCTGTTGACACCTGCAAAATGATACAATATACACCGATTACACACTATGTACACGCGTTATTATGAGGGGGCAGTTGTATTATCGGTGAGAGAGAATAAAAAACAAAAGGCCTGTCGTATTTGGCAGTCTGCCATGATGGTACGAAGTAGGTTGTCTGAGGTGCTTCACGATGGCTCCTTCTCCTTGCTCCTCAACAGTGTTAATTGGGGGTCCTTCTAGGCCCATTACGAAGTCTAGGCTCGACCCGGGATTCTCCGAGTCAAAGAGGGAACCCGCACCCAAAAGGCATTTGAAACAGCTACGCTAGAACAAACTATGGAGTAATAAACGATACCATTGAAAAGTCCGAGAGTGGAAAAAGAAAAAAATGAGCGAGAAAAAAGAAAGAAAAAAGAAAAAAAAAAAAAAGAGAGCGAAAAAAGGCCCACGAAAGAACAACTCACAACCCACGTAATGACGATGAACCGAGCGTCCCCTCCCCCGCGGCGACGGCGACGGCGACGGACCACATCAACCCGGCCAGGAGCGATAATCAATTGATCAAATTTATCGATAACATTACCCAGCCAAGGCGAGCAAGGGCCTGGCCAGGCCACTGAGGCTAGCGGCAATGGCCGCCGTGGGTGGCTTTTTTTCTTCAAGACTACCGAACTGGGCCCATTCCAAGACCCTGGAAGCAAGCCCGAGGAGGCGAATTGGACGAATTGAACGAATTGGCGAATTGTCGACGCACACCAGATCAATCAAAATGCAATTATTGATCCGGCTTCTGTAATTTACGGTCAAGTCATAACGCAACTGTCGGTCGAAAAGTGGGCAGGAGTAGTGCTACATCACCCCAGATTTTGGGGGCTTGGCATGGAGCCTAGACTTGCTGGACTTGGCACCAGGCGACCGTGCGCTAGGAAAAGTAAGGGAAAGGGCCAAAGGTGGAAGTGCGAGTGGGTGGTACAACCTCAAACCTGCAGTTTTTCCTGCTTTTCGGTCCAGAACACCAGGTCAAGCAGGACCATATTACGTCGTTTACCCACGGGATCGGTGTTCGGCTACAGCCTGCGTGTTTGGGTGTTGCCACAACGAATGTTGAAGCATCCTATTCTCAATATGCATCATGGAACGACAGCCAATCGCCTCGGCCTGCATCTTTGTCGGTTGACAAGAACTCGGACGACGTGGATGCTCAGCCAGTCACGATGCTGCCGTATTCCCATGGTCGCGTGCCTGCTGGGATATTGTGGTCAGAAGAGAAAAAATTGCAGACCGAGGAAGTTGCGGTGGTGCGGGAAATAAAAAATGGGCGCAATGTTTTCGAGCTCATCTCGGACTCCCCAGCAAGCTTGCTGGTCAGAGGTCACGTTCACGCTCTTCGTGTCAGCCGCCCTGAGAGTCGGACACGTTTTAAGGCTGATCTCAGCCTGGGAGTGACCAGCTGCCGGTTCCCCCCTCCCTCCCTTTTCCCCCCTAACACATAATCCTATACCAGGGTTTGAAATGTTATTTTGAGAGATCAGATCCACCACATGACCTATCTCCTGACAGGTACTAAATAAGAATTTTTACTTATAAATTATCAGAGGATATACCTTCATAAAACTTGATCTAAGATATACCCGGTGGCGGCGAGCATCTCTCGATTTAACATTTCAAACCCTGGTATAGGATTATCAGGTGTCGACCCAGGATTTTTCCGTTGCCGGCTTCAGCGACGCTACTAACCTAATTGGCCCTAGAAAATCCGGGGGAAGGCCCCTTCCTGTCGAATCTTAGCGACACCGACATCAGTACACGATTCTTAAAAATGATCATTGACATTAAATGTCTCCGGCAAATGCACGCGTACATATCCTGCTTCTCCACCGCTCAACTCATTGGCTTTTTCCAAAGCCACAAAGGGCGTTGTTTTTATTTTTCTCCGATTTATTCTTTGCTGTTTGTCTACATCTACATGCACTCCGCTCCTAAACTACTTCGTCCTGTTGTTTTACACGCCCCCCCCCGGTCCCGATCCAGCCGTTCTTATCCACATCAGATATGACTCCTTTCAAGAAGGAAGTTGCGATATCTACACTAGATGTTCGAATTGTGCTAGTTGCAGCCAACCAGACAAGGTACATCCACGTGATGGTACCAAAGAACAGCGAAAGCGGGTCCCGCCGTCAATGCCCGACCCCACCGAAGAAGTCTCAAAAAGCTGCGAAGCAAACTCCAATTGTACAAGTTAAGATTTCCACGCCCCCCCAAAAACCCCAATTGGACCCGTTGTGCCCAGCCATTCTCGGCTTAGTGCCTGTTTCTTCATGCCTCAGTCATCTCGACTCTTTCCCTATCTCCGTTAGTCCTTGAATTGTTCCGACATTCTCCGATCATATGAGATCTCAAGTCCCGGAAATAGATTGAAAGGGACAAAGTTGCCCCCAAGTTTGGAGTCTGTGTGGGCAAGATGGACAAGATTTCTGACAAACTTCGGGAGTTGAGCTCGGCGCTTCACCTTAACCCGACCGGTTCTTTGGTACTGTGCCCTAACGGACCCCAGCCTGGACCGTCCACAGGGTTACGAAGAGTAGTGTAGAGCAGTGTACAAAGGTAGGGGGAATGCAGATCGCGGGCGCAGCTGGATAAACCAAGCATTGTAACTTGCTTGCCGAATCTGACGCAACCGACCGCAATTTTTTTTTCCACATTTTTTTCCCAAAATTTTTTTCGCCCTTCATTCTTGCCTTCTTTGGATTTACTTGTAGCCAAAGAGGTCTGCTGGTCCTCTACATGTGACTTTCTGCAAGGGTACCCCAGAGCAGACTAGGATAAAGCAAGCGCCCTCCAACTCTCCTTCGCCCGAGCCCCTTGCGTACCCGAGGAGTGACTTACACCGTCCACGCACTCCCGTACCCACCGAAACCCACGATGGGCTTCACCTTGGTCTCCATCGTCGTATTTCGGGCATGAATTTCCTGAAGATTTTTCCTTTCCTCATTTCCATTTTTCCTACTCCCCTTCTAATTTCCATCACAAAAAACGCTAGAAGGGCCGCCCCTTGTCGAAGGTTATTTTTGCACCTTCACGTGGGCCACCTGACTCACAAGTCTACCTATAGCCCCGTATTTACTCGTCAACTGACTGTATTCTAATTTCAGAAATGCCCCTGGTAACGAAGGTGGATGTCCAAAAGTGGGAAGAAGGAAAAACACCATCCGGTAAACCTCCCGCCGACCAGCCCCGGGCCAAACATCGTGAAACCCGTAAGGACCGGAGAAGAGGAAGACGAAGAGGTCCCGGAGGAGGCCAATGTACGCATGAACATGTATCATGTACCTGTCCCAAATCATCAAGAAATACGTAGACATGGCATAAGCGGCCCCCCGGTATCCCATTCCCCCAAATGCTATCTACACGCCCCCTAAACACACACACTCAACGCACGAACACACACAGAGAAACACACAAACGAAAGGAAAGGAAATACATATCAGATCCCAGCAAAAAGCGAAGTGGAAGGTCCTTCCCCATTCTCCCACCTTCCGCTCCGACCTGCTCCGGCAACCAGCGGCCGCACTCCCCTCCGTCGTACACCGAGCATCTAGACCTTTCTATTCCGGTGGGACCCCCCGTTAGTTCCCGAAATCCTGGGGCTGCTTGTTTTAAACGAAGAAAAAGAATGTGGGCAAAGCAAAAAATACACCTTCAAAAATAGCCCGCCCCAAAAGATTGAGTTGCTTTTCAGCTTTCCATTAGAGAAACACCCACTGTATTTCTTTCCGGGTTATTATCGTGAAGCCCACTTCTCCACAAGAGAGAACCGAGGACGGAGAAGATCCAGAGGGCCCCGCCCTGAAAGTCTTGTAGATTTTTAATGCTTTCTAAACAAAGAAGAGGGAACCCTAGGGGAGCTGGAACTGCCCTAGTTTTCGTTTCATAAAAAAATAGAGGGAAAAAAAAGTTGGCAATACCAATATACTTCGTACGCAGGTAAGAGAGCAAGATGGGGCCGGCGGAGGGGCTTGGAGAGGGGTGTAAGACCCGCTCTTGGAAGGGAGCAACCAATATTGTCTCAAAATTTCTCAGATCTTCCAATCGGGTACGGTCTCTGGATCTAGATTGTCTTTGTTTTTTTCTTTGTTCTGAAGATGGTAGCTTTGTATACCGGTGAGATTCGACTTGTATCTATACAGTTGTGGTACGCCGCCCCTGGGGGAACGAGAGATCCGGATGATGGCAGGCAACGGAGAGGAAGAGCATACACACCCCCCCTTGCCTTGTCAAGAGTGGCTTTGCAGGTCCGGCGCGATACGTCAAGGTGTGCCAAACAAAGAGCTTCGTACGCAGTAATGCAACGCAGCCGTAGCTTTCAGTTAGTTGCTGCCCAGCCCATCATTTCTCGGCACATAGCGAGGTATCATTTTTTCGGAAGCACCGCGGTTGTCTGGTCTCAACAACAAAGTGGCCAACAACAGAAGAAAACAGAGAAGAAAAAAAACTCATCAAAAAATACTTATTTTGACCACCTCATTTTGGCGACTACGACATTACTTCGTAATAACGACCGGTCCACTAAGGTGGAGCTGTGTGTGTGATATCAAGCACACAGAATCGTGCTTATAAAGGCAGTTTTTATATGGGCCCTTCTTCCGCCATCGATGACTTGCATGGCTACATTCCTGCTGCCCTTGGTCTTGGCGGTCCTCAAACTTGGATATCCTTCTTGCAGCCACCGTAATTCAACGGTCCTCCCTCCCCGATGTGACATGGGTGGGTCTACGAAATCTTCCGTAAACGCTCACTCCGTCTGGAGATGTACCGGGACGACATGCCCAGCGTTCGAAACTGACATGGCCTTGTCCCTTCTTAGGCCGAATCCGTAATAAGCTTAGTGATCTTGCCAATAGCAATCGTTTGTCCCTGGATGACCCATATTAGCAACGTGGTTCGTGCTTTTTCCCAGATGTCGGGAGCGGGAGGGGAGTAGTGAGTTTGGGGAAAGGACGGGAGGAGAGTTTTGAGGAAGGGAAGAGGACGGAGGAGGGCTTCCGGCTGCATGGGCCCCGATCTAGGCCCATGGGCTGGCCCTACGTAGCTCTCTCACATGACACATACCTGGTCTCTCAATGTGAAGCGGCCCATCTGGGGATAGTCTTCGAAGCGCTCGATACATACGCTTCCCGCGCCGCCAATAACCTGCATCCTGGCGATGATGCTGTCACCCTTCTTGGCGTGCGTCGGCGGGAGCTTACTCTTCCGCCCGGTTCCCTTTTGAAGCTTGTGCAGCAACGCCGCGAACGTAACCTCCTCGATAGCAGCGTGTACGTGCAACACGCAGTTGAAGCCGGCTGTGAGAATGCTCTTGAGATCGAGAATACGGATCTGGGCTTCGAATTCGCTGACGCAGTGCACCAATCGCTTCGGAGAGCAAAGAACGAAGCCGGGAAGGATATCTTCTTCCTCAATGCCCTTGAGTCGAATACGCACCTGGTCACCGCATTGGGCGATCGGGATCTCGTCTTCAGCCTCAGCGTACACCGCCATCACTTCGACGTTCTGCTTATTGGGCATCATGATTAAGCTCATTCCCTTCTTCACAACACCGGCCTCGATCTTGCCCTCCACCATGGTACCTAGATCACGGTACTTGCCATTGACGGCCATCATGAACGGAGCATTCACCTTCCTTTCAAGCGCCTTCATGCCGTCAAGGTATTCAAGCAGGGATGGTCCGTCATACCAAGGACACACAGACTTTGGTACGCGATCCTTGATGCCCTGGATCTGTTGAGCGGCGATGGGGATAAACATGACATCCGTCTTGAGGTTGTAACCCGTGCCCTTGAGGAACTGAGAGAGCTTCGTAGTGCACTCGTTGTATCGCGCCTGCGACCAGTTGACCGTGGGGTCGTCCATCTTGTTGATAACAACGACGAGCTTATTGACACCCTGGGTCTTGGCAAGCATAGCGTGCTCGCGGGTCTGACCACCCCTTTCGAACCCGGTCTCGTACTCTCCCTTACGGGCGCTGATGACGAGAATACCAACATCCGCTTGAGAGGCACCGCCAATCATGTTGGGAACGTAGGTCTTGTGTCCAGGGGCGTCGAGGATACTGTATCGGCGCTTGTCGGTCTCGAAGAATCCACGACCGACTTCAACAGTCTTTCCCTTCGAACGCTCTTCCTTTGTCAAGTCCAGGACCCAAGAGAGATACCACGATTCACGGCCCATGTCCTTGGCCTCTTTTCGGTACTTGTCAATAGTACGCTCATCAACCATCCCAGTAGCGTAGAGAATGGATCCACCCAAGGTGGACTTGCCGGCGTCGACGTGGCCGATGAAGATGATGTTGACGTGCTCCTTTCCGTAAATTTCCTTCAGAGTATCCTCATCGACATCAGCGGCTTGCTCCTTCTGGACGGCGTCCGCATCTCGCACGGGCCCCTTGGAGCTGCCCGCGGTCGGGCTCGAGCGACCGGACGAAGGGGTTGGTGAAGTCTTTCCGCTAGCTGACGCTCCAGTCTTGCTGATCGCCTTCGCCGCCGTAGCCTTCGCGCCGTCGTCGGTCTTTAGTGCAGCCTCCTTCTTAGTCTCTGCCTTTGGAGCCTCGGCCTTCTTAGGTGCCTCGGCCTTCTTGGACGGATCAACAGCTCCGGAGCCGCCAATGGAGAGTACCTTGGCCTTGGGCTTGGTTACGTCTGCGCCCAAAGAAAGGACCTTGGCACCACCCTCTTTCTGTACGGGAGGCTTGGCCTGGGCGGCGGGCGCCGCGGCAGCAGGGCCCTTGGGAGGCGCGGTTTGTTGGGATTGCGGCTGGGTTCGCTGTTGCTGTTGCTGTTGCTGCCTTTGCTGTTGTTGTTGTTGTTGAGGTTGAGACACCTGCTGCTGGGGACGTTGCTGTTGCTGTTGGAAGTTCTGCTGCCCATACTGAGGGAATTGGCCGCCTGTGGGATCGCGAGGAAGCGAGTTAGTTGGTGCATCTTCCGATGTGGCTTGAGAGAGAAGCCATCGGGAGGAAAGGTGGGCGGGAAAACGAACCGTATTGCTGGCCATATCCGCCTTGCTGATATCCTTGACCACCCTGTCCGTACTGATCATAGCCCTGTTGACCGCCGTACTGGGGGTAATAACCTTGCTGATAGTATTGCTGGTACTGGGGCGCGTAACCGCCGTAGGCTTGGCCCGGCTGGAAGCTCTGCGCGGTGGGCTGGAAAGCGGCGGCGGCGGCGTTCGCTCGGAAGGCGCCACCCTGGCCCTGGCCCTGGCCTTGCTGGTTGATATTCAGCTGCTGCTGAGTTTGCCTGGACAGGCTCTCATCCTGGGCAGCAGGATCGTCCTCCCACGAGTTGAGGTGAGACATGGTGGTTTGAGGCTCGTGAAATGGATGGTTGGAAGTATGTAGAAATACTGGAAAGTGATAATACAAGAGGCTTGGATGTGTCCTATTCTTAAAGCTGTTATGTACAGGGAATGTTAGGACACCGCCCAAAATATGATGACGCGCAAGAGAAGTGGAACTTGGCGCACAAGGGAGGGACAGGGACTAAGGAAGAGGGCGGGGGTATCTCACAGTTGCCAGGAGTTACAGCCTAATGTGAAGAGAGCTGCTGGCGGAAGAGGACTTTATGTAGGCAAGACTCCTCCTTTGGAATCACAGATGAGGATGGTGGCTGTGATAAAGGAATCCAGTTGTTGCTTCAGCAGAGGCAAAAAAAAAAGGGATGCTGTCAAGCGAAAAATCAAGTGTGGAAGGAGTGACTTTTTGATAAGTCTGGAATTGCCCCGCCATGGTTCGTCGCCCTGGAACAAGGAAAACCTGAAGCGGGGCTGTTTGTGTAAGTACCTCTACAGTGCATTTGTATGGACATATTTTGCAACAATACAGCTAAAAGAGTCGCACAAAATTAATTGAAGCTTCAATTAACACTGTATAAGCACGGCCAAAAATACCTCGTGGTCGAGGGCAAAATCCATTCGATGTGGTGGTTGACTTGTTGACCTAGACTCGGTGATCAGATAATATGGAACGTCCCTGCCTAAAACTGCTGAATTGACCCGAGCCTAAGGATCAATTAATGCAGTCGATCGAACCTTCCCAGCCGAAAATCAGGCTGCGCTGACGTCCTGACTCACCGAGTCTAGCACAGCCAACAATGAAAGGTCAAATGATGCTGCTGACTTGGGCGTTTGTGCTACTGTAGATATGATTCATATTTTAGGATTTGAACTCGATAGCTATCCTGGTCAGACCGGAAACTGGGCTCTGCCTATGGAGCTTGGACTGGAAGTACATACGTACATTTTAACCCTCGTCGATGCCCATCATTGATGTGTTGTCTCTCAGGGGTGTTGTTGCTGTCCCCCTTGCACATGCACGTGTGATTTGAGAAGGCACCAACCAAAGCTTCTGTTATTCTATTCTCACTATCCCAGGCCAAAACCAAAACAACAAACCCAACACAGGGAATGAACCTATGCACTTTCCCCTCCCATATATGCCTCTAGACATAATGGAATCATCCCCGGTTTCCCCTTGCCACCGATGGACGCCCTACTCTCACGGCTTGGTGTCCAGGCTATGAACTATGCCATCAGGTCGGGACTTGCCCTTACCTCGACATATGCCATTTCTCAATGTTCTCGTCTTTTAAAGACTGTTGATGACAAGAATCTACGTACTGAGCTGAAGTCTCTCCAGAAGCGTCTCGACAGCAAGATACAGGTTGGTACTACGTGATGTCTTCTTGTCAACCTTCATGGTTTGGCCTCTTAGAATGCAGAGATATTCAAAGCTAATCATCTTTTTTAAGATTATATCACCCGCCATCGATCTTATCGAGTTCAAGTACGTCCTGGCACTGCCATCCTCCGATTCGAACCGAGGCTATGCTATCGATTATCTCTCTACTAACTCATCAATTACCCGCCTCGCAGGTCCGGTCGGGGAAACATATTCCTAGAATCAGCCGTCCCTCTCGCCAAGTCACTACACCAAGACATCATCTCCTTGGGAAAGCGCCTAGAGGATATAGCAGCCGCAGAAGAAGAATTAGCAGAGAGACGATGTCCGAGAGAAACACCCGAAAGGCAGGAAGCAGCATTCAGGTCTATAATCCTCGATCTCAAGAATCTCCTTGCGCGGATCGACCATGATATCCCACTACTGCAGCTTGCCATTACAGCCTCTGGTGAAAGTTTGGGTACCTCACTGCCACCCGGGGTCTCCCCGTCTCGTCTGCTCCAAGCCAGTACCTTTTTGATTGTGGGTGATACCCAATATGCCGAGGCCACCAAGCCCGTCCAAATCGGGCCATCCTTTACCTTGTCTCTCTACATGCTTTTCCTAGGCCATGCTTCGACTACTTCTGGACAAGCGAACGATGACCCCACCGCGGTTGTTGTCGATGAGAATCCGCCGTCGACACCAAGAACACAAAGAAGCCCCGAGTCGCGAGAAAAGGTGCCTTACGGCTTTGGGGAAAATGAGAGAAAGCCTATTTGGCAAGAGGTGATGCACAAAGCTCGGGTTCGATTATGCCGTACGCCTATACACTACGTTTTTGACCCTCTTGAGGGTTACAGACCAAAATCCGGGCATTCGACGGATGTAGCGCCGGATTATTTCCCGACCGATGAGTTTTCATACCACCTGGAGATCGTCGAGGACTTGGATGATGGGCGGGTCCATGACGATTTTCAACCCTCTCCGTATGATACCGTTTGCAATGCCGGAAGACGAGAGTCTATTCCGATTCATCATTTGTCCAAAATATTCTACACAGATACGGGAAGAATATTAAACGTGGGCAACGGGACGGGGTATGATAACAACCCGGTCCTGCTCCTAAAACGCGATCTTGCCCCAAAGGTCCCGTCACGCATGGCGGAGCGCCTAGAGCTGTACAACTCTCTGACGAGCAGTAATGAGTTGCTAAGAGGAGAATACTTGAACTCGGAAGAGTCGGATGAGCAGCTAGACATTGACCGCCAACTGACTATCGAGAGCCGGCGCCAGGCAACTAGAAAAGACGAGGCTTCGCGTGGCCTGGAAAAGGAGCAATGGAGGCTGCCTATGCATTTAGATCCCGAGTGGCTAGCTCTCGAGGTCTTTGAAGAGGACGAGTCAGAGACTAGTGATCTCGACGAAGACAGCGAATCAGACCAAGAAGCGCAACAGCAGCCTCGCCACGAAAGGCGGTCACTAGACTCGAGTCTGATTGACCAGATTCGGCGCCTCTCTGTCATGTCGTCGCATGGCACCGCGTCTCAATCGTCTTCGCGTCCTGTATCCCAGAACTTGAGCGTTCAAAAAGCATCGGCGAGCCAAGAGTCTTTGGTTGCGAGGTCTCCATTTGGGGCTATCGCCTCATCGCTATCTCTCATGGAAATGCTGATCCGCTTGAGTAGTCTTCAAGAGTTTCAGCAAATGTGCCACCTATCCATTCCCGATCACATCCTGACGTTCTTTTTGGAAGAGACGTCGACTACGGGATTGACGGGTGAGGATAAGTGGAACGCGAGGAATGATGCTAAGCGAAGAGTTGGATTTGATCCGTATACCGATAGTCCAAGCAAGTGATTTGATGGGACTTACGAAGTACTCCCAGACGGATCACTATGCTTCCTGAGAATGAGACCAATCAAGGCCCATAGACTAATAACACTAATAACGATCGAGCGTTTTGGAGATGATATCTACCACGGAATGTAGAGAAATTGGAAGGAAGAAAAATATCGTCAAGAGCTGGAGCTGAAGCTGAATGGCCCGCCGTATTCGGTACGATGGTTTTACGTATGTGAGCCCCGTCCAGAGGGAGCTTGGGACAAAAATAAAGCTGCGATGCAGTGTGGAATTTCCGTCACTAAAAATGCTAGAGCCTGGCTATTTTTCGGCTGATTCATATGTTTCTTGGTCATAGCAAATCACAGCTGCCCGAATGGCTCCTGCCTGTGGCGTGGTTCGTCATCCAGTGACGAAGATAGCATCTGGTTACGTATTGTTACTGACTGGTCCCACCCAAATTCCCCCTCCTAAATTAGCCCAATACCTTGCGCCGGAGACAAGGCTGCTGCTCCTGCTGCTGGTGATCCCTTGCTTGGCAGCACCAAGCATTCTAGGCTCCACCAATACTCATACTCCTTCCAATAACCGCCACCGTATCCCCATCACCAACATCTGTTGATGAATTCCTATTTTTTAATGTCTTAGCCATCGTCCGCTTCTTCCTGCGATAATTTATACCCCGTCTCGCAAAAAGGAGAGCCCTCATCGAGCCCACTGTGCGACCGACGAATACACGAAACCTCGATACATCACATCCTCCTCCTCCCTCATCATGTTTCGTGCGGCAGCGGCTGGTCCTTTTGACGAAGTCGTCGGTATGTGGTGACTACCTATTGATTTACCCTGATACTTCCATCCCGATCCAATGTAATAAATTCTGACTATGATTCCCGAACCAATAGCCCAGGCGACCGACGAGAACCTTACCTCGGAGGATTGGGGAGCTATCATGACAGTCTGCGACCGGGTGTCTGCCGACAATAGTGGTCCCAAAGAGGCTGTCCAGAGCATAATCAAGCGCCTCGCGCATCGAAATGCTAATGTACAGCTTTATACTCTCGAGGTATGTCTTTGAAGCGCTGCGACTTATCAGCTCATACCTGAGGAGACCCCTTCGACAGTGTGATCGCTTTCTAACCCTGTGTCCCCTTCATCTTAGCTTGCAAATGCGCTCAGCCAGAACTGTGGCAAGGAGATGCACCGCGAACTTGCCAGCCGTGCCTTCACGGATGCCCTACTGAAGCTTGCGAACGACCGAAATACCCACAACCAAGTCAAGGTTAGGATCCTCGAGAGGATGAAGGAGTGGTCCGACATGTTCAAGAACGATGCCGACCTCGGAATCATGTACGATGCTTTTTACCGCCTCAAGCAGACCAACCCCACGCTAGAGCCGCCCTCGGCACCCCAGAAGAACAACCTTACCGATCTCGACCGACAAAAGGAAGAGGAAGAGCTTCAGATGGCCCTGAAGCTGTCGCTGCAAGAGGAGGAGCGTAAGAAGAAGACCTCCGAGTCTGCGACTGCTACGGCGTCAACCTCCGCCGCCGGTGGTGCCGCTGCCGCTGCCGCCGAGATAAAACCAGTGGCGTCGGGAACAACAGCGGCGACGGTCTCCCGTGTCCGCGCTCTATACGACTTTGTGCCGTCCGAGAGTGGCGAGCTTGAATTCAAGAAGGGAGATGTGATTGCCGTCCTAGAATCCGTGTACAAGGACTGGTGGCGCGGCTCCCTTCGCGGGAAGACGGGCATCTTCCCTCTCAACTACGTCGAAAAGCTCACGGATCCCACTCCTGAGGAGCTTCAGCGCGAGGCACAGATGGAGGCAGAGGTGTTTGCCGAGATTAAGAATGTCGAGAAGCTCTTGACGTTGCTGAGCGCTTCGAATACCTCGCCCCGGGAGGAGGATAATGACGAGATTGCTGTACGTCTGGTTTCGTGTCCCATCGAAACGAGCTGCGTGGTTACTAACTTACGATGTTAGAAATTGTACCACCAAACGACTGCAATTCGCCCTAAGCTCATCCGATTGATTGAAAAGTACTCTCAGAAGAAAGGCATGTCAAAGACGTGATTAAACTTCACTGCCACGAATTTTGCTAACAATAATTTCCCTGCAGATGACTTCACACAGTTGAATGAAAAGTTCATCAAGGCTCGTCGGGATTATGAAGCCCTTTTGGAGTCGTCGATGGCCCATCCTCCTCAGCCGTCATACCACCAATACATGCCGGGGCCCCCGCAGCCAGGCTACCCACCCCAGGGTGGCCCTGGAGGACCGCCTCATGATGCTCAAAGATTTTACACGCCTGGGCCTCAGGGTATGTATTGACCCAAATATGGCAAGCTCGAACACGCGTTAACGTGTGGTAAATAGACTACCATGGCGTCAGCCCTCCGCCTGGAAACTTCCAACGCCCGAGCCAGGCGACACCCGCTCCTTTCTATGTCGCCGGAGCCGAAATCCCCTCCGGCGGGAACCCTCATGCCCCATCTCAACAGCAATCGTACCCAATCCGACCTGGCCCGACTTCCAGCGGATCTGCAGGTCAACCTGCTCCGATCAATACGTCTTCACCTCCTCCAGCATCCAACCAATACACTGCCTACTCGCAAGTGAACCAGCGCCCTGGGAGCACGTACGGTGCTCAAGAACTAGCGACGTCGGTGTACGACTCACCCATCGCTCCGCATAACCAGAACTCTCTAAACCCTGCGGCCCCTTACTCGCCTGATGACCCGTACAATCCTCCCAACGCTGGTGGTCCTCTCGCCCAGCCTACCGCACCTGCTGCACACGCGCAGCCATCGCAGCCCCAGTACCAGAGCTACAATCCTTCGCAGAACCAGGCTCAGTACGACGGAGCTCCCCCCGCACCCTCTGGTGCAGCTCCTCCCGTACCACAGGCACTAGCTCCCGGTAGGCCAGAGAATGCCGTGTCTCCTCCTCCGGGCGGACTGTATGACGCGCGCCAGGGTTTGCCCAGCCAGGCGGGCAACGGACACCCGCAGTACAAGCCTTATGTACCACCTTCTTCGGAGCCTAGCGCACCTGGCCCTGCCGACTACTACCGCCAGCCCAGCGGCTACTAATCGCATCGGCGAAGAGAGGACCTCCAGGGTTCGCTAGTTAGTTGTATATGGAACGCAAGGAGAGGATTCTTTTTTTGTTTTCTAGAGAGGCTATATGAATTGGGATGGCAAGTGCCTTGGTATTCATCATTGAACTTATTCTCCTGCTTGGCGTTTGGCGTGGCCTTTCTTCCATTTAGCTAGTTGTATGTCACACTCTTGTCGCAGACGTAAACTTTCATTTAGTGATAATTCGAGTGGAATACTGGCAAATGCGCAGTGCAAATATGTGACCGTTAAAACCCAGGCCGTATCGTAAGAAAACTTATGCGGGGAAATAAACAGGCAATATTGCGGACATCTATGGTCGGCGCGGAGAATTGATGTGTTGTACACGGCGCATATCGTACAGAAAACTTGGCCTTCCCATCAAGGCCATCGAGATCAGCTCGCCGCCGTTCCACTTCACCGAAACCACCAATTCACAGAGGCATTCAAAGATCCACCCTCGCCCTCACTCCTCACAGAATGCCACCAACCCATAGGAATAAACAGCGCATCCCCGGGCCCAACCCTCGCTTCAAACATCTCCGCGTCATGCGCCTCACCATCTTCCCAGACCATCTCGTGAAGAAGCTCCCTCTCGGGGCCGTACATCATATCCGCCAACCTAATCCTCGAAGACCCGCTCCGTCCCAACTTCGTCTGCACATTCCTAAAAAGCGCATCCCCGGCGGCGGGCTTCACGAGTCGTACGACTTTCACGCCGTGTAGCTGGCAGAAGAGGTTCGGGTTAGGATCGCGGTGGAGAGGGGTATATGTCGGTTCGAGACCGAGCCATATGCTCGAGGCGTAGATGTCTCCCTTTCCGGAGTTGGCGACGATGCGTGGTGTTGGGAGGTCGGCGGCTAGCTTTGGTGGTAGGTCTGAGATGGGGGATTGGGCGATGTAGAGCTGGCGGAGGGGGGTGTTTGGGAATGAGCGGTTGAAGGCGACGGCGGAGAGGAGGAGGGAGAGTGGAGCGTGGAATTGGAGGAAGGAGGGTGGGGAGTTGGGGGGTTTGAGGAATGTGGATTGGATGGGGATGAGGGAGTTTAATAGGAGAGTTTCCTGGGGAGATGTTTGGGTTGAGAGCCAGGAGAGGAAGAGGCATATAGCATCTTGTTGGTCGCTGACGGGGTTTGAGAGTGGTTGAGGGCTCATGAGCTCGTAGGGAAAGGGGTGGTAGAAGAATTCTGAGAGGTAGGAACTCAAAGGCCCCGGGTTCGCTGGATCAGAGCTCGATGATGCATCTTGGATGCCGGTGAACCACTTTTCTTGAGCTGGAAGAAAGTTTGGCTGTGCATTTGTAAGTGGGGCGTGAAATGCGAGAGGAATCTTGAGGTTTTCCGTCAATTTTATGAACTCTTGGATGTCTGCATCGTGGAACGGAGCTTCGAGGACAGCAACTCTGGAGGGTAGAGCTCGATGGGAAATAGCCCGATTCAAGCTCTGTGGCAGTCGCCGAAAATTAGAGATGGGTCTAAGTTTATTCATTCCTAGAACAAGGGGGTACACTAATTATTCTGCGTAGTATACCCTTCCGACCCTGACCGACTTTTCAGCCTCTTCTCGACTCGAAGCTATACGAAAACGGCGATGCTCTGTCGAATCCGTGTTGGACAAGAGCTCCTTCCCTGAACCGCCATGTAAGTTGGAGGAAGACAATATTCGATGACTAAGCAGCCAGTGGCACAGATCATCCAGACCACGTGCAAGCTACGATAAGATAAGACGACCTGAGGCTGGCTGACAAGTGATGGGGCACAATTGATTCAGGTGCGATGGCGGTGGTCCCACCAACCACTTTGGCCTGGCCCTCAGCGCACGCCCACAGCCCCCCTAATAACAACATCCTACGCCGCACCGCATCATCTGTTGATAAGAAGCGATTGGATTTGCCTTCCGGCTTGGGTCTGGCCACCACGACATTGGGATGGACAAATCTTTGACGACCCTGGCGACTTGATATATATCCCCGACGAAGGCCCTCTATGCCCGAACATCGATAACCTCGCTCCCTGATCTTTCCGCTCTGACTCTATATTCATCCATTGTTTTGCTTGGCTCTCTCTCAAGGCTGCTGCCCTGATTCCCGCCTGCCCCGCTAAAGCCTAGTGCCTGGGTCGCGACTTGGAATCGCCGTTTTCCTCCCGACTTTTCGTCACGTTCGAACCACCCGCCAGCTCCCAGATGACAGCGAAACCTCGACGGCCATGATCGCGTTCGTAGCTTGATTCTCAACCTCTTGGAATCCCTCGTCGATTCATCCAACGAACCCGCCCCGGTCCTTCTCAGCCCTTAATTCTGGCGTCATTTGGCCTCAGTGCTGCATTTTTCCGCTGGCGCCCACCACCCCCGCTATTTTCCACACAGAGACGCCCCGCTCCTCTCTGAGTCCCCTGGACCTCTATCAACAACACGCTCTCCTTCGATATAACGGAGCGCAACCCCGAAGATACCCTCTTCGCTCTTTTTTTTTTTTTTTTTTTCTTCGTTGGCGGCCCTGAACTCTGGGTATAGAGTGGTCGCTCGATGGTGCTTAGCATCATGTCCACGTCCTCGGGTCCGGCCGATACGTGGATTTCGTCCTACTGCTCGACCGTTGGACATGAGTATTTCGCGGAAGTTTCGGAGGACTTTATTGAGGATGACTTTAACTTGACGGGTCTGCAGACCCAGGTTGCCATGTACAAGGAGGCTTTAGAGGTACACTCGATAATCCCGACCCCGTCCGTGCCTTGTTCCTCCCCCGGCACACCTTAACTGCATCGCATATTTTTTTTTCCGTCTCTTTCTTCTCCCCATGAATAGAGGATGCAACCTACGAATTCTTTTATTTTTGTTTTATTTTTTAAGGGCATTTAACGTGGGCTAACATGATGTCTATCGCGCTAGATGATTCTTGATGTGGAGCCCGAGGACGACGAGGATGACGAAGAAGAAGACGAGGAAGACGACGAGGGCGAGTCAGGAGAGAACCAGGATCGCATGATTGCGAGGCAAGAGAGACGACATGCCGCCCACAGTCGAATGGCCAGCGACCTGTCCGTCATCGAGTCGTCAGCCGAGTTGCTGTATGGTCTTATCCACCAACGATACATCTGCTCGAGAGCCGGCATCCAGCAAATGAGCGAAAAGTACGAGCTCGGCCATTTCGGCGCTTGCCCCCGCACCAATTGCGAGATGGCGCGAACTCTCCCCGTCGGGCTTTCCGACATCCCTGGCGAGGACACGGTCAAGCTGTTTTGCCCCTCCTGCCTCGACGTATACGTTCCCCCTAATAGCCGATTCCAGACCGTGGACGGCGCCTTCTTCGGCCGCACTTTCGGTGCCCTCTTCCTCCTGACCTTCCCCGAATACGATCTGACGAAACGCGGCGTCGAGTTCCTCTCCAACACGAGGATCCAAGAGGGTTCCGAGATCATTAACGGTGTGTACGCGCGTAACATAGCGCCGGGGCTTGGTCGAAACCGGATCTACCAACCCAAGATTTACGGCTTTAGGGTGTCTGAGCTCGCTCGCTCAGGGCCCCGTATGCAGTGGCTGAGAAACCGACCCGATAACCTAAACGAGCTCGACGAGGCCAGGCTCTACGCCGAGCAACACCCAGACTCCGATTCCGACGAGGACATGACCTCCACCGGGAGGGGCATCGGCCGTCCCAGGCCTCCTGGGGGCGCTGCTAAAATTCGATCGAGGCGGCATGGGCCCAACGGTAGCCCGATGAACGTGGAGACTGCTAATGGTGCGGAGTCAGAGCTATGATGAAGAGAGCAGTCATGGGGGACGCTTAGGAGCAGGGAGCAGGAGTAGGACGGCGTGTGTATGTGGAGGGTTTTCATGGCACGGCGTTTATAGGTGTTGCGGAAAACCACACGAAGAAGGAGGAAATAAACGAAAATGAAAATAAATACTCAAAGATCCACTGTCACAACTGGGAGAGGGGCCAGAATCAAGGGATGGTTTTATATCGTGTTAATAGAGAGCTTGCTTCTTCTTCTTCTTCTTCTTTTTCTTCTCTCTCTTTTCTTCCCTTTGGATGGGAGTTCTTTTTTCGATGCCTCTGGTGATTCTATTCGAGGATGGCAGAACGTGGCAGTGGAGGGCTCCCTCCTCTTTCTCTCCATGTTTAACAGATGTCGAGAGATATGAATTCAATGAGTCCATGTGTGGATAAAATGCTTCTCTCGGTCTCTTGCCGCTGTTTTTTAATCCTGTCTGCCCTGTTGGTCGGTAAGGAGTAGTATATGAGGCCAAAATACGGGACCTGTATAAGCCTCCCAGGGGAATGATGAGTGGTACGCGGAAACATAGAGCAAATAGATGTGACAATCCCCTCCAACAATAGAGGAGCGAGCTTAGATTACGGAAACATGGCAAACTAGATCTCAACTACATGCACAAATCACACATCCTAATCACCCCCTCCCGCCTCAGAAGATCTCAACTTCACAAGACAAGGCAGCCCCCCTTCCATCGGCAGCGTCAAACTACTCGGGCTCTTCCTCTCGATCCCAGGCTCCGCGTCGGCAAAATCAAATAGCCAAACGACGACGGCGAGGACCTGGACGGCGATCAGCTCGGCCATTTTCTTACCGAGACAGATGCGCGGACCTCCGTTGAAGACGGGAAATTCACCGACGGAACGGTTGACGAAGTGCGGGCGTTCTCCCTTCTCGTCGTCACCGGCAAGGGTAGGGGAGAGCCAGCGGTCGGGGAGAAAGGAGTCGGCGTCGGGACCCCAGGTGATTTGGGAGCGGTTCATGGACCAGGGGGACCAGAGGAGGACAGAGTCGGCGGGGAGGAAGGTTCCGTCGGGGAGGGTGGTGGCGGCGGTGGTTTGTTTGATTTCTATGGGGATGGGCGGGTAGAGGCGGAGGGATTCGTAGAAGACGGCGAGGGTGTAAGGTGCTGACGTGGGTGTGAAGAGGGACGGATCGGGAAGGGAGGATGAAGAGGAAGAGCCGAGGATGCGCTGGATTTCGCGGCGCATTTGGCGTGTTGCCGAGGGATAACGTGTGAGCAGGTGGAGGGTCCAGGTTAGTGCCTGGGCAGTCGTGTCGCGGCCAGCGGAGAGGTAATTCAAGGCGGAGTCGGCTACGAGCTTCTCATCTCCTATCGAGTCCAGGAGGGAGTTGACCAGGCTCCCGGAGATTCGGTCGAGTTTACCCCCGTCCTCGCCCCCTAGGCCTGCCCTTTTCTTGTTCCCTTCCTCGCGCCGGGAATTTGTGGCGCTGTCGACGATTTGCCTCCCGTGATCCCGGACGAGAGACACGGCGCGTCGGAACTTAGAACCCATGAAAAACTCGGTGATTCTCCAAAGCGGGTTCTGGAACCGCTCGGCCGTCACCCCGCTCGCATACTCAAAAGCAAGAGTAAACTCATCCCTAGCATGCATCTCCATATCATACGCCATCTTCCCCATCAACCTCGTCGTAATCTCATGGAAAACCCCCTGCATATCCACAACAGTCCTCCCATCCGCCCTCCCCCTCAACGCCTCGACGCTCTCGCCAAGATACTTGGGCAACGCCACCTCCGTTAGGATCCTCAGATTCGCGGCGCTCAAAAACGCCAACCCGGCCTTCCGCTGCGCCTTCCACAGCTCCCCATCAGCATTGATGATACCATAACCAAAAAGGTCCCACGACCGTGACTTGACAAAGTCGCCCTTCGCGAACACCCCTTCGTTCTTGAGCACGAATTCAACGTTCTTCGGATCGCTTATCAGCACGCCCCGGCCTACCGTCGGCACGGAGATCTGCAGGGTCGAGTGGCCGTGGAGACGCTGGCAGGCGACGAACCAGGAGAGGAGCTCGTGGCGTGGGCGGAGGAAGTGGAGGGCGTTGCCGAGGAGGGGGAGGGTGTTGGGGGCTTTGGGGAGTGGGTGGGCATTCCGACGGATGGGCGGTTGGAGGAGGGCGTGAAGGAGGAAGAGGAGGATGGGGAGAGAGACAGAAAGGATGGTTGCTTGCGGGAGAGTGAGGTTGAGGAGGGTCATTTCTGCGATGGCTTGGCTTAGGGGGGCTTTGGTGTGAGATGCATGGTTTAGGATGTATCGATTGGGATAGAGATGGTTTTTTTTATATCCAAAATGAAGAATTGAATCAATTGATCACAGGATGCTTCCCCCCTTTTAACAATGCTTTGTGATACTTCTCATGTCTACGGATCGGGACTGACTTGCGTCTGTCGATGTTTCGACACGTCGTTTCGGGTCAGTCACGTGGGGGGGACGCATCGTCACATCTCATCATGGACTTCAACGCTCTGAATTCCTGTTGAACCTGAGAAGAGCTCTCATGACCGAGACTTCCTTCACGTTCCCTGGAAATGGAAAGAGACGCGTAAGATTTTTGGATGATTTGAGTGTTATTGCGACCCGGCCAGAGTTCTCTGAATACGAAAGGCTAAGCACGGATCTTGCCAAGGTCAAACAAAGTCTAATTCGGCACAATGAGCGCTTCCGGGCGTCATCTTCTCGGAAAGCATCTCCGGAAATCCGTTTTTACAATCATAGTTTACTCGGAAACCTACGGGAACTTGCCTCTCTTCTCTCCTTAGAGGGACTTTTTCCTCCTGCGGAACGGAAGCGCCTCGAGTGTCCATCCTCGAGAACGCCAGTGAGAGCTGAGTGGTGATATATATCTGTCAGGCACAATCACCTCGAGAGGCCGGTGCTATGGTTACACCTGGCCTGTAGCGAAAGTCCGCCGTGCTTCCTAACGAGGAGAAGGATGACGTGCTTGACTGTGCCGTGCATGAGTCTAATGAAAGTCTGACTTCCTCTTTCAAGACTTTTCGAGGACGGTTTGTAGCAGGCTGTCGTGCCCTTCATTATCCCGATAGCAACATAGAATATTGCGTTTGGTGTGTGGCACGAGACGGGTTGTATAAAGCACTCGGCGAAGATCAAGAAATGGCGATGTTCTCGCCGGACGGTAAGGCGAGAGCTGGCTCGATTCAAGAACTGCGTGGACGCTTGGCCTCATTGAATCCCAAGTGCACGAGCGGGAAGAAGTCCCGAAATTGGAGCAAGGCAAGGCAAGGTTAGGCAGAAACTCAAAGAATGAGATTCAGAGCAGAGGAAAACCAAGGTCTCCATTCCCGCTCAAGAAGTGGCTGTTGACGCGTCCTCGTAATCTTCGTAACTCGCCCTTGGAGGAATATCGTAACAACCAGCATCGCACCACTCTCCATCATCGCAGCCATCTATATAAAGTGCCCAACAAAACATCCACCCCGATCATCAACATGGACGCCCCCATTCTACATGTACATGATATCACCACCGCACCAAAACTCCATCGCCATACAACCGGGGATTACCGAGGTAAAGAAAGAGAAGTTCCAAAAAAGAGCTTACAACCACTGAAACGAAACACACACACACACACACACACACACACCATCCATCCTAAACCAACTCTTTAAAATGGTGAAACACATTCTCCTCCACAAATCTCCCGAACGAATTCGCCGAAGGTAATAAATCCACCTTCCCAGGCCCTCCACTCCCGCCTCCGATATAAACATCGAAAACCCTCCTCATCTCCATCATCAACTGCACACCGTTTGCGCTCTGCGCCACGGGGGGCTCGGCATGCTGCGCGTACGGTCCCCCGGGCCTCGGCGCTACGGGAGCCGATCTGAGCGTAGGTCTCGGATAGGGGCTATTATTAGTATTATTATTATTTATCATCGAAATCGGGTGAAGAGCTGATTGCGGTCTAGCGGTGCCGGATCCCATGGAAAGCCCCGTCGATGACCCGTCAGTCAGATGGTCGTCGTGCGCGGCAGACGGGGTCATCATGCTCCCCGTCACCTTGGGCGCGACTTCTTTGAGGGCGCTGAATGTGCGCCAGAGCCTCTTGGATACCCACGACTTTGCCGAGAGGTCTTTGACGAGGTCGAGCACCATGTAAAAGTGGTCGCGGGACACGGCCGAGAACTGTTGCGGGCAGTGCGCCGCAGCGAGGAAGACGACGGCGACGGCCGATGTGAGGAATTGTTGGTAAAAGACTTGCATTTTTCGGTAGAGGTTTGTCGTCGTGTCGATGTGGTTGAGGTAGCGGATGGTGTCGGTAGCGAGGTGAACGGCGGTTTGGGCGTAGTGGAAGTTGTTTCGGATGGTGTTGGAGTTGCAAAGGAAGGGCCTATACAGCCATAGACGGAGCTACATCAAAGACCAGTTAGACGAAACGAATCAAGGTTGGAGACGTCTTTGACATGTGACCGAAGCTCCCTTCTTTTTCTTACCTGGTTAAAGCGGAGATATGTCCATATCCGCAATCGTCGAAGATTGTACGAAGGGGTGGTAACCATCCGCTTCTCCTGACTCCAGTCCTTGATCTTGACCTCCTCCGGCGCCTTTTCATACCACTGAACGATTTCTCGGTCTAGGTTGTTCACTTCGTAGGTCGAAATTTCCTGAGCAGCGGGCTGGCCGTACTGTGACGTGAGCTTGAAAACTCGAGCGCCTAACCGCGAGTACGCGATCAGTGTCATGAGATATGGATGATCCTCCTGGAAGAGAGTGTCAGCAAATGATAGCCGGAAAAGAACAAAAAACAAAGCCTGCTTTACGTACCGGTAACGGTAGCTGCGGGTCGATATCCTCGTCTCTCGCAACATACGGTAGCCCCGTCCCAAACGACCATATCCTCTCATACACGTAGGCAAACCAAAAGCACGTAAGCCCAGTCTGCCTATCCTCGTCGTTCTCGATCGCCATCATGCTACTCCGGTGATGCAGACCCAGCTCGAGACACAACCTCGCCACCTGTCCCATAACTCTCCACGCAAGGATCTCGTCGTTGGATAGGAACCGGTAGCCTGCCAGCAATATGAGGAGCGGTAAATTCCTGACGTTGTTCGCCTCGGCCATGAGCTTCGCGTTGAGCTCAGCCTCCATACTCTCGTAGATACGAGTCGCCTTGTCGCTGTGGCCATGTTCCTCAAAGGTGAGCGCGCAACAGATGACCACTTTCAGAAGCAACGTCCTCTCGTCGTTTAGGCTCGGTAACATGCCGTCTCTCCTACTACTCTCCATAAACGAGGCTAGACTTTGCGCGTGACTTGTAACGGTCTGGATGGTAATAACCGGGAACAAGATTCCAATCTCCTCTTCGTGTAGGCGACAAAGGCGAAGCATCTCGTCATTCGACATGTCCCATAGAGGGTCCTGAGGGGCCGAAGTAGTCGGTCCGCCACTGGCGCCACTTTGAATAGCCAGCGGACGAGGCGATTGATCATCGGCCTCGGAGTCTCCAGTGCCGTATGGCACACCCTTGTATGCTCCCAAAGATTGTATCGTCGGCATATCAGTAGCAAACGACGCGCCGCCCAGGTGCCCTCCACGGAACGTAGTCTTCGGCTGTGTCATCTCAGGCCGGTACGCAGAACCGTGCGACAAGACTGGAGATGGCGAAACGGTCGGGGGTGCGCTCGGCGAGACGAGAGGTAGGACGCGGTCTTGCGGGGGAAGCATTCGCGGGAGGGTTTCGCTTCGGAGGGCGTTGAGGCTCTGGAAGAGATTGTCGACCTGCTCCTGGAGCTTGCTGACCTTGGCCGTCATGTTTTTAAACTCCTCGGACTCTTTGAAGTTGTTGGAGCAGCAGTTTGGAGCGTATAGGCAGGCGAGGTTGAGGTTTCCGCATCGTTGACAGGGGGTTTCGCCATTGCATTTTATCTTTCGGCGCTTGCATTCGTTGCTAAGGGAGGAAAATTCCGAGAGTTAGCCTCGCTATGAAATCGCAACGGGTTGTCCTGTACAGGGCGACCGCAGAGGATGAGAAAGCTCCGGGGGGATGAGGAGGTGGGAAAGAGCTCACCAGGCAATTGAGATATACTATAGCCAGCCGATTGAAGTCGTGTTAGTACACCATGGCCTACTTTCGCACGATATGTCCCACTCGCAAGCATGCAAAAGACGGGCTTCTCGAAGTCCGACACCCAAAAAAAGTTTCTCCTCGGGGGATTCCACTTACGCGATTCCTCTTACTCCTCTGCTGCTTCGTCGGTCCCGCAGCCCCAGCGCCAGTCCCAGGCTCCTCCTCATCGGCCTTTCTCTTTGCGCCATTCCCCGGCGTCGGCCCATCCAGGGAAATCGAGTTTCGCGATCCTCCAACACCGCCAGGCACAGACGCAGACCCCCCACCGGAACCGTATGGCGCAGAAGCTCCGGCCGGGGTCGACGGCTGCATCGAGTGCGAGGAATGGCCACGGTACAGAGCGGAATTATCGACGGAGACGACGGAGGCGGGCGAGGCGGCGGCCCTGTGATGCTCGCCGGGGGTTTGGGTGAGGTATCGCAGGTCGCTTACCTGCGTTTCGATCTGTTCCATTGTTCCATTTGACGGATTTGATGTGGGGGAAAGGAGGGTGTTAGGGAGGGCGGTATGTGGAGGGTTTTGGTGGGGGAAGGAAGTGGCAAGGGTAGCTTTCTAGTGAAGTCGAAATCGGAATTCTGATTATCGCGGGGGGTAGATGAAAGGGAGGACAATGGAAGAAACGAGGACTTGAGAGACAGGAAAGCGGAAGAGAAAGGGAAAAACGAGGCTTGTTTTCTTTTTTTTCCGGGCTTCAATTCGGGGATTCTGGATGGTAGGTTTCGATTTAACGGGGAACCATGGGGACCTTGGACTATCGTCGTTGCATCGTTTCAACTGCGGCCCATTTTTTCATCGAATTTCCGGGAACTATTTTCCTCAAAAGAAAGAGAATAATAATAATGATAATGATAATAGTAATAGTGTAATAATAATAATTAAGTGCTCTCGGTATTTTCGCTGCGCAATAATAATAAGAAACGAGCCGGCCCCTGACGACACGGATCCAGGTTGCAACGAGCCCCGTTCAAGAAAAGTGTGAGATGAAGCGGCGGGAGGGAGAGAACAGGGCGGTCAAAATGCGGTGCGGGTTTGGCTGAGGCTTTTGGGGTGGTTGGCATTTGGCAATGGGGAGGCAAGAACGACGATCGTGAGATATAATTGATACTTTTGCGCCGGAACTGTTCTTTCCTTCATTCGTAACTGCCTCGCACACTGCAGCTCTGGTTGTACTTTGCCGGATGTACCGATACCAGTACAATTACTGGTACAATTACAAGTCCAGTACCACTGTACGAAGGTACCAAAACCCACATGTCAGGCCCAGCCAGGCAAGAGTCTTCCAGGTCGTCGTCTTTTGCTTCGTCGTCGTCTTCGTAAAGGTGACTTGCAGGAGCGACCTGGGGCACGAGGTTACTTCGTACTTCGCAGCTCGTACATACTGATACTGCAGATGCTGCACTACACTACAGATACTCCAATATTGAATTGATTGATGCAGCCCATTTGGCCTTTGCTTCGTCATTGATGTCCGCCTCACCAACGACGTGAGCAATCGACCTAGCTTTCGTTTCCCCGTCCGACGTCCATCCAGACCACAGCCGTCCAGTAATGAGACACTGATTGACTGCACGATTGATTGACCTACCGGGGGCTGAATATGTGGGATGCGTGTACTCGCCAAGGTGTGGCTCAAGAGTGGCAAACTAACCATCGACACTGTGCTATCCCCGCCAACTTGTGAGCACGAAAACAGTGAGATTAGCTGTCGATCCTCAGTCGACACGGTGCCCTTGCAGGGGTGGTGGAGATGGCACATACCCTGTTGGCTTGTCTTTTTTCCCGGCCCACCAAAAGTTCCAACCCAAGCGTTGGTTTTATCTGCAACGACCGAAACTTGCCGCCGCTAGTCAAAGTAGTCAAAGGGAAAACATGGTGGCATCGGACGGTGGGCTGTGGTGGATTTGGTGGGTTTCTGGTCGATTTAGTGGGGACGCTGGCGTTTCTTCAACCTTGAAATCCCCGTGCGGCTTTCTTGCTCAGGTCTGATGCGGAATAGCGCGGATTTAGAAGTGGTAAGAGTGGTCTCTATCAGAGATGATCTGACTTGATGCGTCAATCTCGTTTGCGATCTCGCCGAGCCGGACCTACGAAGTAGTTTTAGACGGTATCGTAGTGTGGAAAAAAGCATCAAATGATACCTCTTTTCCTCTCCATCGCCATCTGAAATGGACTACGATCGTGACTCCCGATCCCCCGGTGGCGTTAAACCAATTTACGAAGCATAGCCTCAACTTCATTTCCATTCGGTGGCCTACGAAGTAATAGCTCATACCGCGGTACCTGACATCGGATGCGTTCGCCAGCTTCTACTTGGCAGCCGCAATCGTGCCAGCACATTCACCAAACCCGACGCGCCCGCTGCCAGTCCCAGCAAACCCTCTAATCACCACCGTATCGCCATCCTCCAAGAACCTACGAACGGCGCCAGAGCCCACGGCCACATCCTTCTTGCCTCCGTTAGACATTTCCAGCAGACTGCCTCTCTCGCTCTCACCAGGCCCGCTGATCGTGCCGGATCCCAGGAGATCGCCCGTTCGCATGGGACATCCTCCGATGGTGTGATGGGCGATCATTTGTGGGAAGGACCAGAGGAGGTTCTTGGCATTCACCCTTGTAATTGTGGATGAATTTCCGTCGGACGCTAGTTGTGGTGGAAGAGAAAAAGAAAAGATTAGCTCAAAACGAAGAACGTAAAACCATTTCGTACTTTATACACGTAGGTTTTTGGCTGAGGGGAGGGGAGTTGGAGCGTAAGGGGGGTGTATACGAATTAACTTACTCTTCAGCTCAACCTCAAGGTTGATATCAAAAACCGCCTTATCTTCACCCTTCAAATACTCCTGCACCTCCGTCTTGTTCTCCAAAGCCTCCGTCCGGAACGGCTCCAAAGCATCCGCAAGGATAACCCACGGACTAATCGATGTGGCAAAGTTCTTGCTATTAAACGGACCAAGCGGTATATACTCCCACGTCTGGATGTCCCTCGCGCTCCAATCGTTCAGCAGAACGTAGCCGAAGATATGATCCTCGGCATCGCCCACCGAGACCCCGTCGCCAAGGGCGTTGGGCGTCGCGATGATGCAGCCGAACTCGAGCTCGAAATCGAGCCTTCGACAAGGCGCCGTGATGGGCTGCTTCGGCTGGCCCTCGACCGGCGGCTGCGGGAGGATTTGTCCCCGGGGCCTGCGCACAGTGGTCCCCGAGACGACGACGCTGGAGGCGCGTCCGTGGTAGCCCACGGGCAGATGCGTGTAGTTCGGCTGCAGGGCATTATCTGGCCCTCTAAACATGCAGCCTACGTGAAACGCGTGATGGTAACCCGCGTAGAAGTCGGTGTAGTCTCCGATCTCCACAGGGAGGTGGAGCTTGACGGATTTAGCGGGGACGACGATCCTAGAGATCCAGTAATCGTCCTTGCGCAGGAAGGACTCGTACGTCGAGTTCCCGGCGGACAAGACATCCTGCAGCCGGCTCCTCGTCTGCTTGTGGATGGGACGGCCCAGCGCCGCGAAAGCGTTGAGCGTCGGCTTGGAGAAGACGTCGCCGTGCTCGGCGATGAAGTCGAAGACGCGGTAGAACTCGGGATGGCAGGCGAGCTCTTTCATGTCCAGCACGTAGCTTCCCACAGCGACGCCGACGTGGGGGTTGGGGGAGGCCGACGTGCTGATGACGCCGAAGGGGAGGTTGGCGAGGGAGAAGTCGCTGGCTGGGTCGATGTCCAGCCAGGACGTGAGAGGTTCATTTTGTTGCGCCATTGTATGGTTTCGAGAGCTTGATTGATCTCGGAGGCTATTTCTTGGGGTTTGACTCTCAGCTCTCGAGGGGGATGGAAAGTTCACGATTGTGTGATGTCCGCACTCGGCAGATGACGTATTATGATTTTATGGGATTCTTCCGCCCGAGAGGTACGTGTATGTAAGAGTAACCCAACGGCCCCCAGCAGAGGCAGCGATGACAAGTCTAGGTTTTGAGAGAGCTGGGCTCGGTCGAGAAAAAATTATGCCGGGATACCGTGATATGGTTGATACAATCTACGAAAAAGCAGGTACAATTAATTACAACAGGCTGGAGGTCGACTTCAAGCTGCTTCTTGCCCCGCGTTCCAACTTCCGAGCTGGTGAGCTTCTGGTAATGGAGATGGAGATGGAGGTGTCCGGGGGCTAACCCGATGCAACCCGAAAGCCCGACGCCGGCCGACAACTCATTCCGTTCCGCGATTAATACACACAATCCCGAGCCTCCCTTCTCCATCCCTCCATTCTTCCCCACGCTCGGCTTTGATGCCCAGTGGACAATGGCTTTTCAAGGCTGGAAGCTTCCCCTCATTTAAGCGCGGAAATGGGAAAGAGCACGAAAATCAAGGTTGACCAATTGCAACCCGATTGGTAATATCCTCCCCCCGAGTTGTCTTCCCCCTTGGCACTTAAGACAACAGGTACTCCGCACTTCCCACTTCACTCGGCAGCATGTGGAAGCCAATAGCTCTCAGTCTCTCTACGAAGAACTGATAACTTGATCATTTATGCAACTGCTTGGTACCATTGTACCAAACCTGGCTTGATGGTTACATAATCTCGGAAGGCTACAGCCTCCAGCGTTGCAATCGAGGACTGCCCCAATCCGGAAATAACCACGAGGCATTCAGATGGAGGAAGGAGCTCTTTCAACCCCCTTCGCAGCTTCCTCAGCTGCACGCATCGCCCACCAAAGTTTTATATATTCCTCCAGGCCCAAAGTTGCCAGCCGAGCAGCACTGCAGGGTGCACTCGGGGATGGCTTCCCCAAACTGCTCAATGGTTGTCAGCAAAAACTGCGGTTTTTCGTAGCCTCGGAATCGTCGACTTCGACGCCCGGGGTGAGCTTTTTGCACATTTTTTTTTTCTTCTTCTTCTTCTTCTCCCCCTTCACAATTTCCACGACATGGTCCGCCAAAAGAAACATATCGGGAACTAATGTCTAAAAAAAAAAAAAGCCTTACTTTGGCTAACAGAGACGTGTTCATTGGAGAGTCGGATAACCTCGAGGTATAATGCTGGATTCTATTCTTGGGTCGCATCGTCTAGTTGATCCTTTACTCGAAACGTGGTGGGTGATACATCCTCAACGAGTCTAGCGGAGCAAGATGCCATCCCCGAACCGACAGACAGAACAAAAGAAGATGAAAAGAACGCAAGGGGAAAAGCAGTGGTTCAGAAAAAGAGAAGGGGGAAAAAAATGAAGAAGACCTCCAAATAGAAACGTATATAAAAACACATCTGCATTAGCCATCCTCTAGCTGTCTCTCCCACACTCACCCCCAAAAGTACCAATAAAAACTATACGCAACAACAAAGAATCCGCACCACCCCAAAAACCCAGCAAGCAACAGCTGGTTATACGTCTGCCTCGCGTCATTCCTCGAGTTATTATGCGGGAACGGCACATCCGGCACCGGCAAGTTCAGGATCTTGCACAGCGGCTCCCACCCGTCCTTGACCTGATACCAATGTAGCCTATCCTTCGGCACGACGTCCCTCAGATGGTCTTCATGGAGCTCGAGCGAGCCCTCCTCGAACATGTCGAGCCCATAGCGGAAGATGGCCAGCTTCTTGAACTTTTCGCGCCAGATGCCGTACTGGTTTACCTTGGGCACCCACATGAGCACGAAGGGAAGGTGGTAGTTGCTCGTCATGGTCATCATGTCCTGCATGGAGCGCCACCAGGATTCGGGAGAGCGCGTCGTGGCGATTACGATGGCGTCCGGGAAGGTTTCCATGAGTTCGGGGGTTAGAGCTGCGGCGGGGCAGTCCATGGTGGCTACATAGCCTTCGAGGAGGTCAGCGAGGAGGTATTGGATGTGCTTTTTGTCGGCGTAGGTTTTGTCCTTTTTCGCGACCAGTTCCATTACTTGGCCCCATTCCCGGATTTGCTTGAAGGTTCCGCCGGTGGAGTGGACGCCGGAGTCGTGGACGGGCCCGCCGAGGAGGATGGTGAGGGCCTCGTTAAGGGTCTTGGTACCAGTTCGAGACCTGGGGCCATAGAACGGTTAGTAAAAGGAGCTGTAAATGGGAGACTGGCTGCGAGAACCAAATCCGGCCCTAGCATGGTAGGCAGTAGCCCGGCCCGATATCCAACACCTCTTGAGAAAGTCCAGTCGCCTGGAGCAACGTACATCCCAGCACCAATGACCTGGAACTTGGCCCCAGGCATCGGCTTCGTTGGCATTTGGCCCATGATTGCGATTTCTTTCCAGCCGTCTTTAGACTAGAGAATTAGGAGAATAGCGACCAATTCAAGTTGTAGTGTTCCCGTAGTCGTCGAGCGGTCAGGAGGGATCGACAAGCTATCTCTGGAGACTATGTGTGTTTCAAGCTCTCTACTCGCTAGCTGTGAAGATATCTAAGGTTAGTTGTGCTCAAGCCATGGAGGAAACTAATAACGGAAAAGCTAGCAAGAAGCTCGACCTACCTCGACGATCGACGAGAGCTATCACCAAGGAGCTTCCAGTTCGATAAACGTGGCATGACAAAAGCTCTTATACCTGTCAAGCTTTCCCCAAAACTCCTCGGTAGCACATCCCACACCCCTCCCCTTCTCCCAATCGATTGGTGGACGGCTTGCTTGATATATCATTACGTCTAGTGTCGCAAAATGATAAAGGCGTTCTGCCCGGCAGGGTGATGTGCCGGTTAAAGTGTCCAGGGTTTCTGCGAACCGGCCAAGGGTCCTTTCTTTTTCATTTTCACTCTTCTTTCGATAATTCCCTCTCAAAAGCCCTCGCCGATTTTACGCCACAATTGGGCGATGACGTGGAGGGTCCACGGTAGGTCCTTTAAGGCTAATGAGGTTGAAATTTATCGTTTGATAGCACACCCGAACTCAATATCGACGAGTTGAGGATTACCTTGCAAATCCTGGGCCCTGGGACGTCTTGGCGTCGGAAACCCGATGCCAGAAAGGCTGCAGATATATTGATCGACCGAGTCATTGACGAGTCGTGAGACTCACTCGATGTCCCAGGTAGTGTGTGGTGTTCCAGGCCTTGATCCTCGCCAATGATCCTTCCTCCGCTGCTCGGCGTCTTAACACGGGTGTCTTCCTCGAACTCGTTGTGCAACCGTTCGAGATAACGCCTTAATATATCAACCTCAAGACCTAAATCCAAGTCCAATATACCTATTCTCTATGATCTACCTATGAACTAGTTAGCGAGGAGACAACTGAGAGGTTCAAGTTGCTGAGTTCCTTTCACCTGTAGCCCCCAAACCCTGAACTCCATCATTTCGTCGTCGTGCCGTATCACTAATCTTGATTCTCAATTGATCCCCTATCACTAATCCCTAATTCCCCAGACTCCCCGTCCCGCCGCGGAGAAAAGCGAAAGAACCGCGTGCCCCCGAAGACGTTCATCGGAACAACAGCCCGCTGTCGGAACCATTCTCCGGCTCGAGACGAGACGGGAAAATCAAACCTGACACATTGTCTTTTGGCAGTTTACTCATCATTTGGTTTATTAATCCTACGAAAAAAATGGTTCACAAATCCCTTTTCGGAGGAAGGTTCTGCAGCCGTTTCCGGCTATGAGGTTCGGCGACTTTGTCGGCCGCGTCATCGGATGAGTTTAATGTTGAGACGGGCTGGCTACATTGATGTTGCTTAATGAGGCAATCCAAAACTTCATTCTGGACGGAACTAGAGATAGTAAACGGATAAAAAAAGTGGCGTCATTTTCTGGGGATCTTGCGATAGGGACTGGATTCAAGGAAGTTGAGGTTGGAAGTTGATCTTATATAGCATCCTCCGATCCTGCGTGTTTGAAAGAGTCCCGGCTGTGAGAGACACTCGGGAGTTTCCTTGCGTTTTCAAGGCGGCAACTGTAAGCGGTAGATACAGATGTATGACGAAATGGAGTGTTTATTATTTGGGTATCGTTCATAGCCAACGTGCTAACGTTGAAGATCAGTGGTTACAGCAGAATAGAAGACGGGCGCACACTTTATGCGTATGACACTACCATCAGTAGATATCGAAGAAGCCAAGTAGTCTGGGCCCAGGCAGCCCACTCTTGGCGTCGTCCGACAACGCAATTGATCGGCGATCAAAAAGGAATATATTTTAGAAAAAACCGACAAAGCCCGGCCGCCCTACGCAAACCTATACGTAAGCTGTGAAGTCGATGCTTCCCTCAATTGGGCCGCAATGCTCCCCTTTTCCGGCACAACCACCGCCGGGGGCATCTGCGGGACGAGTCCCACACTCTGGCCGAATGCGCCGCCCGGCGCTGGAGGTTGTTCGTATCGGGTGTCGCCGCGTGGACCGGGTGCCATGCCCGGGATGAAGACGGGCTCCGCATCGTCGTCGAGATCGTCTTCGCGGACGGCGTCGAATTCTCGGGGGAGACTGGCAGTTAGGCCCTTGTCGATGCCAACTATATAACAGGTTACTATCGGGTGTAGGAGAAAAAAGTGAAGATGCTTTGGAGGAGGTGGCCGTAAAGAGGGTGGTGAGGTGAAAAAGCGCTTACCACTCATGAGGTGGACCAACTCATATAGCAAAGGAACCCACAAGGCCAGAGCCAACCCCTGGCCCATATCCCATTTACTGTCCCCGATCCACGTCGTCTTCCCGATGAAAACGTAAAGGAGAATAAGGTACGCGAAGGCACCAATGAATCCCAACACCGCATAAATCACAATCAACGTCCTCATCGCCCGCCTAATCACCCGATTCGCCCACATCTTCCGCCCACCGCACCTAAAGAAGGGCAAAACGCAACCGATGCACAGGGCGAACAGCACGGGGCACCAAGCGCCGACGCCATGAGCGGCGGGGAGTGTTCCAGAGAGGGGGAAGAAATCGTCGGGGCAAACACGATCGAAGGAGTCGTTATAGCTGCGAGGGCCGACTGCGCTGAACGCGATCGCTACAGCGGAGAGGATCCAGGTCACGACGAGGAGGGGCGCATCGACCCATTGGCGGCGGGAGCCCCAGAGGTAGGCGGGGATGGTGGCGGCGAGGGAGAAGAAGGCGATGCAGGCGACGAGAAACTGGTGTCCGTATGGTCGGAAAAAGTCATCGTCTCTCTGCTTCATTATGTATGCCCCGTCAGTGATGAGGCCGATAGATGTTCCGAGACATAGAATGATGGCGCAGATGAAGAAGTGCCGAGTCGTTCCGTAGAACGCGTAGATGATCCTGTCGAGGGCGGTGAAGTGCGAAGCGGGTGGGATCTTGGGCTCCCCGGGAACGGTGCGCGTGTAGAGCGCAATAGCCATCACGCAGTAGCCCAAGACCAGCAGCGCCTCGAGCCCGACCGAGACGATAGTGCCGATGCCGATGCCCGTGTTGTCGACCTTTAAGTTTATCGCCTTGCATACTTGCGAACGGCAGGGCTCGAGCGCGTCTCCGTAATCGTAACGGTCAACACGCGAGTCCCAAACATAGTCATGATATTCGAGGATTGTGTCGTTGCTCAAGTTCCGGGTAGGAAACATGGCAGTGAAGAATGCGGAGACATCTCGGAAGGAGGGTTCTGAAGTTTTGCCAAGGAGGAGCCCGGAGACGTAGGAAGCCGTCGCGCTGCAATTGTTGGCGAAGGGGAGGTTAATGGGACGCCGTGGCGATTCTCCCCATGGCGCAACCATCGTCAATGTTGGGAGTCCCGAAAGACGGCGAAAAGAAGAAAAATATTCAGAGTTGAAAGCGGTATAACCTTGCGCGGTTGTTTTAGTATCCTAGGAATGAAGGGCCCTCCCTGTGTAGTCCGGCTCTTTAGGCACCACTCCAGGCTTCCACGATCATGGTTCTTTTCTCCGCGGGATCACGACGAGGTCGACTCAATGATTGTTACCGCTGAGAGTCGCAAATTGCGCCGGGGGAATATATTCGGAACGAGAAATTGAGAGGAGCAAAAAATATCAACAGCACTACAGTCTTAAGCGAATGACTAGAGGTGAGTAGAAAAGCACGCCGGACAGAGATCTCTTCACAAAGAAACGATGTTTTGGTTGAATCCTCCAGAGAACATCGCCAAAACGAAACTCGCATCTTGAGCGGGGACAGAAATTTCCCCCTTCCCCAGTGCATGGAGGAGGCGTATTTGGTGTAACCTTGGGCCAGCCCAAAGCGGTCAAGTCCCAGGCACACATCAGACGACTCTTCGGGCTTAACCCAACAGTGAAGGAATGTGAGATAAAGGCCGACCAAAGTCGAGGCCGAGTCTACTTTGTAGTCTTCGAATGAAGAGTCTGTAAAAAAAAAAAAAAAAAAAAAAAAAATGAAATCCTCATGGGGCAAACACGAACCTTCATAGCGACCGCGAACTACATGAACAATCGGGGTTAAGCTCGCCTTCTGAAATCTTGCCAGGCGCCATGCCGTTGATGCTGTGCCCCAAATTGGGAATGCATCTCCGTTCCTCCCAAAGGATGCGATCCCTGCAGCAGGATATCAACACAAAGCCCAGTACTGAGGTATTTTGGCCGAGATTCGGGAACTGACCAATCACCAGGGTCTCCTCGGAGTGTTCGTAAACCCACCAACTCTGGTGCAACCCTGGTGTAGTTAACGGATTCATGAGCCTCTCCTCATGCTTCCAAGCCTCTGTGGCTGGACCATCTCGTGGCTCAGAGAGGCCGATGGGGATGGATAAGTCCAAAGATCTGCGGTGAAAGACCATAGACGGTAAGCACCCACTCCAAGGCTAGCGTACGAAGTAGATCTCCAGTCTGGGGAAACGCCGGTATAAATGTCTTGATGCAACCTCGAAGGTTTTCGAGACATCGTAGTATTCGGAGAGAAGCCGCTGCTTCTAAGCTCGAGCAGGAAGGTGGGTAAAGACTTTGCAACGGACATTTCTCTATTCGGAGGGACGACGAAATCTCGGCAGCCATCATGGCTTGGCCAGTGCTTGCAATCGTGATGAAAATACTACATCCCTCCTGTCAAGAGTTCCTCTTCCCTCGCAACCCGTGCGACGGCTCCTTGCTTTTTCATCCATGTTACCATTAGAACCTCCGAATCCCACCAGTTGTCTGCCTTGGGAAGTAGTGTTAGCGCCATCGTGAAGCGGCCACACCCATCTATCCGCTCTGGTAGAGACGGAAGAAGCACGATTTCTTCTCTAGTCGTGCTTTGCGGTCGCGGTGGAAGCAGAGAAATCGATGTCTTGTGTGTCAGAATGCGACCTTCAGCGTCGTGAGGTGCAGACCGGGCCGAATGCCTTGATCATTCGATTGCCTTGAAGAAAAGCAGAGTTGGAGATGTAACAACAAATGTCTTGGGCGTGACGTTGCGGGTGGATGCGAGGAGAAACATTTCGACCCATGATGGTTGATCTGGAGGTATGTACCATGATGAGGACCGGCGGAGAGGAGATCGTGAGTTGGATAACATCGATTGCTTCATTAAATCAAGACTAAGCGGGGCATTTGTGGAACAGATGTCAGACATTCTCCAGGTGCTACGAAGGATGTACTCCGTAAGTGACCAATACAGATCCATCCATCAATGAGATCGATGAGTTCCAGTTACGTACAAGATCACGGCAAGAGTACCGAACCCGGTACTTTGTACACCCCGTCGGAAATGCTCCGTGAATGCATTTGATGACAATCCAATACACTAAATGGCACTAACTCCAGTAATCGGATTTTGATGCTTTAATTGACACTTCATCCATCAAACAATAGCCCGGTGTCGTCGATGGAGGGCAAGCTCGGCGGCGCTACAACCTGGCTGGGCTGTTCCCGAGCCCAGGTGGGAACATGACCAAATTGAATCAATTTAAACTCCTCCTGACGCTGCCTTACACTTGACTATTGCGACGTCGATCGAAGATGGATCGATTGATGCTAATAACCAGGGTAAGCGCCCTTGAGCTACTTCATAATTGGCTCTATTGTCATCTTTGCTTCGTAAAATCCTTAATCCGGAATACAATGATCTCTCTCCTTGAGCCTCAACCTCGACATAGGCTCTGGACTTTAGTCCAGCTCGGTTCGATTCGTGCTTTGCAGGCGCAGGCATTTAAATCGATTTCTTTGCATCAACTGCAGTGCCCCTAGTCATTTCCATTGGCCATGGCTCGCATAAAGTCAATCATCAAGTCCCCGCCTTGATAGGTCCGTCCACTGTCCCTGACACCCTCCACTTTGCCCATTCCCCCACTCCATTGTCCCACTCTATCCATCCCATACCAGTTCGCTACATCCTCCATCCCAGTTATTTCCTTAATCCTAGTTGATGCCATCCCATCTTTCTCCCATTCTGGTTACATTGGGCTTCCTTCCGAAAGCATATCCCCCCTTTACCTACATCTTGTTCGTGATTATTCGACAAACCCTCTCTCTCGTCTCGCTTAAACAGGCGATCCCCTCCGTTGGGTGGGCACGTTTAATACTGCATGGCAGATTTCGGCATCAATCTATATTATCGGTGATCCGCTTCCGCTGCATAACATCCGCCGCCGATCTGCCTTCACATGTGAGCCACCATGTTTGTTTCCTTGTTCTGGTAAATATATTAAATATATATCTATACTCTGTTGGTCCTGGAAAACAAGATGCTATGCGTTGAAAACTTGGCTTGAAGCATAGAAGCATGATGATTGGAATCAACTACATCGCTGATGGCGTGGCTCATAGTATAAATGCTCTCATAATAATAGTCCAGGAGCTCGAGTGGAGCACACCCACGCCCAGTCAACGTGTCCCGGTGTAAGTGGGGAGGGGGATGCCCCCCGTTTCGGTGTTTGGATGGTAGTCGTGTTAGATCATTGATGTGTGCCATCCGGCATTGCAGGCAGACCCCTGGCAATATCTTCGCCTGGTCACACACGCAATCCTGCCAGTCCTGGGCGCCAGCTGCTTCTTAACTGGCCCAAATGTAAAACGCCTTGTAGAAACAACCCCAGGCACGTCTTCCCCTGAACTTAGTTTCCAGCCCAATTAACAGATTCTTGTCTCCTCATTTGACAGAAATATTGTGTAGAAGATGCGAGGAGGGAGAAGACACGACAACTAGGAGATTGTACTGGCGGCGAGGAGATGTGGTGACCAGGGCCAGGTCGCATTGAGTTGGCCGACTGGTGAAGGGGAAAAGAGAAAATGAAAAGAAAGTTACCCTTTTGATGGAACATGCCAGCGGGCATGGCAGGTCGTTGTTGGGCATGCCATCTTCAATCCTACCTTGACTTCCTTTTTATTCTGCACACCCACTCCTACTTCTGAGGCCTTGGGTTGTTGTCTCCTCTTTCCTCTCTCTTTCCAAGGTTGCGCTTGCCTTCATAGTCATTCCCTTCGATACCCTCTCTCAACCGGCATTGAGCCTCGCGGACATTCGTTTCTCTTGACAATACCACTTTCTCCTTTCGTTCTTTTATCCCCGAACAACTTCTTGTTCGCATTGTTACGCTTCATAGAGTGAAACGTTTCTTTCACCTCGGGGTTGGAGACAGCACCATTTCATACATTCATTCTCTTCTCGCATCTATATATCCATATCTTCACTCCTTGGAAGCAAGTCCTTCCACCTGAGACATCTCCACCGCAGCGGACTTTCTTTCAAGCTATCCAACGGCGCAAAAGTTCCCCTTCTCTGCACGGATACCTTCTTCTAAACACACATAAGTCATCATGTACTCCTGGGGTTTGCTCCTCTTGGCCTTTAGCCAGACAGTCGCTGCCTGGGGTGCGCCAGGCTACGGAGGCTACAGACTCGTCTGGCAAGATGACTTCGCAGGCGGCGCAGGCGAGCTCCCCAACGGTGACAACTGGAACATGATCACCAACCTGAGGGTCAACAACGAGCTTCAAGATTACACCACATCCAACAGGAACCTCCAGAGGAGCGGCGGCAGCACTCTGCAGATCGTACCCTGGAACGAGAACGGCAGGTGGACGTCCGGGCGCGTCGAATCCAAGTACGAGTTCACCCCGGAAGCCGGCCGTCTCACCATGGCCGAGGCGCGGATCCGATTCGGCGATAACCCCATCGCGAACAAGAAGGGCTATTGGCCGGCCTTTTGGCTCCTGGGTGCTTCCATCCGACGGGGCACCGACTGGCCCCGCTGCGGCGAAATCGACATCCTCGAAACGGTTAATGGCCAACTCCGTGGTCTCGCTACTGTGCATTGCGATGTCTATCCCGGCGGGATTTGCAACGAGCCCACCGGTAGGGGAGCGTCGACGGGGTTCCCAGATCAGGGTTGGCACAACTGGAGAGTGGTTTGGGACCGCCGAAATGGTGACTGGACTCAGCAGACTATTACCTGGTACCTTAATGAGCAGCAGTTCCATCAGGTTGCTGGATGGTCTATCGGAAGCGAGGGCATCTGGCAGACCTTGGCCCACTCGCCCATGTATTTCATCCTTAACATGGCGGTTGGCGGTGATCTGGTAAGTACTTAACGAGTCTCTTTTCTTATCAAGCGAATACCCTTTCTCACCCCCCCCCCCCCCCCCCCCCCCCCCCCCCCCGGGGCCGGGCTAGTTTGGCTAACACCTTCTTTTCTTCCCAGCCCGGAGCCCCCGACGGCAACACCTGGGACGGCTATGGTAGCATGATGGAAGTCGCATACGTTGCCCACTACGTCCAGTCGTGAGGACAAGACTCGGATCAATGAGCCAGGATCATGATTCTCTTGGGCCTTGCATTCTCTTCGAAATGTATATATTGCCTTTGTTGTATTTAAAAACGAAACACATACCCTCTACAGCGCTAATAAAGAGGGATGCCTGTCAATATACCGAGACTTGATGATGAAAGCTGGAACGAGTGGTGTTGTCTTGCGGAATCGGGTCTTTTGTATGTCCGTTCTCGAAGCACAACGGGAGGCTCCACCTGGCATACCCGTCCAAGCCTGTCGCCCACATTTGCTGTCACGTGATCCATGAAATCGCGAGCACTTCGTACCCAGAACAAAAGCACAACTGTCTCTTGCCTAATTTGTGATGAATAACTCGGAACTGTATGTGTAAGTTGTCGTGTCCAGAACCCCCCGGCGATGTCGGTGGGTCGCCGAGTCATCAGGAGCACAGGCGACATGTTCGAATCACCCGACTGATGTCCGATCCCGGAAGCCACCACCGGAATATGGGACCAAGCTGTATCAGCGCAGGTCAAGCTTGGCCCTAATTGGGCGCTAGCGCTCGAACTGAGGTCATTTCCCCAGATTTCCATCTCGGTCGGGGCGGAAGTGTAAGCAGAACAGTGGAGAACAGAGGGAATTTGACCAGGGCCAGCAGTGGTAGTGTACAAGTCACAATGTACCCAATAATCAGCTCATCAACTCATCAATGGCCTAATCGAAGCTAATTACTGATGGGCAACTGACAAGGAAGCTCCGCTACAGTGCCCGCGTGCTCATTCCTCGAGTAACGTACGAGGAACGTACATCATTGTAGTTACGTAGTTCACGGTGAAGTGTTTCGTATCTGCTGGGCAGACCACTTTTTGCCGTACTAGTCAAGTATCAATTGATCAATCGATCTGTTTGTACCCTGCACCAATCTGATGTCCCCCCTGAGCAGCTCCACGGCAAGCTCAAGTCACGCGATTACCTTCGGCATGTTGTACACATACCCGGCCGACCACATTCGACCGTCTATTGTGTTGGTATCAGTACTGGATCCCATGACAGCTTCCCTTGCCGGAACGTAAGGGGTCTCATAGCCCTCACAAGCTGGTACCCCCGCCGGGTACAATCAATAGCAAGCAGAGGCAAGACCAGCCCAGCCCTTTTGTTCCCACAAATGAACGAGTAAACTGGCCTCACGGGCTGGCCTGGCCAAGGAACTTGGCTGCCCCTCCCTCTTTCTGTTGTCTTAGTCCGCAGGTCCCCCCTTTCCCCTCATCGACGTAGTTAAACTTCCCCCCTCCTTCAAGCTTCGGAACCTTCCATCTTCCCCCTTTCAACTCTCACACCTACACACTCACACACAAACACTCAGAACTCACCATCATCGCTGTACGTCATCCCCAGACAGATATTCATCTCTTCCCTCGAGATTCATTCTACACTGAAGCTTGCTTCCACCTCATTCGAACTTGCCGGGTTTGTGGTACTGTCTCTGCTAACATCGCCGGTTGGACAAGTTCGCGCTTCTTGAAACCCCCGCATCAACCCCGCCTCACCAGAGCTCCCCAACAACAAACAACCGCAAACATGGCGGCGACAGCGAAGAAGACTGATGTTAGGAACATCAACGATCTTGGTATGTTGTCTTACTCATCGAGAGCCAGTTGGCCCCTGCCGTCTGGTATCCCTACCCTTGCCTTCACGTGCTAATTGGACACCGACACGTCATAGAGAAGGAAGGAATCGAGTTGAAGATCAGCCCTGAGACTCAAAAGACGGGATGGTAAGTTCTGATTAGCAAGGCATACCATGCCGTATCTTCTTCTCTCTATTTTCCAGTGTCCGGAAAACTGAGTGTGGATGGTGCTCTAGGAAAATAAACACTTCCCCCTCGACGGTAGACGACCCGGCCGTCCTAAAGGAGCTCCTCACCACTCCTGCGGTCAAGAGGATTGACCTTCAGTTCCCCCTCGGAATCGAGGTGACTGCCCGTAATCTCAAGGGCGTCACGATCAAGGATGCGTTAGACGCAATTCACAAGGCCTATAAGAAGAGGGTAAGATGACACCACACCAACTTCAGCAAGCCGTGTGCTCGGGGACTTCAACACCTATCATTGTAATTATTCGCTAACACTAATCTTTCTTTCCCTGCTACAGGCTGACGACGAGTTGGATAATCCCTACCTCGCTGGTTTCGAGTGGGACAAGGAGGAGTCGTGGACGAAACTCATTGTGCATCTCTCCAAGACTTCCAGTGCCCCCATAGAAAAGAAGAAGAAGAAATAAGCTGCACGCTAAACTGATCGATGCCGGCTACTGACCATAGCCAACGCTTCTCAACCTCATCGGTCTTCAGTTCGGGTAGCTGCTGCTACCGTTGGGTCATGTCTTATGGGAAATATGTCGGGTGAGGTTACGGGAGTGGCGTATTTTGCAACGGACTGGCTGCACCATATTACATTACACATACATATTGTAAAACAGCCGACGATGGACTTTGTGTTATTGGGACGAGAGCTGGCTTGCCCTGACGCTATTGCTTAATATACATTGTTCTGCTGTCAATTCAAGTTGGTGAACAGACCATGATGGCCTCTCCTGTTACCTTCATGACCTTGTGAAAACTGGAAGTGATGTGCGAGTGCGACTTGCGCTGCGTCGACGTGCCACAGCCCTCCAACAATCGATGCAGTTCTCAGGTTGCTCACGTTCTCCCATTTACCCCAGATCACCAAAGTGGGGAGCTTCTCAACGCCTTGAACTAACACCAAGATAATGCATGATCCAAGGCGGGGATGCGTGTTCAGCTTAAGGTGGGGCAGCGTCGGAGAGCAACTGGTTGGTTCGGTATTAGTGTATTAACATCGTTATGTGTAGGTTGGTAGTAGTACTGTTAAGTTACAAACATGGTCAATATCCACGACTTTGTGGGTGCTGGAAGTTTCCATCTGGGGACATTTCCGCAACGAGAGATGTAATTTCACTTTCTCTTAAGACCTTTAAAGGACCACCCCAAGAGAAATAAAAATAGAATCCTCAGTATTTGTGCCGACCTCCAACATTGAATCTGAGGCCTGCACAAATCCCAGTGTTTGCTGCATCATTGCAGACATCTGACGTAAGGTCCGTCGCTTTCGGCTTACAGACGCGGATTCTCTCTGGCTTCGCTCGGCTATCGACGGGCCACTCCGCGTTCCACGACATGCATGTGTCGAGTGCGGAAAGCTCCCATCTTAGACTCCCGGGAACAGCCATCAGCGGCATCCAACAAGTTCGGGGAAAGGACCGAGTAAGTTGTTCCCGGTTCTAAGCTGGGACGTCGGGATTGTTAAAATGGAGGTCGGCCGCCCCTCTCTCCTTCCCGGACTCATCGATTGGTGAAACTAACCTCATCTGTAGAACTCGGGAATCTGGCTATATCAAGACCAATTCGAGTGTTCCTCCTACCTTTGATACAGGATAATCCTTGTTCTTTGTTTTTATACCTTCTTTCTCCTCTGTATTTCAGTTGTTCACGATGCCTACGACGGAGTTCAGTTTCGCCGAAAAGTACCGGTACCAGACCGGATTCGACTCCTATCTCGAGTTTGTCATCACCCATTCCCCAAGGCTGAGCAACATGCCTAGTTTGGCCTTAATATGAACGTCACTAACATGGCCCTTTTCTCACATGAAGGAGTGAAGCTGTGAAGGGATCCCTTCCCATTGGAGCCAATTCGCCCCAGAAACCGGCGCACGGCTTATATGCCGAGAAGCTCTCGGGCACGGCCTTCACGGCCCCACGCCACGAGAACAAGCAGACATGGCTCTACAGGATACTCCCGTCCTGCTCCCACCCACCCTTCGAGACCTCAGAGACCAAAGCCGAAGCCGTCGTTGACTTCTCGAAGCTGGAGTACATCCCTGACCAGCTTAGGTGGGATCCCTTCGACCATAACGAGTCCAAAGACCTAGACTTCCTGACGGGTCTACGCCTCGTGGCCGGTGCGGGCGACCCCACGCTCAAGCAAGGGATCGGGATCTACATCTATGCGGCGGGGAAGAGCATGGCTGAAAACGCCGCCTTTTACTCCGCCGACGGCGATCTCTTGATCGTGGCGCAGGAGGGCGTTTTGGATATTCGGACGGAGCAGGGATGGCTACTCGTGCGCCCTATGGAGATTTGCGTCATCCCACGCGGCGTCAAGTACCAAGTCCACCTGCCCTCGGGCCCCGCGCGTGGCTACGCCCTCGAGCTGTACCAGAACCATTTCATCCTCCCCGAGTTGGGCCCCATCGGCTCCAACGGTCTAGCCAACGCACGAGACTTCCAAGCCCCTGTGGCGTGCTTCAGCGAAGACCACGGCACGACGGCCTCGGACGGGCCCAACGCGTACACCGTCACCGTCAAGTTCAACAACGCGCTCTTCGAGACAAAGCAAGCGCACACGCCCTTCGACGTCGTCGCCTGGCACGGAAACTACTACCCCTTCAAATACGACCTAGGCCGCTTCAACACCATCGGGTCCATTTCCTATGACCACCCGGACCCCAGCATCTTCACGGTGCTCTCGGCGCCCTCCGGCCTCCCGGGAACCGCCGTCGCCGACTTCGTCATCTTCCCGCCCCGCTGGCTCGTGGCGGAGGATACGTTCCGCCCTCCCTGGTATCACAGGAACACGATGAGCGAGTTCATGGGCCTTATTCTTGGCGCGTATGATGCTAAGCGCGGCGGGAGCGGGGGGTTCGTTCCGGGGGGTGCGAGCTTGCATAATGTTATGAGTGGACATGGGCCGGATGAGGCGAGTTATGAGGGCGCGAGGAATGCGGAGTTGAAGCCTGCGAAGGTCGGGGAGGGGAGCTGCGCTTTCATGTTTGAGAGTTGTTTGATGGTGGGTGTGACGGAGTGGGGGTTGAAGACGTGTAAGAAGGTTCAGAAGGGGTATAATGCAGAGAGCTGGGGTGGTGTTAAGGTGCATTGGAAGAAGCCCGAGGGAGAGTCTGGTAATGCGCACCTTCTGTAAGTGACTTGGAGGGCATGGCTACGGTATTACGCTGGATCAAGGAGGGTTTAGGATGCTCCATTGGAGGCTTCTCGGTGTGATGCCTGAGATTGGGATTTGAGTCGAGGTCTCTTACTGTTAGTCTAGGCTTGTAGTTCACATTGATGCCAATCTTAAAACTGCCATGTAAGTTACCGCCACAATGCAGATGTTATTGGCAACTTCCCGACTCGTACTTAGTGCCCGAGACTTTTTGTTTGTCAACGTCTTGTCCATGTCCGCGGCCCATCCTCGTTTTCAGCCCGGCTCGCCTTGTCTCTCCCTCCAAATTCCTAATTAGAAGGTCGCATTGGGTGGCTGGCGGACTTTTTTTTTTTTTTTCCCCGTCTTTCCCCACGCCGCTCAATCTCAACCTTCTCTCAGGCGACTCGTCTCCCCCATAGATGATTCGTTCGCGGCCGGATGATCAATGAATGCAAGTCCCAGCCTAGATGTCTGTCCGTACACTACACCGCCGGATGAGAACCTTCCCGTTCGCCTCACCGATGTAGGGCCGAGCCTCATCCGCATTTTTAAGATTTAAAGGGTTTTCGTGAGGCTGAAAAGCCTTCTCAAGATGGAAACCATATCCGGCGCTATTTTGTTTTTTTTTTTTTGGGGGGGGGGGGGGGGGGTTGGAGGCGTAGTTTCTACCCTTCACCGGTTCTTCATCTTTTATTATTTTTCTATGTCCTTCTTTCTTATCTTCTTTCCTTTTTGCCGATTGTGGTTAGATAGTGTGGGCTTATATCTTGGGGGTTTGTTTCGCAAAAGGGAGAAATGGGTTTTTCTTTGGGAAACGCCTCGGATAATTTTTTTCATATTCTATTTATGGAAGAGGATGAAGAAAGTTTTGGGAAAAGTCGGGGGCATGTAACCTGGTTCCTGGATACGACATAATATTGCTTTTTCTTCTTATGGGCATTTTCTTGCCTTTTTTTTTTTTTTTTTTTTTTTTTTTTTTTGGAGGTGGATGACCTTTTGCGTTTCGACGGCTGGGGAGCGGGGAGGTGGGTGGTTAGCCTGGTCGGAAGAGCATGGGAAATGGAATGCTGGTCTGCAGGGGGACCTAGAGAGGACACATCATGCCATCGGAACGGGCCTAAAGGCGTGGTCGATGTGCCTTGGATATCATTTAGAAAGGTGCTACGGGAATTCAAGAGTCGAGAGAACAAAGAAAAACAGTAAGAAGAAAAGCATATGGAAAGATTATAACATTGAAGCATTAAAAAAAGTCTATGATGCTTTGGTCCCGTATCTCACGACTCTTTCTTTTGTATATACCCCGTAAAACAAAGTGTAAAGTGTTCCGGTTCTCATCACGCCACGCTTGTAAACGTTGATTCCTTCATCATCATGATAAACAAAAACCAAAGTAGTACAGGATTTTTCATCGTTTCCCATTCATCCCCTCCTCGATTCGGCTCATCGAGGTTTCCGCGCATATATTGTGTGCAATGGCAAATACGCATGAAACGTCGCATCAGCCACGGCCCTCCTCACCTCGACAAGGAACATCTCCACCTGCACAGTTGTCCACCCCAGGCCGTGGACAAAAGGTTTCCTCGCCAGCCCCTTTAAACCGTCGAGGATGACCGTCTTGAGAAGGTCGCCGCAGTAAGCTAGCTCGGGCCGTTTAGGCCACACACCTATGGGGCACTTGAGGGAGTGGGGGGAGATGTTCTCAAAGCCGGCGTGGGCGAGGTCGTCTTGAATATGGGTGATAGCGTGGAGGTCGGAACCAAGGGCGTGTAGGCCGTTGGAGAGGTGGTAGTAGAAGTCGCGGAGCCGGTAGGTTGTTTCTGGAGTAAGAGATGAGTCGTCGGATTGTGGGTCGTAGTGTAGTTCCTGGATCTCAAGGTAGCCGCCGGGTTTAAGGTGTCTTTAGAGTTTCCCTCAGAGTAAGCAATCTAAAGAGATAGAGTGTTGAGGGTTCCTCGATTGAGATAGAAAGGGCGAAACTCACTTATACGCCCTCTCTATTAATTGCTGGCGGTTCTTTATCGAGAAGAGTGTATGTCGGATGTGGATGTAGTCAAAGTGGTCGTCGGGATAGTCCCAGCCGTTCTCATGCTCAACATCATCAACGACGAATTGGACATTGGGCGGCACCAGCTCAGGCTGTATAGGAGAGAGATCCAGTCCAAGGAAGGATGAATTCGGGTATAAGTCGGCCACTAATAGACACGCGAATATGAGCATCTTAAGACACCAAAGTTGAGACTTTGGCTGAAAGCAGTGTGCGCGGGATCAAGATTGGGTCGACTCTGGAAGGGATGATGTCTAAGACATGGTAGGAATGCGCTTGTCTGCATCCGCCCCTTCGGGCCCGTCGCCGTCACACGTTCGGAGAAAAAGCCGCGTAAGGGGAGAGACTTACATTCTGTACACCAGACGCCAGTTCCCGTTCCTGAAAAATTTTGTAGGTTAGTCTCGGCGTTCTCGTATTGGAAGAATCTCAACATCTGCATCTTGACTATTTCATGGGTAGAAGGAAAGCATTCCAAATCATTGAAATGTGACTTAATTTTCATCGGCAAGAGCTTTAAAGCAATAAGAAGAGCAACAATAAAAACAAAAGAATAAACTTAGACTCACCTAAATCCAATACCTCGGCACCAGATTCTAACATATCCTCTACCGGCGCGAAAAATGCTTTACCCTCACACAAGGCAAGCGTCATGACATGGCGCATCTCGTCGCACTGCTGCTCGACTTCGTCGTTGGGGAACGGGTATTTGCCAGCATGGTAGGCGTGGTACCGGAGACCACCTTCCATGACATGTTCAAGTATACTTTCTGTGAGACTCCTCGTCTCGATGGTGGCGTGGTAGGTTTCCGAGTCGGAAGATCCGTCACTGGACCGCGGAGCGCGGCCCTCGGACGGCATGGTTGGGTGCGGAGGTTGTGGTTGGCAAGTGGGAATGCTCTAGGACTAGTCGTTGTGTCTGTGATGGTGGAGGTGGATGATAAGGTCTCGGAATCGGAATGGCTAAGGAGTGGTGAGGGTATAATGGTGTAGAGCAGCATGCGGACAGATCAGTTTATAATTTGAGGGAAGTTGGAAAGGACCTTGGTTGGAACTTGTCAAGCAAGATTGGGAATTGAGCGGCTGCTTGCCCAGTTTTTGAGGGCAAATGAGTCTGGAGTGACGATGCCGTGGAAAGAATGCGTTTCTGGGCCAGACCAAACAGGGTAACCTCCAAGATGTTATTTTCTTCTTCTTAAGTTTTGCTTTCTTCTTTTCTTCGGGAACGAGGCACGGAAGGCAAGGAAGAAGAAGGAGGGTAGGAAGGGAGTAGGAAGGGATAGTCTAAGGAATGAAGCCAAGACCAAAGATTGGAAGATTGGAAGATTAGAAGAAGACTACTTTGTGGGTGGAAGGCAAAATCCACCTGGGCCCAGCAGTCTGGGAAGACGGAACGGGTGGAGATATTTGTAGAACACACACCACCACCACCACTCCTCCTCCTCCACCACCTCACGTCAACTGGCACGGGAAGAAATTAGTGCGGCAGATGAAAGGAAAAGCAGCACTAGGGCAAAATACTCCCGCAAGGGTGTGAGGTGGGTCTCTCATCAAGCCATGGCACCCATGATGAGACTTGGCTTGGACGGGAGGAAATGGGGAGTGGATGAAGTAATAGAAGTATGTAAACCACATACAGTAGTTCGCGGCGTCTCGGGAGTGGACCAGTGGCTCGGGCTGGATCTCCATGGACGAGGTCGGCCTGTGGAAGAGGGTGTCGTTGAAGTTGGGGCCGGAGCGCTCACCTATTGATGGAGGTAAGTGCTCGCCTGGAGGGGTGAGACAAAAAGCAAGGGGGGGAGGTTCGCCTTTTCCTTCTTTTCTTTTCTTCTTCTTTTTGTTTTCCTTTCCCTTTTTTTCCCCCCTGGGTCTTTGCTCTTTTATTTCCCTTAATGGCCGCGGTTGTGGACGGGAGGAGTGGGAAGGAAGTGGAGTGAGGTGTGATGCGTGAGAGGGGAAAACTATTATTGCTATTATTACACACAGAGGGGACAAGGAAGAGGAGACTTGTCTCCGAGAGATAGGGAGGAGAACATGCCCATGTTCGCATTTCTCTAATCCTCTAACCATATGCAGAAACAGGTGTCCCCATGTCCCGACAGCCTGGTCCCATGCAAAGTGGAGGGACAGGAGAGGGGAGAAGGACAAAGAAGAAAAAAAGTTTGGGAGTGGTGGTGCGAAGATGGCAGTATTGGAGATTGCGTGGGTTAGCGGTAGCAGAAACGGGTTAGGAGCGGAATGGTTGTGCAGTGTAGTAGATTGCTACCCTGGTCGAGGCGGACATGGACAGTAAGAGGAGAAGCAAGCGAAGTGTGGATGCTGGTGAGGAGAATGCATGAAGAGAGGGGGAGGAGAAGGGGGGGAGGGAGGACGACAAGATGACGCCCGTTTGTCTCTGAAAAGCTCATTCCGGCCTTGGTTTGAATTTGTGTCTGGTCCTACGTTTATGCGCGCGCAGCTTTCGTGATGGATCAATATGCTCTTGGTGTTTCGGCAGCAATTTTTTCATCTCTTTTTTCGCCATCTTTTGTGGAGGACTTTTGATAGAGCGACGGACGAGGAAGCAGCCAAGGGGCCAACGCCATTCCTCTGGACGTCTGGACCCGAGGATCTGGGTCCTCACGAAACGTTTCAACTTAGCACTGTGAAGGGAAGAGACTGGACCAGACTGGCGGTAAGCTGGCGAGGATACTTCTTCGAGGACTTCTTCGAGAGCGCACCGCCCAGTCGGGGAGGAAATCGAGGCGGAGAGAAACATGGATGGGGGGTACCTTCCCGCCTGTACGAAGTAGCGGGGAGTCCAGGGTCGCCGAGCCGGTACATCGCATGTACGAATTGTTGAGGTTCCTGAGTTGAGTGAGTCGAGTCAGGTGCGAACGCACTGGCATTCTGGGCACGAACCACCAAACGCAAGTAGTCGTGTACACTACCGAGGTACTTCGTACAGCGCAGCGTCCCTGGATGGACGAAGTACAATTGCACTGCCCATCAAGACAAAACAACCAAGCGCCCGTTATGCAATATGCACTGCTGGGGGGTTGGAGCGCAGTTTTACGAAGCATTGAGGACGACAATTGATATCAATGTAGTATCAAATCGCCAAGAATTTATTGTGACATTCGAAGTCGTGATGCTCAACTGTACGTAATACTTTGTAGGGACAGTTGCCGGGATTGGCACCAAGAAGTCAAGTACTTCGTACCCAATGCCTGGTTCAACCATGTTCAGCCCAAGTACATCGTACTCGGAGCTGTACGAAGTAGCTACATCAAGTGCCACATTCACATGCGCAGCGTAATCTACGAGATGCCCAGAGAGTACCTGCCTCATCCTTCGTTACTTCACTCACTATACACAGATACACTTTCGCCAGCTCTCGTACCTCGTACTAATGGTTCAAGGTGCAACTGCCAAAATCCAACCCAAACTGTCGGGTAGGGTACGTACTTCTTACTCGACGAACAAACAACAAAGTTCACCACCCACACCTCTGTGCCTTCCAACTTCATACCTGTGTTGTGTGCTTGTGCCTCGCGCTTTCCTGAATCTGCCCTCTCGGTCCCAACACCCAGATTCGTCGTAGTTCGAGTCGTTCGTTCCATCAATTTTGTTGTCAGGTGCCCGCCGATCCTGCAGCGGGCGTTAGCGCCTCCATGCCACCTCAAGTACGAACAAGTATCTGCACCAACTCCATCGCTGTTGCAGCATTCCCGAGCTTCAAGTCCACTAGGAACATGAAGAGTACAGCCTAGCAACATGCACACGTACGTGAAAACGGGGGCACCACACCCCATCATGGACAAAAGTTCTTTCCCCCCCGCAGCTGCCGTATATATTCTCTCCTTTTCCCGATGGCTACAATTGCACATCTCGAAAGGCTCCAGAGACTCTGGGCCCCAGGCTCCGGCCCGGTTACTCCCATCATGCCACCAGTAATCGGAAGCCAGGGCATTTCACATAAACTTGGCAAGGGGTCAACGGGACGCCTTGCGCAGGGGAGTTTATGACGCGCGTTATGGTGGGAATCAATGGTATGTCGTCGGTGCTAATGGTAATTTACGATGCACGAAGTATTACATTTGATCTTACATTTGATCTTGGTATTGCTCTGATTACCTCGTGGAGGAAAGATTGCGATCCCGTTCCCGCCTGCATAATTTCTGTCTCCGTCGTCGCAGGGAATTGCACCGAGCCGGACCACTCGCGACCACTCACAACCACTCACGACCACCCACACCTGGCCAACACCAGGCCACCAAATTTCAGGTCGCGTCCGCCTGGGGGCGTCCTGGTACGATATGGGCTAGCCAGGCCGTACCTGGACGGCCGAGCGCTGGCTACGCGTTGCATCGCCCAACAAGCAATGAGCCGAGCTGAGACTGAATCGCATGTCGGGGTCACGGAAGAGGTTAGTTAAATAACATTGAAGTAGTGTAAAATAACCCTTTAAAATATTAATCTCCATAAGCAAAACTAGCGATAATTGAAAACCAACGGAAGAGGCATGACTTGAGAAGCAGGGGCTGTTCCTCAATATCCTCTACTACAAACAAACGCAGGCGCCAACACCAGGGCTGCTCGAGTTCGCGAACTAATGTTCGCTCCGATTGCTGAGAATGGCATAAGTCCGACGGGATGGGTTCCTTGGAGCACGGAGTGCTAATTCTCCCGAATCGGAACTTTACTTCACGGAGCGCGGGATGAGAACCAAGAGCCTAGAGCCTGGGAATTGGCAAAAAGCGACGACTTTCATATGGCCTGCCAGGCGCAATCGGACTAAGACGGGATGCGAACCAGATTCGCGGTACCCAGGATTTTGCGGCACTTGGCCTGGCATAGGACTAATTGGATGCGACGAGTCAGAGAGTGAGAAATCCGCCCGACGAGATACTTCACGAGAGAATAACCGTCTTCCACTTCAATTCGACACACAAACTCCTTTGCTAATTCAAGAACGACCAACGCCATGCTACAAGCTAGTGTATATCTTTTGATGCTTCAGGCTCTGTGAAGGGAAAGGATATGCATTCAGCCAAGCAAGAAGAGTCTTGGAAGCTGTGGCATCTTGCCCTGACGTGGTGGAGCCCCCACCCATCCCATCCTCTCTCACAAGTATGCCGCTCAAAATGCACCCAACCGAATACGGAGGCTGGTGGCTGGGGTCTCGTCCAGGTGATATTGATATTTCTGGCGGTTCGACGCAGATTCAGTTCTTGAGAAGACCAACATTTGAGAAGTATGAGCGGATTCTTGGCATTATTTTTCGTCCCTCTGTCACACTGCTTCACTTTGCATTCTCCCGTGTCGGAGAGCGCTTCTCTAACCTTGCTTCATCCATCCATGGAGCAAACGGGCATCGTTCCGGCAGATAAATCCGGCCCACTATGACTGGCAGTTCCAATCACCGGTCAAGATTGGACCTATCCTACGAGGTACGAAGTATAAGTGTACTTCGTACGACGTCCGGAATCCCTGTCTGGACCAACCCCTTGGGACAACCATCACATCACACAACGCATCGCATCACAGCCCTGGACCTGTTCCCTGGGATTACCGCACGGAGAAGGCCCTCTTGCGCCGCGCGCACACGATCCTCCCCCCGTTTTCAATACCGAGGGCGCAGTAGGGTTACCACCGGCCTTAAAAATTTTTTCTCTTTTGTTCTTTCTTTCAGGTATGTCGGCATGCGAAGCGACATTGAAGTGACAGCGATAAAGCCCCAAGTATAGGTAGTATTACCGAGTGCTGCGGGCGAACATGAGAGTCAAGAAGGAAGGCTGATTTGCTCGTCTCCGATGGCAATGACTCGCACTGGAAGTTTATGCGATGCGACTGATTCCTCTCGCACACAATTTTTAACG